ACTCCGTTAAGACGGATCGTAAATTACGCCAATATTTCCGCGAAATCCTAACAAGATTATAAAGCAGATTGTAGCACTGTTCGCGGCGGCGACTCCCGTCCTCTCCCTTTTTCCTGCGGACCCTTCTCGGTGTTCGAGACCGAAGGGCAAAGACGAAGGAAAGAGAGACTGTGTGCAAGATGGTGTAAAGGGTGTACACGGGACGGGGACAGGGAGGGGAGAAAAGATCTATTTATAATACGTTTGCGTCTTTTCAGGGGCCCAAGTCTGTAGAGGCCGTAAATGTCGCGTGTATTTCATATGAAACTCCACCCCCTCCCGGCTATTCCTCGCAATGCCAATCTTGGGTCTTTCGCTCCTCTGATAATACCGAGCGCTAACGAAGTTAACCCGCGCGGAGAGACATTCTCTCTCTCAGTTTTGCTCCCGCCTTTGTCGTTTCTTTTTTTCCCCCGTTTTCTTCCTCCATTTCATGCTCCTCAACGACGTTCCTCGCCGTCTACTCTCCCCTGTCGTCTTTTCTTTTGTCCGTTCGAGGATCGCGAAGCATACACGACCAGAACGTTATTAAGCGGATACCAAGTGGACGATGATGGTTCGGCGGTGGTGGCCGACGGAATGCTTCTTGCTAGAAGACGGTCATGCAGATGATGTGTTTGGTAACCTTCGCGATGATTGGCTTTGGATCGGGATAGGGAAAGATTCGACCGACTTCTAAACCTAAATCTTTAGCATTGACCTCCTACGCAAGGTCTTTCTTGGCCAGGTGTTTTTCGAAAATGTACAAACTGTTCGAAGAAAACTAACCGAACCAGAAGAGAAGTAAAATTTGATTCGTACGAACGATCGTCAGCCTTTTTCTGCCCCTGATGACTGCGAGGACAACTCTAGAATAACTCTATAATCTCCGAACGATGCTACGAAAGATTTTCGGATAGCATAAATCATTACGAAAGAGTGTGTGTGACTCATGTTTTTCCCCGAACGTTTTAACGACCTCGTTTCACTCGGCTCGAAGTCTGAAAACCATCTTGCTTCGAAAATAAATTATACAGCGATAAAAAATATCGAAATTTCAACGCAAAACCGCCAACGTTTCGATAAGGAATCGAAATTATAGGCCATTGTGGAAGAAAGTTCGAAGGGAAGGGCGCAACATACGGTAACGCGAGGGGTATAGTCCGTCGGCAGTTTATTCGATAGATTCTAGGGTCGTCACGCGAGATTCTGGGAAAAGTCGTTTCGCGCGCGACTGAAAGGCTTTTAAAACGGCCGCGCAGGCCGCAGTTTCTGCGTCGGTTAATAAAGGCCTCCGACATAGTCGATCGTTATTAGATCGGGCACTCCCCCGGCCCACCAATCCTGCCCGCCCAATATACTTCGCAATAACCCATAAAATGCAACATTTTGTTTCGTATACCAATTACCCTCTCCTTGGCGCGCGTCGATGGGTCGGCTGTACCATCGAGGACCGCTCGTTTCGCTTCGATCGTGGACGAAGAAAGAACCTTGTCATTACCGTTGAATTCTACAACTTTTTTCCCCGTTCACACCGTGTCTCGTTAATATCTGTTGTTTTAAACGATACAAAAATGCTAAAAATTAATTCGGCTGCGCGAATTCGAATATTACGAGTACGCGAAAACGTTTAGGTCTGTTCGTTTCGTGTCGGGTCTCGTTCGCTGAATATGCAATGGACGGCGCGAGCGAATAGATAAAAGAATATTAATTTTTCACGATAGCGTGAAAAGCCACAGCCCGCCATTATGCTGCCGCCGCGGGTTACGCTCGGTGAATTGGAACTGCGATAGAATCTCAGGGTCGTTGTGTAGGAATGGAGCCGGTCAAGTTTCCTCGAGAAACGTCAGGACGTTGTTTCGACGTCTCGTATCGCGGTATCAACCCAAGTCTAATTCATTCGAAAAGAACTCGACTTTCGCGCGAACGAAAAGGTTAATAGGGGTGAGCCGAGTAGGGTGGCTCGGTACGTATATCGTGGCAGTCTCACCCACCTCCTCTGTTACGGACGAACCGCGCGGAATTATGTACAACGATAGTACATAACGCCTGTACGCCAGTCGAATGGCTAGTTTGGCTGGTCGAAGCGAGCATGCAATGGCCACCATTGCGGCTCGCTACGGCTCAAATGCGCTGGCGGGATGCGGCCGCGACGGCGGCGGTGGCGGCGGTGGCGGCGGTCATTATAAAAATAACTGCTGATTGGACGCCCTACCAAGAAAAGTCGTAATCGCATCCTGAAATGCCTCTTCTCTCTTCCCTTTGCCTCCTTCTTCTCCCATGCGTCCCTCCGTCCTTCTCCCTTTTCTTTCTCCCCTCGCCATGTCTTTCTCCTTATCTTTGCATCTCTCTCTCCCACCTTTGCTCGCGGATTTCTGCTTGGTGCCGAACAATGACTCTCCCACCACCGCCCTCCTACGCCTTCCTTTCTGGCTCTTGCATTTTCGTGGACCTCGTCTTCGCGCAACCTCCATGACAGTTTTCGTAACTTGGGACACGATCCTCTCGAACGACCCGCACGGATTACAATGATAGAAATTTGCCGGATTTCGGTGCGACACGTTTTCAAAGTTTCGGAAAAATAGCGGGAAGCTTTGAAAAACCGTGAAACGCGTCGATCGATCGGACAGCGAGGGTTTTCGAGTCCGCAGGCTTCGCGAAGCAGCTGAGTATGGGAGGTAGGAAAGAATCGGGCGCCATTTTGCGAGCGTAGCTTTTATCGCTGCGCCCTATATAGGAGCATTATGCTTGGGTTGCCGGGTTGCGCGTATATCAACAATAATTGCAGGGCCAATAATAAAGCCGGAGGGGCTACGCTCGATAGCCCGAAATTGCCGGTTCCCCTACCCCGACCTGCTACGTTTTATTGCTTCCACTCTCGAGAACAGAAATGGCGGCAGCCCCCTTCGTCCTTCTCGATGGCGGATAAACGATCCTGCGATACGATGCGACCAGTAGTGATGGGTGTTCTCTCTATCGTGAGCCCTAGAGCAACGTTCTTCTACCAATTTTCTATTATTTCGTACGAGCGGTAATCGAATTTGGAATCAATTGTTCGCTTGGTAGAAGAATAGAATTATTAATTCGAATCGAGATAACTTTTATATAAGTTTCAAGACTGCAAACGATTGGGTAACTTTTCGAGATCTCGAATAGTATCGATCAGTATGTATATCGAAGCCGTTGCTAAATTCTCGATAGGAATTTTGCTTGGCTCCGCGAGTATACCAAGACTAGTTACATGCCTATTATTATTACAGATACTACGGTCGTTTCCACTGCCTCCGCTCGTTATTATTCCTCTCGTTGCCCCGTGTTGTTGTTATTGTTGTTGTTGTTGCTCAGTGGTGGTACTGCTGCTGTTAGAGCGAGGGGTTTCGTACGAGGAATCGTTCGCGAGCTCGTAAAGAGCCGCAAAGGAGAGCTCGCACGCGCGATAGTCACGAGTATTGCCCTTGTTAACGCCCCGTTAACTCGAACCTCTGGACAAACTCGTAAAATTTACCGGCTTCGAGCCGGCGAGTCTACCACGCAGTGTACACGGCTGCCAGTGAATTTTCGCGTGACTTTAAATCGAGTCGGAATTATGCGTTTAGTGCAAACGTCAGCCTTAGCCATCGCAACGCGAGAGTACTTTTGTTCGCCTTCTCTCTCTCTCTCTCCATCAAAACATCGCAGTTTAAAGAAAAAAAAAGTATGAGTGACAGGACTTTTTGCCGAGGAACTATACAAATCTAGACAGAATTTGTGAATATCGTTTACGTTACAGAAGCGAAGATTGTCTAAAAATAAAATATATTTTATGACATAGTTTTCGCAAGAGTTGGATGCTGGAGTAGACATCAAATTTGGCGCGTACTTATCGCGACGACAGTGCATAGCTCAACGCGTATGACTGAAAATTCACGCGTTGTTCTGGATTATTTTCGTCCGTGAGCGCGCATATTTACGGGGGCAACGCGTCAGATTATGGTAACGCGAAAGCTCGTAAAGCCGACTTTTACGTATACGTAGAGATAGTCGCAAACGCGTCGCTACTCCTATTAACATTGCGTTTACGCGAATCTTGAACAACCTCGTAAAATCCGAAATCGCCACAGTGCGTGGCGTCGACGGTGTAGATGAAATCTCCCAAAGTTATTGAAATCCGTTCGAAGGACAAGATGCACGACGATTCTAAGGCTACACTCTGAAGCGTAACCTCATTTTAAACACTTCTAAACGCTGTACAAAAGTTCCATATAGATCTAATAAAAGCTTGAATCGTGTCGTCCGTTGATCCGATCCTCCCCCTAACACAACAACCCTTCTCGTTTAGCGTCGTTTGTGTTTTTCTTTGTTCTATTTGCTGCACACGCGCTTACGATATAAGTAAGGAGATCGTAAAAGCTGTGGCGCTCGCGTGATCGTTACGAATTCGTTATTGCTCTTGTTAACGCCCCTCGCTGGAAGCCTTGGACAAACCTCGTAAAATTTCGCCCATGCACCCTGTGCGAAACGTCGTCGAAAATGCGCCCGAGTCGATCACGTGACGGATAAGAAGACCCCGGAGTCTCGGGAACAGCGAATTTGCTTCGAACCGAACGATACACCTTCGCTTCAACCCTTATTTCTCAACGCGTTCGGGTTGTATCAAAATTTACTTTAAATCGATGGTCATAGCCATGTTGAATATAAACTGGCCGTTGTAACGACAAGACGCGCTTTGCGTGTATAATGAAAATAACATTAAAACAGTATCTACCGTTGAATCTATCGTTAAATTATAACGCTCTCGTATCGGTAATTTCGTTGGATATAATCAACCGCCTGATTTTAGATCGTATTTTGTTTCTCACGCGACTTACAGACCCGACCTTGCCCGCATTTTTCTGTCCTTCTTTTCTTACGCTCAAGAAAAGAACGACAACCCACGGCAATGGGTGCAATTTTATCCCCGAACATCCGAAATACTCGTAGACAACAGTCTGTGTTGCTTTCAGGGACTCCGATCAATCGACTACCGATCATGGCGAAGTCGGTGCTGGATCTGTACGAGCTGTATAACCTGGTGATCGCTCGAGGCGGTCTGGTCGACGTAATCAACAAGAAGCTCTGGCAGGAAATCATCAAAGGCCTCCACCTGCCATCGAGCATCACTTCCGCCGCGTTCACTCTGCGCACCCAGTAAGTAGATCGTGAAGTTTCTCATCCGGGACCCTATTCTGCTCGTGCCTATTCGCTGGTAATTCGCATACAATGAGTCCCCACGCTCGACAAAAGTTCATCTGAGCATGAAATCTGCACCGATGACTAAGAACCCGTCCTTTTACGTTATTGCGCTTTCCGGAGAAGCTAGCTGTTGGCGCGGCGATTTTCTTTCTTTCGGTTGCTCTACCGTGACCGATTTTTTTTGTTTACCAGCGAAATCGATACGAACGCGTACGCGAGATGAAAACGAAGGCTACGTAGGGGGTGGCCGCGGGGCCATCGAAAGAGACATCAAAGCGTGCTCTATGCCTTCCGGACAGCCGTTGTTTATAAAACGCTATCATCATTACCGGTGGCGAACGCGAACACCAAGGTGGATTGTTTGTGTGCTTAAGATGGCGGTTTGTATCAGAAGCAGCGTGTTCTCCGGGCAAGAAAAATATACGGAGCGCCGCGGCACAAAAGAAGCTCGGGCCAGGGGAAGACACATTATTAGCGTTCCTGGCCGCGTTGCGAACACTCAGAACCGAGGAAAGGCCCGAGAGCGGCGTGGCTCGTGCCGGTTTAACCCCATTCGTCACCTGCCAGAGGAAGCCGACGGAGCCTTTCCGCGCCTCGTCCCCGACCGGGTCCAACGATCGAAGCGGTTGTCAAAACAACATGTCCATTCGAGGCCGGGATTCGCCGAACGCGCTCGTTTCGTGGCTGTCCGCGGCGGAAGTACTCGGAAAAATACGAGACAATTTCTTGGAATCAAAGTCCACCAGAGGCTTCCTCGGCCAGTGTTCTTCGACTATTATTAGTCGGGGCTTCCGTGTGCAAGCCGCGGCTGCATGCAGCATTATTCCAACGTTACGCCAGCTTTGCGACTTACTTCGCCGAGATCGCCGTGGATTTTGTAAACTCGACGGTGACCGATACCTTTCGGTTCGTTTTCGAATCCCCAAGCACGAATCACACCGCGATCGACTTGGACCAGGCCGGCAGACAGATCGGTCAAACCGATATCCAAACTTAACCTACGCACAATCTTCGTAACAATAGTTGTCACTCACTCCTGATTAACAAATGTTCTACGCACGAGGGAAGATGAAAAATTTGTTTCGACAAAGGAACCGTTCCGTGCGAGTACATCTCGGCCAATCGAGAAGAAAAACAAACAGCCGGCTTGAGAAGCCACGTGCGCGCAACAATTGTTTTCTTTCGCGAAGGCGTTCGATCGTTTTCCCGCGGACGATCTCGACGCGCGGAGTTTCGTGGTTTCGACGAATTCGAATCACCGACTATTTATTATCGTCCGCGGCGTTTAAATAGACTTTCTTTTCACGTTGATAGACAACAGGATTATAAATTTTCGTCAATAAGTCAGAGATTTCGGCTCGCGCGGCCAATCTGTACGATAATCGGAAACACTGTGCGAAGGAGAGACGATACGCGTGACGACGCGATGAGAGAGCGCGACAGATTATAAAGCAGTGCTAGCTAATACGAATTACACGTGAAAATAACCCCGCGACGCTCGGTGCATGACGCGCGACAGAACGTCGAGACGCTGGCGCATCCATCATTCCCGCAACCGGTTATCGTCGCCAGAGGAACAGGGACAGACGGAGGAAACGAAAATGTAAAAGGAGACGCCGGCTGCTGCAACTGACATATCGCGATGCCTACGACTATATCGAGCCCCACGCGCCTCCAACGTGTAATTATTTATACCGCGAGGGAGGCAGTCACGCCATTGTACCCAACTGTACGCGATGCTTTCACGCGCTTCGGGTAACATTTGATCGCTGAACGATAGAAAACAAACCCCGATCGTCAGAAATTTGATTATCACCCGGAAAGAAAGATTTATGCTCGACACCGGGGTCGAGCATTTGGATAAGGACTCGGAAACTATGCGGCCGGGTACGGTGGTCGCGTCGTTGCAAACACGCACCAAAAAGAAGAAGAAACGGATGTAGGGTTTGTGGAGGAGGGAACGATCGGGCCGAAGGGCTAGTTTCGGCCGCAGTCTGGCAGACAATCGTAAAAGCGAAACGATCCCTGCACGAATTATAGGCCACGGTACGCTTGCAAGAATATGTCTATTCACGGACGTGTGTGCGAGTATCGCATCCTCCCTCTCTGCTACCTTTCGCTCCTCCGTCTGACCCGATACCGTGTCTAAATAAACAATATTTTATTTCGCCTTTGCCCCCGCCTCCATTCCCTCGAAAAAGTCGATTTCGCGTTGCGGTTTCTCAGTGGTTTACAAACTCCCCCCTGCCTACCTGCGCTCCATTGGAATTTGATTTTTCACTAAAATCCTCTCTACCCCGCGCAGCAACCTTTCACTTTCAACGTTTCGTTCTCCTCGTTTTGATCATCTTCAAGTTTGGACGATTTTTTAATTGCACGTGTTTTCTTTCGATCAAAGCTATTTAAATTTTGTTCACCGCAAAGGGTTAAGTAAAAATGTACAAAGCTTTGCTTTGAACAATGAACGTAGCCGCGAACGGAGCTTCGCGAGTGACTCGATAGAATAGAATTTCATTTCGGCTCGCATCGCGTAAAATAAACAACTCGGCACGCGATAAAGTTAACGAGCGATTCGATTTCCAACAGGCCTTCCTGGTTCTCGTTTGGTACACGAACGATTCCCGACGATGGCATGGTACAGGTGCAAACGGCGTGGTCGAGGCCAAGCATCAAAGCCCGTCGAGTATCGCGCTAGACGCGAGATTAAATTAGGCGACTCATAAGACGACGCTCTAGCGTCATCCGGATCTGCCTTGCCAATTTCGCGTCCAACTGACCGCGACGTCTTCCTCCGTTCGACGCACAATGCCGTCTGCATTTTGACGCCGTTCCAATTACACTAATGCTCGGCCACTCTCGCGTACATACGTTCTCGTTTCATCGGAAAATCCGTCTCGAAAGGGTTACATGTACCGATTAGTCGCCCTCTATACGATTCAATTTTGCCGTTTTTTTTTTCAGATACATGAAATACCTATACCCGTACGAGTGCGAGAAAAGACGATTATCAACGCCAGCGGAGTTACAGGCGGCGATCGATGGAAATCGTCGGGAAGGACGAAGAAGTAGCTACGGGGCGTACGCGAGCGGCGGGGGTGGAGCAGGTGACAGCTTGGTGCAAAGGAATCCGCATACGCCGAGCTCTCTCGCGTTGCACGCGCAAATATCGCCGCTGTCGTTGGTAACGGCGGTGGCAGCCGGTGGCCAACATCACGGGCCGCAATCTCTGGTGAACGGCAGTGCCGCGCACACACCACTGCCCCACCATCCTCACCACCCCCAGCACCCTCAAGGATCACTTGGACAACCACCGAATACCGGTCAGTAAACTCGATGTGCAACACGTTCCTCGTATTCCAACAAATAGAAGCGTCGCGTCTATCGGATCTTTTTTCTCAAGTATTGCCCTCCCAATTCTATCGTACACGGATCATGGTCTTCTTCGAAGAATCAGTCACATTTCGAAACACGCTTATACATTGTAGAAGCATATGTATAATGCTTTGGTACCAGTAACTCGAGCGGAGAAAATTAGAGAGAGAATAGTTGAAATTGGGGGAAATCGAAACGGATGACAGAAGGTCCGAATGAAAAGTTAGCGCCGCGCAAGAAGACAGACACGAAGGGAGAAAAGAGATACCTCGAGGAGGGAATAGAAGAGGAGCGGGTTTATTTTAAATCGGTAGTTAGGGTTCCAGGCCTCCCCGGAGATGATGATGCGAGAGCGAAGGAGGCGTAATTGATTGTACGATCCTCCGGGAGACAGGCGTTAACGGATGACTCTCGCTAACGAGCATTCCTACTTCCCTACCCCTTTCTTCCTCTTCCCGCCCCTACTACGATCCGCGTTTCGCCCATTTCGCCCTCTTTGGCCACCCTCCGACGCACCACCGGACCAATTTCAATCACTCCCTGCTCGAGTCCCCGATCGCGCCGCCCCTTGATTTGCGTTCTCGTCCAATTCGTGCTAGCTCCTTCAATTTCTCATACGACAGACACCTCTTGTCTCTTTTCGAGTTATCAGATTCGGGTTTCTACTTATTGGATATCGTTTTACCCTTTAAAAACTACTCGTCACCTTTCATCTTCCCACCCATCAACGAACAAAATTGATCAACTTTTATTGTAGGAGTTCTACCGTATCATGAGAATTTCTCTATTAAACAATTAATGGTAAATTTGCTCGTGATCTATCGCAGGACCTATACCTGGAATGGCTCCGTCCGAATTCGAAGCACGCATGGTCGAGTACGTAAAGCTGTTGAACAAGGAATTGAGGAGCGCGGGTGCCGGCACCCCACCGCCGATGATCCATCGGCAAGGAAGCGCTTCTCCACCGTCGTCGACACCGCCGAGGGACGGGGCATTCAGCGCTCTCGAGATGTCCCGACTGACCCTGTGGAACATGTACAACAATAATACCCTCTACCCAGGAGTCGGTCATCAGCCACCCTTGTCGCCCCAAGCCTCCCATTCGCCTGTACCTCCAGCGTCTAGCCCGGAACCACAGAGAGAAGCTCTCGACTTGGGACTGAGGTAAAAAGCACCTACGCGTCGGTATCTAGGATAATCACTTGATCACTTGCGTTTCAATTGATTCCCCGATACCACCCTCTACACACCTAACGAGTTACTAATTTCGACAGGTCGTCGCCGGTGTCTTCGTCGCCTGCGAGACAAAGTTCGCCCTCCTCGGGCGGTAGCATGCAAGTGAAAAGGGATCCGGACTTAATCGGAACCCCGGGGCCACCACCAGCTAAAAGGTTACTCTCGGACGACGACAGTCCGAACGAAAAAAATACTCCAACTTCCATAGGCACGCACATTAAAATTTCCAATCGAGGTAATTGAATCTCAAAATAGAAAATATCCGTGTAAGAAGTCGCTGAACGTTTGATTGTTTTATCGCAGGAGATGGGAGAAACGGCGACAATTCCTTGGTAGTTAGTATGGAGCTAAATGGAGTAATGTATCAAGGCGTTCTTTTCGCCCAAAACGACAGCAGGACCACGGCCAGTACGACAACCAATAACAACAATAGTAGCACGAAAGCGTCGCGAAGCATTGTCTCGTGAACTAAACACACATACACACACACGGTCTGCCCACACTGTGTGTCTCGATACCTAATTAACGATCGTAGCATTCATCCGCAGCGATAATAGCCGCCTCGTGGGCGAACGAAGCAGTCTGCCATACGTTCGGTCGCCGATCGAACGATGTTTGCAATTGTACAAATTTCAGAGCACTATTTCTTCCACGGAAGTCGGGATACGGTCTGGAAGATGCTTGGTTCTGATTCAATTCGCGCGTCCCTTTATTCGCAAGACGCGAAAGGGGATCGTTTACTCTGCTTTAACACGGATTTATTGTTCGTTGTTAAGATCCTCGGTCGGAACAAACCGGCAGCTTCTTCTTCGATGGGTTCTGAGTTCGTATTGTGATACTAGTTGCTCATCCAAACGGTCGTCGGTGCTCGCTCGATTTCTCGTTTCTACGTTTTGCTCGCTTCGACGAACTTTACATCCGTTTAGGTACATTTTTCTCTCAACGACGACAACGATGTTGGATGAACGACAACGAATCGAGCGTTTCCGCTGGCTTCCCGTGCATTCGTTCGAGTTTTCACATTTTTTCCGCGTGAAAACTCGAATCGTTATCTCGTTAAGCTCCATACATACGTATATGTATACACTTGTATCTGCCAGACCAGCCGGGAATTGTATACACGCGAAATAGATCTGTGGTAGGCTGCTCCAACTTCGACGACGATTGTATTGTTATGTCGTGTGAATAGTAATGTATGTATGATTTGTGTGCAATGAAAAAATGTCGTGTTTCTTTTTTTTTCTTTTAATTTTATTTCTCAGTATGCCTTGCATTCCTTTCGTTCGAAGAATACTCGGAAGCGTCGCTCGTCAATGATCTCGTATTGTCTTCCGTTTCGTTCGATCTAACGTTACACATTAGAAAAGTAAAAATAGAGGAAATGATAAAAGCAATGTTGCACGGGCGACGCGATCCGTCTGGACACTATTCTCCAGAAGTATCTTGATCGAAAGCACTCGACCCGATCGAAGTGACGCTCCGTGAAACGAACTTCCGAACTGGATCGATCATTTGTCTTCTTTTTTTTTTTATTCCTCTATCATCGAATCAAAACATCTTAACTTATTTATTGCCGCCGGTTTCTCGACACCTCGAAAACTATAGTGTTGTTAGTTTCTAGAAATCGGCCTCTTTCCGATGTTTTATAGCATTTTAAATCAGTACGTGTACAATTGTTTTTACCGCGACTATCGACTATCGTATTACTGCGCATGTAGAGCAAACACAAACACATACACAAGTACGCATGTGCATGCACACATACACACGTATATACGTAGAGAAAAGATTTGAGATTTAAGGCTCTCGGGGCCTCAGTTTATATTCGAGTTCATCGCTTCCGGATGGACGTCGCGTCTATGTTCACCGATTTGCCGATATTTCGCAAACGTTGCAGTTTGCATATTCAGAACTGAAGGCTCTGATTTTTTAGAGACCTTATTTAGCTTATAAATGTACCGTTTCGGGCCCACAACCATCGCTATATATAGGGACTTTGTCTCCAGTCCCCAGCCCTGAAGATGCAAACTGCAACGATTGCGAAACATCGGCAAATCGCTAAACATAGACGTAATAGCCATCAAGAAGTTCTGAACTCGAGTATAGAGAAAGATTGTTCATCTTATCGTTCGTTCGTTAAGTGTACATAGTCATTCGAACTTTCTTCTTTTTTTTTGGTGGTTTCTCACTTGCAAGGGACAGAGCTCAGTGCGACGATATACAAGAGGTTAAGCTATTATTATTATTCTTATTCTTATTCTTATTTTTATTGTTAGTTTTAGAGGAAGAGAAAAGTTTGTGTATCATAATTTTTATTCTTCTACGCAGGACTAATTTTTATTTTCTTCTAATATCTCTTTCGTTGCGATCCAACCGTCTGAACAATTAATCAGGCACGGGAATGGTGCACGATCGTACGGTTCTCGTTCATAATCGTTTCCATTTTCGTTCGACCGAACGAAAGGACCACCGCGGTTCGTCCGAACCCGCTTCTATCGTCTCTTTTACTTCTCGACGTTCTTTTGTTAGTATGTATTATTTGATGCGAGAGGAACAAGCATTAGTCGAAGGCATTTACTCTTGCGTAGGATTCGAAGGTTCGGTCGATGCATCGCAATACCATTGTATCGAACCGTGCAGTCTTCGAACGGTGGACAATACGACACACATTTATCGAAACTTGGGCCAGTTCGATACAATTATCTGTTACGCGGCAGGATGCTGTGAATCGCGGGACATCAACAAACAAATTTTTAAATGTATAAATAATTAGAATTGTTAATCTTACATAATGCTTAGTATGTATGTATGATGTATGTAACACGCAGAAAGAATCTTACAAAATGGACACGCGCGTTTTTAGAGGCAGACAAATGGACTCGTATTCGCGACGCGCTGAGAACCGAAATACATACATCCTTTTATATAGTCATAGCCGTTAGGATTACCGATTTAGTAAAGTTAGGGTATTAGCAGCGTAGCGCGCGCGACAGGAGTAGAATGGGAAAAATAGGTTAAAAAGAGTTCGCGATTGTTCACCGATCTCTGGTTAGATGGCGGAAAGAGTGAGAAATAAAACTGATAGTTTTCGATCATCTTAGGTGATATACATACGTGAGTCGATAACGATGCGAACGAGTGGGATGAAACTGTTTTATTGTTTATAGTTCGAAGGTTAGGCCAAAAAGACTGTTACATAGGATGAATATTATATACATACGGTAGAAATAATTTCTTATCATGGTTATTAAGAACGATATTATAATCGTCAATATTATTATTATGACTATATTTACTACTATTCCTAATCATTACTATTAGTATTATCGCAGCTATTTACTATTATCACCTTGTTACGGCGTGATAGCGAGTAACGGTTCTAAGAAAATGAAAGAAAGATTAACTTTTCGCGTAAAAATGGAAAAATACGGAATCCATGTTGCGAGAGAATGGCGATTTTGATTTTTGTTTCTACGCAAGACGCGTTACCTTGCGCAGAAACGAAAGTGAATTCATGGGTTGGCGCGATGATCTCGGAATTAAGAGCGATAGAAATTTTGCTTTTCAAAGATACACGATGTTTCTTTTATCGCGTGGTATCTACCACGTTTACCCCCCACTTTATTTTTGATCCATTCCGAAACGGGAAATTAACGAGTGAAAGATCGATAGAACGATATGTTTTTGGAAGTATGCTATGTCAAAAAAATAGAACTCGCAAAAATACGCAACGTTGTACTTTTGTCACGTTAAATTGTGATTTTCGTACGAAGCTTGCGACGCAATTGTTAATGTTTATCAGGTCGCGCGATGTGCACCAATTTATAGGTATTATTAATTTCTTCGTCAATACCGAAACAAAGATGCAGCACCACATTTACAAGCATAATATTGTAATAATTATTATGAATGTTGTACATATTATATATGATATTATCGAAGGCAAAAACAGAACACTGATGACATTTAACTATTATAGTTCTTCATAAGTAGCAACTTAGTTATCTGTAAATCTATGTAAACGAGCCCACGAATATCATAGCGAATAAAATCGACATTACTTTTATATCAGTAGTACTGCTATCTAGTAGCACTCTATCTCTGTCTATAAACTTCCAAATATAAGTCAAGGAGATTCTGTGGCCCGAAATATGACGAAAATCAAGAATGACAAATTTGTATCGGAGACTCCATATTGGAGAAAAATGTATTCGAAAATTTGTAATAATCGTAAAATTCAAAACTCACATTGTTGCGTAGTTGAACATCGTTTTATGACATCGGAAAACCACATCCAACAGAGACGAAGTGAAGTATATGGGTCTATCTTCATTACTAGAAGATATTGCACTATTTCTTAGATTAAACATAATCTTTCACCACGATGAAGCACTTTACACTACGTACGTACGTCGATTTCTAAGTGAGCACTTCGAATGTTGAATTGGCGGTAGGAAAAACAGGGGCACCATACCAGCTTTAGCGCCCCCTAGATTTTTATCTATAGAGACAATAGTCCAGGACCAATTAAAATTGAAAACCATCTCGGGGGTTGCGCGAATCATGTTGCGCAGAATATATTGCAAGAAATTCAAATATAATTCAATTCGCGGGGTGCAACATTTACGAGGGAACGGTTGGAAACGGTCGCCATTTTAAACAAGTCTTTCAAATGTGTAATTCGTTAGTGCAGTTAATTATATTCATTGTGTACGTTTGTAATACTTAACAACAGCTTGAAATAGAGGTAAGAGTTAATGAATAATGAATAATGCATGATATTGTATCCTATACAAAAAGAAATTACGGTAGTCGTCTATGATGATGGAATCGGTAATACCGGTTATGAACTAGGTGCACATATGCAAAATTGATTTTCGAATGCATTTTTCTCCAAATCGAAGCCTTCGATGCACATTCGTCTTATTTCAAGCCATATCTCCTTGGCTCTATTTCTACCATTAATTTTGGTTAAACTTGTATGCATGTGTGTACTTATATACGTATTAATCTCTTAAATGCATGCAACTATGTAACATTTTAACGATATTCAGATATTGTAGATATCATAAACGTATGTAGATAATAACATAGATTTATTGTTTCGTTAGCAACGATTTATTTATTTGTTTCGGTACAAGGTATGACATTTTTAATTTATTGTTCACGAAATTTATGATTAAAATTCTTAATCTTAGATAGTAATAGATTCTTTTCTTCTGTCGTTGCAAAAGCATACTGTACAGATAACATGCAGAGTTTTATGAGTTCTTCTTGTCGTAGACCAAATGTTAAACTAGCTATTTCATACTCTTTGGACAAGGATGTACAAAAAACACCTTTGTCATCGGTCTAAAAATTGTGTTAGTATATACCATAAAATTTGCTTTACGTATGAAATAACTGCTTGTAGAAATATTGATAACTTTACTCACAGAAAGACAAATAGGGTGTCCAGCTTCATAGTAATATTTAAACTGATGAGATCCATAAGAAGGTACTGTCTTACATTTAACATTGGATGTTAGGCACAATTCTAGACAAAATACAAGAATCATAAATTCGATATATATTTTTAAATACCATAATTGATAAACTTTCATAATATTATCATCCTCACCTACAGGAATTTTCGAATTAAACAGCATATCGAGTATTTTATTTGATCCTTGTAAATTTGGGTGAATGCAAGTACAATGACCCAATCTGTCAGGCTTGAATTCAAGGATATCTGTTGTTTCTACTTCGTTCATAATCTATATCCGGCAGGATGAAATAATGTTTCAAGTTTTTAGAAATTCAACCAAATTAACTTTGACCCAAACATATTAAGATTTACCTCCGCACAATGGGCAGCTATTTTCAAACCTGCTCTTCTAGCTTCTTCTAATAATTCTAAGAATACATCTGTAGTCTTTGGATCTCCACTAAGATCAAGTCCAACAATATACTGTGGATATTTCATAAAAAACTCTGTTGCTAAATCAACATTTTCCTTTGCTGCCTTATATCCTTGCTTACGATTAACAGATACTAATAACTTAACTATTATATCTGGAAAGTCAGTCTCACAAATCCTGGGATTATATAATTTTTCAAATTAAATTATATCTAGTTCCTTGATTATCTGAGATGAAAATATTTGTTTTAAATTATACTTACTGAAATGCACTTATGATAGATTCTATGTATTCATGTTTTGTCATTTTCCCATGAACAGCACGAGGTGTGCTTCTGAGTTCTAAATATATTACATTTTCTGCATTAAACTCTTTAATTACATTGTAGGTAGCATGGAATACTGCTTGCGGTGTTACCGTTAATGAATGTGCCACTTCAAATACTGCAAAACACCTGTGGAAATATGCTGTATGTATTCCTGTAGCCATAAACTTTAAGGTAGGATTATTTTTCGTACTCGCCGAACGATGAAAATTTTTCGGTGTTCATAACTATATCCTCGCCGCCATCTGAATCGGGATTTTGCATTTTATACAGTTGTTTTAAGGTATCTGTGCTAAGAGAGCCATTCAAATGTGCATGAAGTTCCTATTGAACATACAAACACATTTCATTTTCTAATCATTTCTGGTCACTGAAGATCAGAAAAACGATACGTCGTATATCATAAACTTTTGTAAAAATACACACCAATTTTGGCAAAGATTGACAGAAACTTTCTAAACTCATTGTAAAGAAAGCTAATATTTTGTTCAATTTTGTTATTAAATCAACAGACGAAGTAAATACCGGATTGGGATACTAAATATGTACCGTGAAAGGTTAGATTAGAATACCGCTAAAATTATTTTAACAAAATAACTTCATGCCGCGTGGTTAAATCTCTAGATGTGACGCAATTTACAAACACGCGTGCCGAAAATGACGTCATGTAAAAAATAATGCATTATGTTGCCTGGCGTTCTAGTTATTTTTTTTTAAGTACATGATTTATGTTCGTAAAAAGATCTCGTTCACTAGTATATTTTACGTACCTAAAGAACATAAAAAATACAAAATATTGGCCTTTACCCTTCAAACTAGAATCTTTCCTTAATTGGGACCTAGACATTGTTATAAATATTTGAAATTCTTTGGGATATAGCTTCAATAAATGAATTATTATTAAAAATATACCTTTATTGTGTTCTATTAAGAGGATATTACAATATAAATATATAACACTCATAAATTATATGCACGTGTAATTAATGTTTAAAAGCCGATCTGTGCTTAAATAGTCGAGCTTCGCGATTTCAGATTTCACGTTTTGTTTATACATTTTCATCGAATCTTGCAATTTAGAAATTGTCTCTTTTATTGCATCATTAGAGGCTTTAAGTATTTGAAATGCTATAATATAAAATGGAATATCATACAATTAGGTAAAAACTTTCGACGATGACACAAATTTTTACCCTGTTGTTTGTTCATCTCTTCTTTTTCAATAGCTTCTGTCATTTTGCGAACGAGTTTGACTAACCGTAACTGCTTTTTCGACAAAATTCTTAATGATGATATTTTACCAAATTTCCTTTCGTATTTTATTATGTATGCATCCAATTTCGTGATTGTTGTTTTTTCCGATATACTGCGCCTAACGCTCTTTTTATTATACGTATTTTCGTACATCATGATTATCGCTTGAAGTCGGTTATTTCATACAGAGTATGAAGTTCAAGACACGATTTCTCTTGTCAAATAAATGATAGTGGGTATATGGGTATGTACGTGAAAGTAATATTTGTCATAACTTTAAATATAAATTAATTGAAGAATAATATACAAAAATATTTATTTATAGAAAAGTACTAATGAAAACATACACTTACAACACTTATTTTTTACGAATAAATTACTCAAGTGTTTTTGATAAGTATATGGGGTTAAGAATGTGAACAATTTAGTTGGTATTATAGCCCTTTTTCCATACAGTATCTTTAAGATATGCGCCTATCATGGGATCATTGAGCATTGTTTCTATAATATTTTTAAACCCTAATTGACTTGCTAACATGTATTTACATTCCACATCTGATAATTCAGACACTAATGTTTTCATATTGTCCATCATTGTATGAGTGATGTTTTTTTCCAATCTGTACCTGTAAAAGATTGAACTTTTACTTAAAATCAGAAAAAACCTTCCATGTGAAAATTAACTTTTAAAATAATTTATTAACTTGCCTACGTGCACAATCTTCTACCAGACTGGGAGTTAGTTTTTTCACAGCTAAGAAATCCTTTAAATATTTTGTTTGTCCATTTAATATACTATGATTATATATCAGACAAGCCCAATCCACATGGTGATTGTAAGCTTGTATAACAATTAGAGCTTGAGAGAAATTTAAAGTATGAGACAATATTCTGTCAACATCTTCAGACTTTAAATTAAGTATGGAGATTACTTGTTGATTATTAGATACTGCTGTATTAAGAAGTGAAAGTTGAAGGCCAACCAATTGTGTCTGATCAGAACATTGACCAGCAAGATTTAGTTCATTAGCCTTGGTAGATACATATTATTAATTAGTAAATATGAGGAACTATTATTTGTTAGTTAAAATGTATAAATTGTGATTTACCTGCAAATAGTATTGTGTTGCATGAGTAAAATTATTTATGGCTAATTGCAACTGTTTCTGAACATTCTCGGATTTATAAAATTTCATTTCACGTTGTGTAGTAAAATGCAGTTTTCCAGGAACTTTTATTGCATCTGATATTAATGTTTTAAGTACATCCTTTGCTTCATTTTCCCACATAAATGCCATTTCATGATACAATTGAAAATGTAATGCAACTAAAGTAAAAAGATCCCTGTTTTCAGGGCAGTGGTGTTTTAAAAATTCCAGTAATGCCATTTTTAAACCCATCACCTGTAATATCCATCGAGTATTATACATAACGGGGCATACGTATTTTTTTAGAAATAGTAAATGCTCAAAGAAACCTTATCCAATCCTTGCCCAAGCAAATATTCGAACTGATCATTATTTTTTAATATGTGAAATATGTAATTCATTTCGGTAAAACGACCGACACCTGTTACAAGTCGGACCTAGAATATTATAATGAAAGGAGAGTATTGAGGGTGTTCGGCCACCCCTGGAAAAAATTTTAATGGGAAATTTTTGAGGTCAAAATAAGACGAAAATCAAGGATACTAATTTGTTGAAACATTTTCGGTAAAGAATTTTTTTCTCGAAAGTACGTAGAATTTCGGGGTATGTCTATTGACCAAAAATGATTGTAATTTACCCCCGTAACCGAAAATAATTTTTCCGTGAATGATCTGAAATTTTTTAATAACTTTTTAACGAAGCCTCAATCAACAAATTAGTATCCTTGATTTTCGTCTTATTTTGGCCTCTAGAATTTCCCATTAAAATTTTTCCTAGGGGTATAGAGATGATTTTACTTAGTATTTCAATAAATGTCATACCAATAACGCCCACAACTTATGATTTTGCAAAACATTTGCAAGATTTTGACATTTACGTAGAATTGACGCTATACCCTCCATATTGCAAGAAGTTGTAAAACAATCGTGCGATCGAATTAATAATTCTACGGTTGTTTTTAAAGTTGACACTGATAATAAGAAAACATTAAGTGAAAAATTGAAATACGGGAATGCAATAACTATCATGCTTTATCGTGATACCGGTTTTGTTTTCACCGTGAGATTGTCCAAGTAAGTTATTTGCTGTTTTTAACAGCTGCCATCCAAGAAGCGAGACATCATTGCACAATTCCATAATTATTCGGAAATTAGTATTTAAAGAATATCCCCACAAAGAAATATTATTATCGTATCCGCCTGTAAAAAAACGAAAACATATAATAATCTTGTACCAGCCCCATAACTACATCGTTGTTTACCTTCTATGGCGAGTGTAACATTTATCGTAATATTTTCAGTCAAGAATGTTGCAACACTATCATTGTTTATTTTATATGCAATAATTATATCATTCAAAATTTCGCATTTATTATCGACATTGCTTTCCGCGATTTCTTGTAAAAATTGGAAAGGATCGTTCAACATTAATAAGAAATGGTAACTTTTTCCTAATTGTACTGCCAATTTATAACATAATACTATTCTCAAACATATGTCCGCTCCATGTTTCAAGGTTTTGTGTAATTTTTGCAATATTGACAAGCATTCCATTTGAACTTTGTGTACATTTTCGTCTTTCATTTTATACGTTTCATTTATGTTGGTTAAAGTGATTACTAAAATTAAAAATTTACTATAAGTAAACGGCATTTAATAATGTATTACAAAAAAAAAATATTAAAGAAATCATTACATGAAGTCGACGACGACAATCTTTGCAACCCGCGATTTTTAAAGGCACCGTACATTGGTTGTTTGCTATCATTTAGTTCTTTTAAAAGAATTTTTTCTTCGGAAGTTAATTCACACGGTATAATTTCACCTTCTGCCAAGCTCAAACATAACATTAGAATTTGTAAATCCTATATGCAAGAAAATATTTTAAACATTATTGGTACACGCGTCTGTTAATGATTAGTCAAACTTACCCTATGTTTGCAATTAAAAATGGTTCTAATTCTCAATGCTATATCCAATTTACCTAAATCAATTAATTTGTTAATCAAATTTTCAGCTGCATTCTTTTGATAAGAATAATTTAATGTACAGCTAAATTTCACTGTATTTAATTCTGACAATAGTTCTGTTTTTAATTTATTAAAAATCGAAGGTCCACCGTTTAACTGTACATTTTCAGAACCAGCTAATATACACGATTTCCACATCGCCACTTCTATTTTGTTAATAATCTCCTGTTCTGTTTCCACATTTTTGAGTATTTCAAAAACTAAGTGCAATATTTCATATCTGTAACAGTATATATTCGATGTTCATTATTTATTTAAAGCTAGGGGTTTTATTTCAAAGAACGTATACCTTTCTTTATGAGAAACAACCTTTTCGGCATGTTCAATAAAAAATTCTACAGTTTTTTCACACGAAACGTTGTATTTCTTAAAATTCATCGCACACTCGTTCCAAAATTCATTTTTAATTTTGTCATTTTGCTGCATACAATATTTAAATTGATTCCGATACTATAAATATTATATAAATATTAATGGAGAATAGAAATAAAAGGGGAGAAAAATCAACTTATATTAACACAGTACCTGAGCTAAAATAATGTCAGATGAATTTAAGCCTGCCACATTTGATAATTCTAATGCACTGTTATAATTTTTAATGTTTAATAAATCATCGACACATCTCTGAATTTCTAGATCAAAATTATATACATTATTTGACATCGTAATAGCCGTGAAGTTTAATGTAACTGTAGTTTCTTGAAGAATCTTTATAATTTGTAAAAGATGTTGAAAATTCGGGACGTAAACTGTAATGTAGGAAAAAATTGTTTAAAATTCAATGGTCTCTGCTACAACAAATTAATGTTAGTAAAACGTTAATATATACAGGATCATCATACCTGGAAAATCTTCGTAAAAATTACATGTTATTAAAGTTTCGAGAAATTTTATTTGTGAATGCGTACTCCTTAAGCCATAAGCAAGTGTTGCAATGATACATTTAATAGCAACAATTGCAACCCAATGTAAATTTTCCATGTACGTGTTGTCCGAACAATCCCAATCCATAACTTTCTAAAAAGATACGAAGCCAGTTTGTTATTGCACAGGGTCATTGCCCCCCGCTAGTAGAGTTGAAAAGAATGTCGCCGCCTAAACAGCGTGGCAATAATCCCGTGTATGTTTACAGTCCTGTCTCTGCTTGTTTTTTTTCTTAAACATAGTTGTAGTTATTATATCGTTGATATTGATCTCTTCATCGAGTTATGGCTAAACGTACACGTTTAAGCGGCGGTATTCTTCTCGTGTGTATTAAGTATCGTCATAATATTTAGAACGTACATTACGTTTGAGGTTTAAACATCGTGTATTGAATTCCAACAAATTTTCCTGACTGTCTTTAAAGTCTCCATAATTTGTGCATTGTGCAAGGAATTCGAAAAATGAATTAAAAGGACACTCCTACAATTTAATAATATGGATGAAATCTTTTGTAGCGTCAATATGCATAAGATTTACTTACAGGCATAAAAATTTTACAAGCTTTATTGAGGATACCAATGTAACCACATATCACCATTCTATCTAACAAGTTCAAGACTTGATTAGCTGTCCATATTTGTTGTTCTAAACATTCTTTGTAGTCAGAAGTGATATTTTTGTCCGAAGCAGATATTACCATCCATGAATAAGCATATGCTGCTATTGCAGATGGCTGGAATAGTTTTTGTCATTGATATTAGCATACTAAAAATATTTAAAAAAATACTAAAATCTATATAGAAATTATTGATGCAATTATACCTCATAACAAGTTGCTAAAACCGCGAGAAAAGGTCTCGATGTAAGCTGGGAGGCATTGATCAGTGCACCAGGTGGATCTGGGCTTTGATGACATTTTAGAATAATTAACCATAAATCGTCGTTCAGAGAACAAATACTGTCGTTTATGGGATATTCATATATACTACAAGAATCAATGCTCCCTGAATCTGCTGATGTATGTGAGCCAGAAGAAGGAAATTCCTGATTCATAATAATGTATTGCAATATTTTATCATGTTTAAAACATGCACATGTAATGCTTGTAACTTACATTTTGGTTAACTCCAATCTTGTAATATAATGATTGTCTAACATCGCGTGATTTTATTTTTTGATCACCGTGTATAACTGATTGTGATTTTAGAAATTGTGTATTATTTAAACAAGTTAGCAAGTGATCTCTTATAATTGCATCTTCAAAGTGTTTAGTATTTTTTAATACCTTCAATAATTATAACAGTATATAATTTTAATTTGTACTTGGATCCTTTCGATTTTAATATGCAAGTTATTTAAAGATCAAATTATTACCTGATCCAGGGGATATGAAAAAATTTGAGAAACTAGGATAAATTCAAACCAGTGATTTTGGTTTGCTAAAAATTTCAATAGGCTGGTTGGCAAAAAATAATTGTGTATCTTTGCAAATCGCACAATAACGTCCCACGTTTTCAGTACGTTTATAAATTGTTTACTATCCTCGATTAGATGTTCATTCAAATTTTTTTGGAAGCTACTTTCGAGATAAGACATTAAAGTCTTTACATCATTCACATCTTTGTATAGTTCATTTTCCAACAAATGTCCTACGAATTAAAAATTATAATATATTGCGCAAAAGTTTCGAGTTTTATGTTTATTAAAGAAAACGAGAAAAAAAAATACCAATAGGAACATTTATCTCTTTTTGCACATAGTTTGCCGCCGTTATATGAAGTTTTAATATATCTGAATTCATATCTAACATTTCAATGAAAGAAACGCAACTACAAAGTATTTCCGGTTTATCTAAATTTCGTAGGGCAAAAATGTACGCATAAAAAACTGCTTTACGTTTTCTGAAATCAATATGTTATAGGTACAAAATAAAAAATACTGAGCACTAAAAGTACACATTGTACCATAGTTCTCTTTACCTTCTTGAAGATACACTTTTAACTAATTTTCTTTGGGAATGCTTCAAGCTTAATATAGCCATATTTGGACGAGCTTCTTTCAAGTAATATTCGTATGTTAGTGCTTCGGTATGTCCATATTTTTTAATAAGAGTTTCGTCAGAAAAGTGAGGCATTTCTTCGTTATTAAACCGCCACTTAAACAATTGCTCTACATTTAAATTTTTGTAGCCATCCAATAATTGATACATCGTAATCTCTTTCTTTGGTTTATTTTCTATAATATTTTTAAGAATCGGAACATGCCTTAATGTATTTTGAAGAACTTCGTTCGAAATGCTATAAGCGCCCAATTGCAAATCATTTTCACTCGTGAATATATTTTTTAATATATTCTCGTTTTTATTATTTGCTATATTTTCTTTCGATAAATAAGAAAATATTAATACTAAAACTATTAAATAATTTTGTTTTAAAAATTCATTTATATCGTCGGAAAGATAATGAATTGTTTTGAAAATTCCTTCTATCAATACATCTTCAACGTGCTCTTGACTTTCACACATCTGTTTTAATATATCAAATAACTCCAAAAGTTTAAATTCATCTTCTTCCGTGTGTTTTTCAGTCAAGCAACGTGCAATGCACAGTTCCTTATCAATAATTTGAACAAAATCTGTTTTATTAATATTGCATGTTCTATGTAACAGTATTGTGTTAAATTCTGATAGCGTTATTGCACTGCCGAAGATGCGCGCTAATATTAACTTTATATCCTGTTTTTCTCTCTGTACAAATATTCCATACCTGATACATTTATATTGTGAATTGTATTAAACAAATATGTGTACACCATACTTTTATTGCATATATCAGTGAACAGTGAACGAAGACATACCTACATAGATGATTTTTAATTAAATCTTTCACAAGATTAGTTGCATTTGAAGAATCAATGGCATCGATCATGTCTGGTATGATATCCATGGTAGTAAACAAGAATTTATATTTTTCATAAATGTCATTTGACTCCTCTACAGCATTTTCATTATAGTAAGTATCTATCCAAAACTTTATCATTTCAATTTCATTATTTGATAGCAAATAGTCCCATAGCACGATATTAGTTATATTTTTTAAGAGATTTTGTTCAGTTATAGAAAAATACAATTCTGTGCATAATGCTTGCTTTATATTTCCAGGTAATTTTATAATATCTGTTATACAGACAGAAGAGCTTAAACCATCGTTTATCCTAAAAAAATTATGTTTATTAATTTCGGATTTTACCAAAACTAAACAAAGAAACTTACATGTATTTTTGTTCGTATTGTATAATATTCTTTAATATGTTCCATGAATCTATGTGGTCATTTTCAAAACGTGCAATGCTTATTAAATATTCTGATAAATAATTCCTTAACATGGATTCCTTACAGTTCATACATACTTGATATATATATTCCACTGGATTTTTTCCCTATAAAAAAATTCATGTAAGTTGCAATAATAACAGGTATTCTACATTAATAATTTTAATTTAAGGTACCATATTTTGCAGAACATGAGAAGCCCTGAAAATTTGGTGTTTATTCAAAAGTTCGGTAATCCAAATTTCCACTTCTTTATTGAAATAATGTTGAGCATCATTAATAGAGCAATTTCGTCTATAAGCTAAACACTTGTATGCAAGACTAATATGTGTGCCTTTTGCAGATGCTTCCCTGACAAGTTCTCTGTCTCCCAATGAACGCCAACCAGACCAAATTACTGCAGGTTCTCCAGTTAAACATTCAACCGGAATGCCTCCCACCATTGTTCTGTCTGCCATTTTAGCAATAATTCTTCACAACATGATCAAACATTCTTCTAAAAAACTACAAAATATTAACATAGAATTTATATTTTCCACAAGCAGGAAGATCTTTTAAATGATATTAATCATTTCAGTTACTGTAGTATATTACATAGTTGAATACGTTTTTTTATGCTGTTTTATTGTATAAACAAATTTGAATAAATAATAATTTATGACATCACTGGAAAAAATCTCTTACCTCGTATTGTAAACATAGGCAATGTGTATGTGTGTACGCGTAAAAGCGCAGTAGGTAACTATTGACTAATGCAAATTATGCAAATAATATTGCTAGTGAGTAACAGTGATGTCAAAAATTTTGGTATACGTGTTTTTAGGGAATTTCATTTTATTACTAGTGCAGTGAAATAGTTGCAGCTTTAGACGAACGATGGAACCAGTTGTAAGAGAAATATAGGGATTTATTCAGGTCATGAAACAGTCATGTCCACAGGTGAAGTCCCTCAGTCTCTTGAGCTCCACTAAAGATTTTAGACGACACAAGATGTCTTACACGAACTGATTTCTTTATTTCTTATTCTACAATTAACCATTAAGATAACGGAATAATGAATTAATCATTACACAACGGCCGTTCGAAGAAAACTCAAGTATGCCAATGAGGTTTTAAGTATCTGCAAAGATATCTTTATTTTAATCTTTGGCTTATGTTTATACGATCTCTTTTCATTATTAGGAAGAGTAGAATATTCTACCACTATTCTAGTCTCGCCCTGTGCACTGTGAATGAAACAGTTATAAGGGTTTACCTTTCCAAAAGTAGACAAGTTTAAATCAGCTATCATACCGGCACTAATTTTTGCCGGATTATTCGACATGGCGATTATCAGTATGAGACCACGTATCGTTTTATTGGGCAAACGGTACCAATCAATCATAAAACACGATATTCCAACGTTACTAGCCTATAGTATATGAAAACAATGACAATATCGTTCAAAATTAAATGGAAAATATTATTAAAAATTGCACGTATAAATAACTTAAATATTCGATGCAACGAAAATAGTACCTTGTCCATCAGGAGTTCACCGATGTAGCATAGTATAAATATATTAAAGGTCAGAGATATTAGTAACATACTGTAGGTTGTTACGCCAATCGTATTACCCTGTTCCCAATCCTATCGTAAACATGGCTAACATGTCGTGAGATGTTTAAAGATTGGGCGCGTTAAATAAAAATTGAAAGAAATTCCACTGCCAAAATCATGGCTGTCAGCGTACCGTTATGCAGTAATATTCGAGCAGACATATCATAAAAGTGGAACCAATGAATTCCAGGAAGCACACTTCTTGCAGAATTGTGTCTACCACTTCTGAAAATCTGTAACGAGTCGTAACACGAAGTACTTTTATCGTCGATGACCGATCAAACTAACGAAATACAATTTCAAAGAGTCGTACCTTAATGTTCGTAGATGACGTTCGATGATCTCTACGAATCGCCCGTTCGAATTAGAGTTTCGTTCGTGGTCAACGAGATTATCCAATCGGGACAAAACGATGTCGATCTGTCCGCAAATGTGCGTTACGAAAAGCGCGGCTAATCCACAAGCACCAGTCGTCACGGAATAGATAACATATCCACACATACAATGTACGATGTACACTAGTTCGTAAACCGGGCTTCTCTGTACGTCGTACAAACCGCTGTAACTTGGATACACTAACGGCTTGATCGTGCGATTGTGTTCATCGACGAAAGTACCGATCGCGTATTGCATGAACGTGTGGTAGATAGTGCCACCGGTGTACATGAATACGAGGCAGAGTATCGTCAGATTTCTACCCATTTTACCGTACTTCAGCATCAATTCGCGATCCTTGCTCAACTCCACCTGTTACATTCGTTTCCAGTTTTCGTGTTTTATCAGGTGATTCGGAATGCTGATTAAATTCAGATTAATCAAGTCAATCACCTGCTTCCAATCAATTTCCACCAACTCGATGCACTCCTTGATCTTCGGTCTACGCGCCGCGAGAGCCCAATACTTTAACAACGACGTTAAGCAGAAACTTAGCAATCCGAGTAGCTTCAATCGCATCGTCGTGTCCTTTAGGTCGTACACGATGTGCAAGCTGCACGGTACTATCGCGAAGAACAGTACCAAATTGCAGAATCCAATCATGACATTCGGTAAAAACTGCCTGCTTCCCGTTAGAACAGCTGGCCAAATGCCGATTGACTTCAGAATCCACCTGTTGTGACTTAGAACGCGAACAATATCTTTCTCGTAATTCGGATTTCGCGGTTTGCCGATGTCGGGATTTTGAACGGGAACACGCATGATTGTGCTCGCGTAGACGTAGCTCTAAAACGACTGTTTACCAACGACTAGTAGCATTGATTGCAAGGTCATTGAGTTTGCGCTCGTGCAAACTCTGTTCTGTGCATGCATCTCTCTGATTGCAGTTTCAAATCGATTACCACTTTTTCGAGGAGAAACGGTATGGATTTGCAATAGGGAGCTGACATTCTATAGAATTGTGCTTTAAAGCCGCAGACAATGGAATGGATCGAAGGGTGAGCATTATGCATAAAGCGTACCGCGATTATTTCCAATTTCATTGCACGTTTTGTTGCCTAAGTAATTCGATGGCCTGCAAAGCTGCGAAGACTAACACGGGTTGACAAAACTAACGAAAATAGAGGTACATATATCGACACCAGTCTGTGAAAAATCAGTTTTTTTCATTCATTTCTTTATGAATTTCAAATATTATAACAAACGTATTAAACGTAAGTACTGTTGATAAGTATTACTGTTAGTAAGTACTCTTCGTCTCTCTTATTTTCGTCACAATTTTTTAAAAAAGCTTTAAACGACCTATGTTTGTATAACACTTCTTTTTTTATTTAGTCCTGTGGAATATATTGACAAAATTTGGCCATTAAAACCTGGGATACATGCCTGTATATTAAACATTCATTTTAAAAATCAAAATGTCAGTATACACAACAGGTACAAAGTATAACATATACAATGAATATGATTTATTTAATATAAACTTCACCAATCGATGATGAATCCGGATAACAGATATTATCAATTCGATATTCGGCATTATATAAATCTGGGTAGACACTTTAATTCTTGAAGACAATCAACTCAGCATAAATGATGTTTCACAAGTAAGAAGAGTACCGATTCTGTAAAAGGATTAATTTAATCACAAAATGATAGTTTCATAGCTGTAATGCCATACATATAAGAAGTATATGTTACCATTCGGAAATTGTTCGAAGTAAATTCAAATAAACTATCGAACTTTTCATCACCTGAAATATGATGCTAAGTAGTAAATCATCTGTCTCGGAAATATGTAGGTAAATTATGTTTCAAAAGTAATGTACATACAGTGCCGAAGGTATATAGAGACAATACGAAGATTTTTCCGCCCGTAAGTTTTGGCGGGTAGAGCGATACAGCATGCATAAGAATAAGATACGATGCTTTCTTTGGCGGTAAAGTGTACCAGTCGATCTCGTAAGAGGTTTGTCCAATTTGACTACACTGATGTTTAGAAACAACTTGGTCAGAAAGATACGTAGAGAGAAAATAGAATCATTGAGATTGTTGCGTAGAGTCTAGTAGTAGAATCTCGATTATTGCACGAGATCCTTTTTTGCTACACGAATGGACGTTAAGCAGCAAACAAAGGATAAGCAACGTATGACTACTATTCGTTCGATACCGTACCTCGATTGCTGTAGTAATTTTCAGACTCGATTTTCTACAATAATCGATGCCCTACTGTCGGTAGAAAAGACGAATGAAACGCAATACGTTTGTAAATACCTTTTCAGACAAAAGTTCACCAATATAATTGAATATAAATATATTAAAAGTGAAGGAGAGCATCAAAACAGTGTATGTAAATATTGGTATCATATCGCTGTTTGGCCATTCCTAGATAAATATCAATATCGGTGAACAAATTTCATTCAAGTAAAATTTGTTTAATATAACGTTTTACCGTCAGGCAATAGTATTCGAGCAAACATAACACTAGTGTACACTCCACGATTGTCGTCAAACATATTTCGCGCAGAGCTACTTCCACGTCCCTAGAAAAACTGAAGTATTCGTTGCAATTGGTTTTAACTTCCATTGTATACGTTAAACAATATAAAAAATGTCAGTGAGCCGTGTTTAATAGTGTCTGAGTATCTTACCTTAAGATCTCCGAGTGGCTTTCGATAATGTTGGCAAAATAGGTATTGTCGTTATTGTCTTGCTTCGTCTTCTCAACCAAGTTTTCCAAGCGTGATATCTGTATCTGTATTTGACCGCATGTATGTGTTACGCATATTACGGCCAAACTGTACGAAGCCGCTGTAATGGTATACTTAAGAAAGCCCGATAAATAATGAAGGAAATGTATGATTTCGAAGGTTGGGCTAGCTTGAGTATCGAATAATTTATCGTAACCAGGATACGATAACGTCCTCGTCACGTTCTCTTCCTTTGGCGTGAATTTTTGAAAGAAATGCGTTAATGTCTGATAAAATACGCCGCCGGTGTAAATAAATACCGCACACGCGGTGATAAGAGTTCGGCTGATGGTTGCGTATTTTAACATGATATTACGATCATTGGGGTTGTCCACAGCTTTCCAATCTCTCTCCACGCGAATTATACAATTAGTGAAAATTGATCCTTTCTGGATGATATAAAAGTACTTAAGCATAGACGAGAAGATATAAAAAAGAGGACCGAACAATTTCATTATCCTGTACAAGTTTCTCTCGTTGCGAACCAAGTGTATAAAGGGAGGTAAAGAGGCGAACGCCAAGTCGAAGAAAAATAGTACTAGTAAAATGATCGAAATGATCTTTTCGTAAAACTTGGTCGTGTGGTAAACGAAAGGCCAGACGCCGAGAATTTTCCAAAACCATCGAGCTATTTGGAAAGTATAGTGTGCATCCTTTTCGTAATTAGAATTTTTCTGAATAGAGACAGCCCCATAGTTACGTGATTGATACTGCATTTTGACTAGCCCGGTGTAAGATGTAAACTGAACTGATGCGGCACTAAGTACCGAGACAATGATGTCAGGACGCAAGCGCCTAAATGTAATTACATATGTATGTACGTGTTGCGTGCTGCACGCGAGGTCAGAGTAGCGCATGGTTAAGAAATCATGGATGGTCGTACACCATTTTTTGTAGATTCTATATTTATGGAAGAGACGGGCTGATGGGGGGAGACTAAGCATGGAATCAATGGAATACCACTGTCATCTTTCATTTCCATTATTTAAGTTTTGTGTTCCTGTCACGGGGTTAACCGATAAGTAAATATTAAGCTAGATCCCTTTTACGTCATCAATACATTTTCTGTTGACGCATATCAGTTCAATTATAAGTGTTAATGTTCATGATAATTATGCGTGTGTATGTATTCTGTGGATCCAACCAACAGTTAGAAGGTCCAGAATTGGATTAGTTTCACTTATAAAATCTCTATTTCTGTTAAAGATACATGGATTTAAACATTGTTATGGGTGCCAAGAAACTGTAAATACAGTTTCCTTTTCTAATACGATCAGGCTCGAGACTGCAAAGGGATGTATGAACAAATGAAAATCGACTCTTTAAAAACTCTTTTAAGCGTGCCTTTGCAAAATATTGAAGTGCAAAATTTTTGTGGTGTCAATGAGGTTAGATAAATGCAAAGTGTACGTCACTATATGTATACGTGTACTGACAGCATTAAAGTTAGCTACCACGATTTTTAGGATCAAACCATTGTATGCATTGATACCCCAGTACTTCTACATATAACGACGAAGCAGACGTTCAGTAGAATCGTGTTTTGAAGTAACAGATAATGTAATGGATCGAATGTTTAGCATTAGGCAGAAGTGTACGGCGATCAGGAATTTTTATTTTCGCACAACTATTTCTACGTATTTAAAGGTCCCCCTGGTGTGCTTTCCTTGAAACAAACGAAAATATTAAAGTGCAAATCGTTTGTGGTGTCAGTGGACTTAGCAAGATAAAAAGGAATACATCTTTACACGTGTGAATTGTGGGAATTAATGTTTACTATCAAGCTTTTTAGGATGTAACCATTGTATGAATTGGTAAATATACTACACAGTACGCGTGAGTAATAGTCAATTAGATTTGTAAGGTGTAGCTTATATCGTTTTATGAGTAAATAATGTTTGACATAATTTACAAGTTTAATATTTACCCGTCATTCTTTATACAGTGGCCTAGGTTTTAATGGCCAAACTTTGTTAGTATATTCGGTTGTTTTAAATATTAAAAAAAATGTTATATGTATAGACACAGGCCCTTGAAATTTTTTAGAAGAGGGTGTAAAATAAAAAATTGATGTTTCGAAAGTACTAATGTAAAATGTCCTCTTTTTGTTCACAGATAAATGTCGAGTGTCAGGAGATCGGGCGATCTTGAAGGCTCAAATAGGGGTTGATTCTTCCTTGCAGCAGCACGGACATTCCCATGACAGAAACTGAAAATGTAAGTACTCTTTATGTACTCCTACATGAGTACTCCTTCGTATTTCGCATTTTTTCTCAACATTTTTTAACGAAGCTTTCAACGTTCAATGTTTGTATAACATTTTTTTCACTCGGTCCTGTAGAATATATTGAGAAAGTTTGGCCATTGAAACTTGGGATATCTTGTACATCAAACATTCATTTTTAAAGTCAAAATATTAGTATACACAGTATAGAACAGGGACAAAGTATAAAATATACAATGAAAATGATTTATTTAATATAAACTTCACCGGTCGATGATGTTACCGGTTAACAGACATTATCATTTTGGTCTTCGTTATTATATAAATCTGGGTAGACATTTTAATTTTTGTAGACATTCAATTCAGCATAAATGATGGTTCACGAGTAAGAAGTATGCCGACTCTGTAAAAGAATTAATTTGATCATAAAATGATTATTTCATAATTATAATAACATATAAGAAATATATGTTACCAGTCGGAAACTGTCCGGAGTAAATTCAAGTAAACAACAGAAGTTTTCATCACCTAAAAAATAGTCTTACGAGTTCAATCCACTTTCTCGGAACTAGTTAAATTATTTCTGAATTTCTATACGTACAGTACCGAAGGTAAATAGAGACAATTCGAATATTTTTCCGCCCGTAAGTTTTGGCGGGTAGAGCGATACAGCATGCATAAGAATAAGATACGAAGCTTTCTTTGGCGGTAAAGTGTACCAGTCGATCTCGTAAGAGGCTTGTCCAATTTGACTACACTGATGAAAGATTGGCATATACAATTATAATATTGTACGGAGAATATATACTTACATTCTCAAATGTAGGATATTGTAATAAATACCTGTTCGGATAGAAGTTCACCCATATAGCAAAATATGAATGTATTGAAAGTGAATGAGATTAGAAAAATGCTATACGTTATTATTGAAATAAGATCGCTACTCTCCCAGTCCTAAAAACATGGTGATTTAGATAAATAATACTTGGTGCGACTATGAAGAATTCGGTATATCAAGTTGTTACCCTCAAACAGTAGTATTCTAGCAAACAGATAGTTAACGTAGACTCCAGGATCTGCGTGAGAAATATTTCCCTCAAAGCTTCCTCTACGTTCTTAGCAAATCTAAAATTTTGGTTTCTGACAGTTATCTAACACTTGTACATTTTTGAAGTTGTATGTATTCTCTTACTGTAAAATCGCTGCGTGATCTCGGATGATGATGTTTAATGGATGTGGATGCATATCCCTCGCATTTTTGTCACCAACAAAGTCCTCCAACCGCACCATCTGTATCTGTATCTGTCCGCAGATATGCGTTACGAAAATCACAGCCAAACTGAACGCAGCCACCGTAACGTTGTACCTTATAAATGCAGAAAAACACTGAAGAAAATATAGGATTTCGTAATTTGGACTGGATTGAGTATCGAGGAATGCATCGTAGCCGGGATAAATTAACGGCCTTGTGGTCATGTTTCCTTTCACACGCCCTTTGGAGAAGAACGGTAGCACAGTGTAAAATGCCAATCCTGCGGTGTAAAGGAAAACGGCGCACAAAGTGGTGAGCTTTCTGCTGATGGAAGCGTTTTGTAACATGATAGTACGATGAATTGGATTGTCGACCATTCTCCAGTCTCTTTCAACGTGAGTGATGCAACTCGCGAACGTTGATCCCCTCATAACGAGGTACACGTATTTGATCGTAGCCAGCAGACAATAGGCGACTGGACCGAACAGTTTTGCTCTGAAATATAGCGACATCTTTTCGAAAATTAGATAGAGGCTGGGAGGTATGAGGGAGAACATCAGATAGGTGAGCCACAATATCATCGTGATGATCGAGAGTCCTTTCTCCAGTTTGCTGGAACGAAAGTACACAATTGACCAGATACCAGTCGGCTTTAGAACCCATCGGCACAATTTGAGAGTATAGTTCATATCATCTTCGTAATGGGCGTTGAGGAGATCACGAGCTGAATCCTGCGGACGGTCACGCATGATGACAACTTTGATGCACGATGCGCACTGAACTTCGCGGCAGAAAGTTTCTGTAAAATGTTGGCAGAACGCAAGCGCGTAAATCCAATTACACGCGTACTACGTAATGCATGCGAGTTTCAGAATACAGGGGTAAGTAGCAATCTCGGACAGTCGTAAGCGGCATTGCGTACATTATATATTTATGGGACAGATCGAACGATGAAGGGTGACTAAGCTCGGAATCAATGCCGAGAAGAGATTCTCATACCTACGATCCATTATTTAGCTTTCGTATTTCAAAGCAAAGTTTATACAAATAAAATTCTGAAACTTTGAAGATTTATATAATTACACATATATTATATTGCTGTGAAAAGTTACTTTACGGGATGGAAATTAATACTGAAAAGGATTTTGGACAAAAGTTACGTGCGAGATATAAAAGTGGATGTGTTGATTTTGTATCTTTCCCTAAACAATTATAAATAAAACGTAGTTGCTATATGGCAGGGTTGTATCCGAAGGGGTGGGTCGGTGGGACAAGTTTCGAGATAACGCAATTGGAAATACGACTGGTGTAGCAGGACGAAAGTTCCGCTGTAAAACAATTATACGGGGGTTGGCGATGATCGAGCGCGTCGATTATGCTTACCCTCCTGGTCACCGTTCCTTGAGCCCCAGCTGAGGGGAGGTCTTATTCCACCTGCACCGACCGAAGGGGTTCAACTATTGTTACGGTAGTCCCATATCGTGAGGTAGGGTCGAGGCTTGCCATGTGCGTATATCAACTGTAGTAATAGAGAAAGTACAAGTTTAGAAACGTTTTACCTCGATCAGCGGGAATATTTAGGGGCTTCCAAAACGATATCTAATTGATGGTTACCCCAATCCTGAGCCCGTGGGGGCTTTGAATGGGTCGAGCCAGGTATTGTCAAGTTAAACACGCTTCGACGAATGTAAGTATTGGTGGAAATTTGATTATAGCGATTAAGGAAACGAAATCAAGGCTTTTTGTTCATTGGACAAGTTTGTATTGTAAACACGCGTTCAATGTATTTTCCTATATCGCGTTTAAAAACGATACAGCTGGTTTCCTGTAAAAGAAAGTATATTAATCACAAGGCAGAATATACAGTGTGGCTCTTGAACCCTGTCAGAGTTCGTGAGATACACTGTATATATAAAATATTATTAATTACGTTAGCGATGCAACCTTCCGTGCAGAACCATAGATCAGAAGACACTCTCTGGCCACGGTTAATCGTGCGATTGCGTCAGGGTTAAGAGTTTAGATTGGTTAAGTGCATCAGCGAAATATTCAGAGCGATGCATTTAATATCCTCACGTTGAACAATTTGTAAATTATACATCGAAAGAGGAATTGTGCCCAAAACTTGCATGATCTCAAGAGGGTCGTTAGGATGGAATATAAATGCTACTTTTAAGCACAGTATTTTTTGATAGGAACAACTTTTCGAATATTCTTGGAATTTCTACATATTCTTCGCTCAAATACGCATTGATTGCATTTTGAAACATTAAAATCCTTCAATCCGTTCAGAAGTTATGACGTTTTAAAGATACGCATGGAATTTCCGGGCAACATTTCTGGCCATACATTATATTTTCGATTAGGAATTTTTTTCTCGAAAGCACGTAGGATTTCAAGGGTATGTCTATTGACCAAAAATAATTATAATTGACCCCCGCAACCGAAAATAATTTTTTCAAAACGATTTAAAATTATTTTTTTTCGCCGAAAAATTTAGGCACCTACTCGAATTTTTTTCTCGAAAATGCGTAGGAATTCGGGGGTATGTCTATTCACCAAAAGTGATTGTAGTTGACCCCCGTAACCGAAAATAATTTTTCCAAAACGATTTAAAATTTTTTTTTTCGCCGAAAAGTTTAGGCACCTACTCGAATTTTTTTCTCGAAAATGCGTAAGATTTCGGGGGTATGTGTATTCACCAAAAATTATTGTAATTGACCCCCGCAAACAAAAATAATTTTTTTAGAACGATTTGAAATTTTTTTTTTCGCCAAGAAATTTAGGCACCTAACCCCTGTCGATTTTTCTTAAAAATTCTTAAAAATAAACTACTCAAGTTGAGCATATTAAGTGCTTCACTATCAATATTAAAAGGTATCGATATTCATTTCCAGAAACAATTTATTTACTATAAAGTCTACCAGTTGCAAACGAAACTGGTAAACAGATATTTCAAGATTCAATGTTATATGAATCTGAATAGACATATTAATTCTTGCAGACATTTATCATTACTAATCTTCCACGTACGAGGAAAACAATGAATCTGCAAAAGATATAATTTCATCGCATAATGGCAATTGCACCAAGATAGTATTAGATATGAAATATTTGTTACCAGTCACTAAACTTTCGGAGTAAATTCAGATAAACTACCGAATTTTGCAATATCTGAAAAATAGATTTAAGACGCTCAATAATTTTTCTCGAAACAAAGCAAATTATTTTAGACCACGGTACATACGGAGCCAAAAGTATATAACGATAATTCGATTATTTTTCCGCCCGTAAGTTTTGGCGGATAGAGCGATATGGCATTCATTAGAATAAGATTAGAAGCTTTCTTTGGCGGCAAAGTGTACCAGTCGATTTCATAACAAGCTGGACCAATTTGGCTGCACTGATGTAAAATTAATTTATATTATACCGGCTTTAAAACGTTGAATAAGAATTCGATGAAAGATTTAGGGCGAATGTGCTTAAATCGTTCTGTCATTATAGATTTATAGTTTCGTAAAATTAGAGTGTTTGTAAGACTTTACCCACGAAGGCACAAGTTTCATAGAGGGTACGATTTAAGTACATTTCTCCAACATAGATTGTAGAGTCATTAGGAATGTTTAGCGTGATTAAAAAATATAAACTGATCGCGATACGCGTCTATTTACCTCATCGGATAGAATTTCACCTATGTAACAAAATATAAATGCATTGAAAGTGAAGGAAATTAGATAAATGGAGTATGTTGATATAGCAATAGCATCGCTATTCTGCCACTCCTAGAAACACGGTGACATCGATGAATACTCCACGTTATTACGAAGAAATCGCTATGCTAATTTTTTACCCTCAAACAATAGTATTCGAGCAAACATATAATCAAGGTAGATTCCACGATTTGCGCCAAACATATTTCGCGCAAAGCTTCTACAACGTTCTTAGCAAATCTAAAATATTATATTCCGACGGTTTATTTGCCATTCGTATATTCTACTGTGTGCATATAAAAGTACTCGAATACTCTTACCTTAAGGTCTTGGCGTGATCTCGAATAATGCCGTCCAACGGGTTACGATATGAATCGTTTTTCCACTTTCTTCCAATCAAATCTTTCAATCGCGCTATCTGGGTCTGGATCTGTCCGCAGATGTGCGTTATAAAAATCACAGCCAAACTGAACGCAGCCACCGTAACGCTGTACCTTATGAAGCCGGTAAAACACTGAAGAGAATATATGATTTCGTAGTTTGGACTAGATTGGGTATCAAAGAACGCATCGTAGCCAGGATAAATCAACGGCCTTATGGTCGTGTTTCCTTTCATACGCCCTTTGGATAAGAATGGCATCACCGTATGATACGCCAATCCAGCCGCGTAAATGAAAACGGCGCACAGAGTGCTCAGCTTTCTGCTGACAGACGCGTTTTTTAACATGATACCGCGATGAGTTATGTTTTCGACCATTTTCCAATCCTTTTCAACTTGAACGATGCAACGTTCGAATATCGTTCCCTTCAGGACGAGGTACAGGTATTTAATCGTGGACGTTAGGGTGAAGGCAACTGGACCGAACATCTTTGCTCTTATGTATAGAGTATTCTTTTCGAAAATGATAAAGCGGCCAGGAGGTATGAGGGATAACAATAAGTAGGAGAACCACGTTATCAGCACGATGATCGAAATTACTTTTTCCAGTTTGCTGGTACGACTGTAAACGATCGGCCAAATGCCAGTAAGCTTCAAAGTCCATCGACACATTTGCAGATTATAGTTTATATCATTTTCGTAATTGACGTTAGGTATGTCGGTAACTGGATTGTGTGATCGATCGCGCATGGTGACAACTTGGATGCACGTTATACACTGAACGACGCGGTACAAAGTTTCTTTCAAATGTTGTCAGAACGCAAGCGCGCAAATGTGGTTACAAAAGTTTGGAACAACACAGATACCCCTACACATCTACCCATCGTGGATAGTCGGAACAGATTTTTTGTGGATTATGTATTTATGGGACAGTTCGAATGATACGGGGAGTCCAAGCTCGAGATCAATGCAAACAGATTCTGATTTCTCCGTCCCTTTGTTTAACATATGCATTGTTATCGTGCGATATTCTAGCGACCTAGGTTTTTATTTTTTACCATAAGTGTGGTTGCCTCGTTATCGTTAATTAAAAAGGAAGATAACAAAATCTGATAATTCGGAGGATCTTTAGAAAAATGAATAAAATTGTGTGTTATAGAAGAAACAAGGTGAATATATCGATCGAACTACAATTGAGAAGATACTTTTTACTATAGGTACTATTAAAACAAATTGTACTTTTTAAAAACGTATTGATTTTTCACGGATCATCAGACTTTAACGTCAAAGAAAATTTTCTATTTGGCGCAGTGTGTTCAGAAACAGATTTAGCTATTCTTCCCGATAATATACATATTTTGATGTTATTAAAATCGGTGCTGTGATTCCCATATCGAATATATACTTATACTTTGCCATATATCTGGTACAAACTGCAGTCACTTTCCTATAAAATGAGTTGTAATCGTAAATTAAAAACAACGAAATTTCGACTATAAGTCAAAAGACAAGCCAAATCACACACTCGCGATTACATCACTGCGAACAGCGAACAATATATTGAAACATACCAAGGTTTGTTTCCAGAAATAAAGTACAAAGTGTACATCGAAAACAGTTTTACTGAATTGAAACATCATTGTTGGTTAATAAAAACGTTCGGCGGATATTTGCACTACAAGGTTTAGGATTACATAAATTGGAGTTAATCGTTAAATGTGTTTCACAAATGTGGTAAACAAAAAATCTGCAAAAGATTTAATTTGATTACACGATGATAATTGCGCCACGATAACGGTATGAAAGTATATAATGTTTCTTTACCAATCAGCAAGTGTCCGTAATAGATTGAAATAGACCACTGATGTCTTCAATACCTAAAAAATGTTAAATCTTAAGGACCGAACTATCCTTTCCTAAATAAATAAAATTACATCAGGATGAGACACGTACAGCACCGAAGGTATTCAGAGATAATTCGATTATTTTTCCACCCATCAATTTAGGCGGGTAAAGCGATACCACGTTCAGAAGAACAAGATTGTAAGCTTTTTTTGGTAGTAAATTGTACCATTCGATGCCATAAGAGGCTGGACCGATTTGGCTACACTGATGGAAGATTAGTACATCATAGTTAATATATCATAGATTCGTGATAAATAACATAAATGGATAGCGATATATCTGTGAATACCTGTTCAGACAAAATTTCGCCCGTGTAACAAAATATAAATATATTGAAAGTGAAGGAGATCAGATAAATGCTATACGTCGATACTGCAATCATATTTCTATTTTGCCACTCCTAAAAATACGACGTTGTTGGTAAATGATTTACGCAACTACGAATAAATTGATACATTAATTCGTTACCGTCAAGGTATTGTATAAGAGACAACATATAACCAACGTGGACTCCACGATCTGCGTCAGACATATCTGGCCTAAAGTTTCCTCGACGTTCTTAGAGAATCTAAAATGTTCATTGAGGAGGATTTTGTAACGCTCGTATAATTGCAGAAGCGTGAGAGAAACCAGCAAACCCTCTACCTTAAGATCTCAGCATGGTCTCGAACAATAATGGCAAAAGCGTTGCGATCAGAATGTTTGTCTTTCTTGTTCCGAATCACATTCTCCAATCGTGATATTTGTATCTGGATTTGCCCGCAGATATGAGTTACGCAAAGCACGGCCAAACTGAACGCACCGAGTGTAATGCTGTACCTTATGAGACCGGTGACAAATTGAATACAGAAAATAATTTCGTAGGTTGGACTGGACTTTGTGTCGAAGAATGGATCATAGACCGGGTACGCTAATGATTTTCCTGTGCTGTTTGCTTTTGCCTTTCCCTTGGACAATAGTGGTATTATGGCGTGGTACGACAGTCCAGCGGTATAAAGGAACGCGGCACACAAGATGTTTAGATTTTTGCTGATGTTAACGTGCCGTAACATGATGTTACGATGATTTGGGTTGTTCACAGTTCTCCAGTCTCTTTCTATATGTAGAATGCAACGTTTAAAGCCTGCTCCTTGTAGAACAAGGAAACAGTACTTCATCGTGCATGCCAGGCAAAAAATTACCGATGCGATCAGCTTCACTTTAACCTTTCCGTTATTCTCGGAGAACATATAGTAAAGAAAAGGTATAAGGAAGAAGAGCAGACAGGAGAAACACGTTATTAGCAAACCGATCGAAACAAGTTTCTCCAATTTACTAGTACGATTGTAAATTAAAGGCCACATACCGATTGTTTTTAGAACCCACTGGCACATTTTTAGCGTATAGTTTATGTCCTGTTCGTAATTGAAGTTCTCTTGACAATCAGCAACTTGCTTACGTGATCGGTCATGCATGGTGGAAACTTTGTGGTACGTTTTAGACTGAACGATGCAACGCAAGTTGCGGTACACCATCGATTGAACGCAAGCGCATAGACCCTAACAAAAAGTACACAGGCGATACTTGGAGGTACATATGTGCTCTAACTTCGGGGAAGTTTTTGCCGATTGTTGATTTATAGAATGGTCGAATGTTGATGAAAGATTAAAGAAGATATTGCCATTGGTTCGTTCGATCATCTCTATCTCTTATATTTCTGTTGTACAGTCATTGAATAGTAAATTTTAATGTAATATGTTGTGTACGTCAAAAAGATATTTGTATACCTAGTTTTGTTTGCAATAACTTTATACAAATAAGTGATACATAAAGAAAAACTATTTTGAGAAATAGTTTACTATGTGAAGATATGTGTAAACGTGGAATTATTAATTATTTTACATACTGGTATTTACGTGTTTCAGGATAATGGAACGATTGGAGTGAATGGAACATTTCCTCGATGTGACTTGTGATACTCGAAAGGATATTGAATAAGGTACGATTAAAATAATTTTTTTCTCGAAATTCGAAGAGTGTGCATGTACTTTTCTGGACCGATCGATCGATACTATGAGATTCATATTAAATTAAAAGTTGTTTATCTTTTTACTTATCGAATATAATATACATAAAAGAAATTTGTCGACGAGAACATAAATCTACGAGTGGGTGGGAATGTTGTTGATTTTAAATAGAGTCTTTTATTTCGCGTAAACGTTTGTACGAATATGGCGCGTTGACAATCTGTAAAAAGTTTAAGCTGATTGTATTATGTGTACAATGACAGTTACATCACGATAATAGTAACAAACGAAAGTTTCATTACCAATTAGTTAATGTTCGAAGCAGATTCAAATAAATTGCCGATGTCTTTAACACCTGTAAATTATTAGGGCTTCGCTGTTTGAGCATTCTTCTCTCAATGAGAAATACTATGTTAGAATAAGTCACTTACAGAGCTGAACGTATTCAGTGAGAGTTGAAATATTTTCCCGGCTGTAAGTTTAGGCGGATAAAGCGCTATAGCGCTCAACAGAGCAAGACCGCAAGCTTTCTTCGCTGGTAAATTGTACCATTCGATATCATACGCGGCTGGACCAATTTGGCTACACTGATAGAACAACAAAGTTTATCGCGTTTATTAAGCTGGACGAAACTTTTTCGTAAATTACCTGTTCGGATAGAACTTCTCCTATGTAACAGAATATGAGTATATTGAAAGTGAAGGAGATCAGCAAAATAAAGTACGTAAATATTGCAACCACGTCGCTATTTTGCCATTCCTAGAAACAGAGCGACGCCGATAAACACTTGATAAATTAAAAAGAAATCGATGTATCGAATTTCTGATTTAAGAAGATTGCGATTGATACAATTTTTTACCACTAGGCAATAGTATTCGAGCAAACATATGATCATTGTAGACTCCACGATCTCCATCAAACATATCTCGCGAAGAGCTTCTTCGATGTTTTTCGAGAATCTAAAATGTCCATAGTAAGCGACTTTCGAAACTCCACGGGCTTTACAAGACGTAAGAAAAGTTAGAACACCGTGCTTAACAGTTAACCGTACCTCTTACCTCAAGATCTCGACATGATCTCGAACAATGTTGGCCAAATGGTCGTCGTAGGTGGTTTTCCCCTGCCTTCCTTCGATCAAGCTCTCCAATCGTGATATCTGGATCTGGATCTGACCGCAGATATGCGTGACACAAATTGCGGCTAAGCTGTAAGCGGCCGTTGTAACACTGTACATAATCATGGCGGATAAACAATGAACGCAAAATACGATCTCGTAAGATGGGCTAGACTGAGTATCGATGAACGGATCGTAGCCAGGGTAAGCCAATGGTTTTATCACGGTTGAATTTCCCTTGGCATTGTCCTTGGACAGGAACTGCATCACGGTGTGATACGACATACCACCGCTGTAAAGAAAAATGGCGCACAAGGCGATGAGATTTCGGCTGATAGACGCGTGCTTTAACATAATGGTACGATCACTGGGGTCGTTCACCATCTTCCAGTCCTTCTCCACGTGAGCGATGCAATGCCCGAAGACTGTGCCCTTCAGGCTAAGATAGCAGTATTTAATCGCGGACGACAGACAGAAGCCGACAGGACCGAGCAACTTCACTTTTATCTGTATGTTTTTCTCCACGAAGAAGATGTAGTGGCCGGAAGGCACGATGATGAACAACAAACAGACGAAACATACTGTCAACAATGCGATCGAAACAAGTTTCTCCAGTCTGCTGGTACGGGTGTAAATGAGCGGCCAGACGCCGATCGGTTTCAAAACCCATCGGCACATTTCTAAAGTGTAGTTTATGTCGCTTTCGTAATTGGAGTTCTTCGGAAGACCACCGACTCGGTTGTACGATCGATTATACATGGTGATACTTCAGCTGTACGCCATCGACTGAACGTCGCGGCAGAAAATTGCGAGACAACATTGTTTCAACGCAAGCGCGTAAACATTTTACTTTACTTTCTGTAGACGAGTTCGGAACAATTTAATCTGTTCTCCGTAACCGTGCGCGGGATTCTTTGTAATTTATAAGCATATTGACCGGGTAGAATTGTGCTTGGGAATCGCGAGCGCAGAATCGGTGCAAAAAGATTGTCAACGGTTCGTTCGATTAATCGAATAAGTACTACGTTCGTGCGTTTTATTATACTTTTGGTAGTTTTAATTGTTACGAAACACTGTGTACGATATACACGGTGCGGCGGAATAATATCGTGTAAATCTTTCTCGTTCGAGATATTTTGCAAACAAGTTTCGATCGATGTTCCGAAAAGCGAAGCTTCGAACGACAAATGTTTATGGTTTTACAGCTTTTAGGCTGTATCACGAATCAATCCTACCGCATCCTGTATTATATGTACACCAGTGCTTTGTACATTTTACATATTTTTCTAATCGAACTGCTTTTATTTTTTTAGATTCGAAAGTACGGGAGTTTACTCGATAGTTTCAATTAGAATCGGTGATAGTTCGCAGCATATTTAAGTAAACTAAGGATGACTTTAACACCTGAAAATTATGAAAAATTTCAATTACGAAAGATCTCTGTTGCGAAGTGTCGTCTGCGGGACAGAAATTACTTACAACACCAAACGTGTTCAACGACAGATCAATTATCTTGCCAGCCGTTAGTTTTGGTGGATAGTTCGATATAGCGAGCAACAAAATGATACCACGTGCTGTCTTTGCCCGCAGATTATACCAGTCGACTTCGTACGAAGCTGACGCTATTTTGCTACCCTGATACAAGACTCATGTCTATTATGCCAAAGGTTAAACACCCTCGCGTCTACGTTCAAAAATATGATGAACAATGAGTATACACAGGGTGACCAGGCATGAACGAGCAAACTTTCGAATCTAATTACGTGTTTCTTACGGATACCTGTCCAAGAAGAAGTTCTCCCACGTAGCAATATATGGCAATGCTGAAGATGAAAGAACCCAATAGAATGACGTAGGTTAGTATCGCGATGGAATCGCTAGTTTCCCATTCCTAAAGGATGTTAACAGTTGTAGTACGTTTCTATAGTACGATAGTGGAAATGTTCAGTTTCGAATTATTCGCTAAAGATTGATCTAGACAAGCGATTACCGATCACGATTACGATTCTGTTTCCAGATCTATTGGTCCAACATATCTGTTATTTATTTACTTGTTCACTAATTTTAGAGTCGATTAATGACCGTAACGACGAAGAAACTTCCTGTATATTGAGTCTGTTGAAAATATAATAAGAAGGCGAATAAGTCGCCAAAACCGTATCGTGACCAGCGTGTTCGTCTACGCTCATATTTAACGATCAGTGTTCCACGGTTTTTTTACCATCATGCAGTAATATTCGAGCAAGCATATTAGTAAAGTCGACATTATTATTTCCATTAACAACATCTCCTGCAACGCTTTCTCCACGTTTTTCGTAAATCTGAAATTTCATGGTTCCTACTCCAACAAACCTGTAATCGGTATCGATTTCGAAGACAACAATCTGCCTTACCTTATTATATCAACGTGACTCTTCACGACGATCGCTAAATCGTCTTCGGGGCGGGCGTGCTTTACCGCGGATCTGTTTCTCTCGGTCAATCGCTTTAGCCGAGACGTTTGTATTTCTATCTGTCCGCAAGCGTGGCTCGTGAAGATGGCGGTCAGGCTGTACGCCGCCATCATGATGTTACCGGTTACCAGAACGTAGAAACAATGCATACAGTACACGATCTCGTACGTGGGACTCTCCTGGACATCGAAAAACTGTTCGTAACCGGGATAAGTTAACGGTTTGACGATGGTGCCGTTCTTGTTCTTCTTTCCGGAGAGTAACGGCATGATCGTGTGGTAGGATAAACCGCCACTGTACAAGAAAACGGCGCACAGAGTGATGAGATTACGGCTCATGATCACGTGTCTGATCATGATCGCACGATGATCCTGGTCCCGCAATAATCTCCAGTCTTTCTCTACGTGTTCGATGCAGCGTTCGAAGGCCGGCCCCTTGAAACCCAAGCAACCGTACTTGAAAAACGACGTCAGACAGAAAGCGAGAGGACCGAGGAATTTGATCTTCGTGTTCATGTCTTTCTCGTAGAATAGAATGTAATGGCCGAATGGTATGATGACGAATTGCACGACGGAGCAGCATATCAGTATTAGCACCACCGATACCGTGCGTTCGAGTTTGTTCGCACGGCTGTAGATGAGAGGATAGATGCCGATCGGCTTCAGAATCCAAAGGCATAATTGAAACGCGTAATGTATGTCGTTCTCGTATTGGTCGTTCCGCAGCAGGTCGTCAAGGGTTGACAATCGACGCATCCTGACGGCCGCGGTGCGCGTCGTGGACTGAACGACCACACGGAACCGACCTTCGTACGTACAGGTTGAATCGGACGCAAGCGCGATATCTCCAATGAATGAACACTCTATTTTCTGATCGATAGCAATGTAGCAACACGCGCGAGTTGCTGCTGCCGGCCGTTTACGGTTCGCCAACGAATGGTTCACGACCAATAAACAAAAGGAAAGAAAGTGCGATTAAGAATAGTTTATACATATTACTTATAAACGCACCTTGAATTATTCGGAAATGAAAGCGGAAATTTCTCCATGAAAGCTGACATTTACGATTATTAATTTCATCGTGAAAGACGAGAGGTAAAATTCTGAAATAATTTCTACATGCACGATGCTCGGAGTTGTCTATTTCTTTTCTATATTTTAACGAAAGTAGGTATTCGTCTCTGTGGTAAAGCGAGTTTCCAAAATACGTATCTACGTTGACTTATGATCGATCGAAGAACTGATTTTTCACATGGTCAGTGTACGAAGCAGACTCAAATATGCCATCGATGATTTTATTACCTATAATAGAGAAGATTTCGATAGAAAGATATTCTCGTATCGTGTAATAGAATTTTGGTTTACTTACGCTGCAGAAACTGTTTAAGGATAGCTCGATTAACTTTCCAGCTGTTAATTTGATAGAGGAGTTCGATATAGCGAATATCAGTCCCAAATCAAGCGCGTCCTTCCCCGGCAAACGATACCAGTCGATCATATACGCCGACAAGCTGATGCCTTTGCACTATGATATTGAAACGAAACGCATAGATGTTTTATATATAATTTTAGGCGAGGAACAATAATCATTACTATCAGTGATATACCTGTTCGGATAAAATTTCACCATTGTAGCACACTATGAAAATATTAAACACTAAGGATATGAGTAACGTGCAATAGGTTAATGTTCCTATAGTTTCGCTTTGTTCCCATTCCTACAAAACTGACAACAGAATATGGCAATCGTGATTTAAACAGGATAAATCCGATGTTAAGGTATAACGTTCAGCATATGTATATCCTACCGTGAGTAAATAATATCCTAGGAAACAAATATTCATCGTGCATCCAACGAGTTCGATCAAGCATATTTCGTTAAAAAGTTCTTCGATTTCAGATATAAAACTGTAAAATTACCGATATCTCATCATCGCGATCTTACGAGTATCGAACGGGTGCCTTCGTGTTTCGACAATATTTCAAAATTATTTACCGAAGTATCCGTAGATGACGTTCGACGATATCTCCTAATATTTTCTTGTAAGGCACCAATTTGTTTGCTTTCGGTAGATCGTCAACTAAGTCGTTGAGTTTATTCGCAAGGATCTTGAATTGTCCGCACGCGTGCATGGCGAACACCGAGGCTAGGCTACAAGCACTGGAAGTGATGGCATATAAGACGAACGCTGCCAAAAATTGCGTAAATTGCACGATCTCGAACGAAGGACTGGTCCGTGGATCCATCAGGCCCCGGTAGATCGGAAAAGCCTGAGCCCTAACTGTTTCGTTGTCGATGATCTCCATTCTCTCTGTGACCAATGGCATGATGATGGTATAAGAAAATCCGCCCGAGTACATGAATCCCACGGCAAAGACGGCCAACGATCTACCGATCCTCGCGCTCTCGATCATGATCTCCTTGTCCTGACCGCGACGCTCCGTATTTATCCGGGCCCAGTCGGAGCGAATTTCTTCGATGCACTTGCTTACTTTCGCGTTGCGCACATGGAGGATGTAGTATTTGATCGCGGACATTAAACAGAAACTGAGCGGGCCGGTCATCTTTATTTTCATATCCAGATCGGCCGATTTATCAAGGAAAGTACACAGAGCGCACGGGATGAGAAGAAATCCTATGAGAAAGCAGCTTACGAACGTCAGTGCCACGGAATTTATTTTCTCCGTTGTACTGACGCATAACGAGAGCGGCCACGCGCCGATCGGTTTCAGCAGCCAACGATTTATTTGAACGCTATACATCCAGTCTCTATCCGAAGAATCGGTGGAGCCAGTCATGATACTAGTCGGTGGAAAGTTCACACTCCACTGACAGATACAACGATAAATAAAGTTTTATATTGATTGCCCAAGTATTGGCTTTGCGCATGTGCTTACCACTTAATAATATACATTCGAGGCATATGCCAGTGCAGTTGAAGTCTCCGAGCCACCAGTTGATTCCTCGAGGCACTACGGTCTACAGGTACCTAATAAAATCACGATAACGATATGTGGATATACGGAAAAGAAATTCGGAACAATATTATACATAATACGTTGCAACAAGGATTTTCGTTGCAGTGCGAAAGAATGGTGGTGGCGAATAAAGGAGCAATGTTATTTAGTTGAATACAAATGATTCGTTAGTGTCCAATGATCCTTTAATCATTGAATTTTATATGTAACATCGTTATTGTACATTCAAATTTATCTACAACTCTGGACACGTGCGTTCGTGTCACGTGTATTGCCGCAATAGATTTATATATGCGAAAGCAGTTTTTACCATCTGAAATAACACACGATCTTGTTAAATTAATAACGTTCGATGGACTAGTAGCTATCGATATTAACAACAGACGTACTTACGTGACCAAATGTGTAAACAGACATATAAATTATCTTTCCGGCAGTGATTTTAATGACAATGCTTGATCTCGCGATGATGAATAGTAAGTCGAGGATAGTTTTAGCAGGCAAATAATACCAATTTGTCATGTAAACGATTTCACCAACCTTCTTGCACTATTAAGAATTTACTCGGTGAATCTCGATGGTATCTTTAATTAGTTGCTCCTACGTGTCTTCGTTACCTGTTCTGTCAGTACTTCACCGATATAACAGACTATAAACATGTTGAAACACATAGAAAACAGTATCATAAAATATATAATTACATTCTTAAAGTCGTGATAGTTCCATTCCTAGAAAAATAAATACTTTTACCCTTTTCAAAAGGATCGGAAGAATCTCTTAGAAATGATTAAAGAAACAAATAGATGAATGAATGCAGTTGCGTATGAAAAAGTAATGCGAGAGCTTCGCAAATAGTCTCATGTATTTTGAATATGTAATCTTTCTGTTTGCAGTGTCGGTGCAGCATGAATTGTATAGTTGCAAGTATTTGTTACTCGGGAATAAAATTTCCCGAGGTAAATGTAAGCAAACTGAATTCGTACGTAGAATTAATTTATGCAAAATTGTCCTTGATTTTTGACAGTGTAGCGTGTCAAAATAATATACATATACGGCTCGATGAATATGTATTACACAATAATAATACATTTCTTAGCATTTTTAGCATACCATGAGAATGTAGTATCCAATCATGCATATATTCAGTGTACACTTAAACAATTCCGAGAAACATATTCGATTCATCACGACTTCGATGCGCGATATCAAGCTGAAATTAATACATACACACAGTAGTCGCTAAAGTTTACCAGTCATAAGCATTTCCTTCTCAAAATTTTTACAAACGACGAATACATCGTGTGGTCCAAATCAATTATGTTTTTACAATATTTTGCAGCTCTTTTGACACGCCTTATAACATGACCTAATATATATTTGCCACTGTACGTACATTCTAGAAGATTTGTTTTTGTTTTTTTAAGACTGAATGTGATCAGAAAAGACGTGGAAGTAGTACCAGAACAGGGTTAAAACTTTCTTTCGTTGTAGGTCGGAGAGGAAAAATCGGAAGAGAATAGGGTCAACGTACCTCAACACTCTAAGATGATGCTCTACTACCACTCCGATCTTGTCACAGTAGACCTCCTCTGGTTGTCCTTCGTACTCGTCGACGAATTCGGTGATCCAATTCATCAGGATTTTTAACTGGCCGCACGCGTGACTCGCAAAGACAATGGCGAGACTAAAAGCAGCAACTGCACTGGAATTTACGATGAAACCTGATAAATATTGCGAGGCGATGACGAGTTCGTTGGTGGGACTGGTCTCGACGTCGAGTAGCTTTCTGTAGAATTGGCAAGGCAGCATACGCACAGTCCTGATCTGATTACCGTCCTGAACGAGATGCGTAGTGAATGTCGTTAACACGCAATACGCGAAAACGCTACCCTGCATGAAAGCTGCACAAAAGCCCGCCACGTAGCGACCGAGCTTCGCGCTTTTCAGCATTATTCGTTGGTCCTTCGCTCTCGTTATCAACCGCCAGTCGGTCTCCAGATGTTCCACGCAATATCGTATCTCTTTGCCGCGCATTAGCAACATGGTGTAATTTACACCGCCCATGAACCAGTGACTCAGAGGACCGACCATCTTAAGTTTCTTGTAAAGATCCTCGTCCTCGAGAACGATGTGCATCATGCAAGGGATTACCGTAAACAATATCGAACAGTAACAAATGACGATCAGAACGATCGAAATCATCCTCTCGATCCTAGAAGTGGATCGCGACGGTGGCCAGGCACCTATCGGTTTCAAATACCATCGATTCAGCTGTAGACTGTACTTGCTCAGATCGTCGAGGTTCGTAGATTGGTCGATCATCGTGATCACTCGTAGAAGCTCGGCAACTTACTGAAACGAGTATTTTTAACGGAACGAGCCGGCGAACATGACGGCTTAACGCTTGCGCAGATTTTTATGAACGATGGTTCGCTGATCGATTCGTCTGGACGGTGCAATATGTTACAGTTGGCGAACTCTGCTATGTTTAGAAGGTATCAAAAGTACGTTTGGGAATGGCTCGATTTCGCGTCCCATCATGTTAGATTTTTTTTATGCTAACAAATAGTTTGTTCTCATATAAATTCTTATTTCTAGGTGGAAGAAGTGTATTCTGAGCCTCTGGTGACGCATGTACATGATACACTTGTTGCAGCAACCTGAATCGGTGAGTGCGTACGAAACATTTGTGGTTTATCGTAGAAGCTTAGAAACGTAGTTTGGTCGCGTTTAATTCGATAAGGAATTTCTATCCAACGACAGTGTAACAACACGTTGCAACTAGAAACGCATCAAATAACTACGGGAATTTCGTATTTTCTTTATTCTAACGAATCTACACGACGTTGTACATAATGTTCTATTTCGAGAATATGATAATTTACATTGCAATTGTGCGAAGCATATTGAAGTACGTAAAAGACGTTTTAAATACCTGGAAGTATTAACGTTTTAGACGAAAAAATTAAGGATAATTCTTTCTCGTTCCAATACTCACGTCGCCAAAAGTTGCGATAGATATATGGACTAATTTTCCAGCAGTGATTTTAGTCACTTGGCTCGATCTTGAGATTACCAGGATCAAACCAGCAGCAGTTTTGTGAGGTAAACGATACCAGTTTGTCATGTATGCTATTTTGCCAACCTTTTTGCACTATCGCGAAAAGGATAATCGGTATAAAACACAACATTCTTCGTATCTAACGTTTTTTTAGTAACAATTGTTTACCTGTTCCGTGAGTTTCTCACCGATATAGCAAAATATAAAGATATTAAAAGTCATGGATGCGTATAGAATAGCGTACGAAGCTACGGTCTCTTTCGATTTTTCCTAGGAAGTGAAAAAAATGTTCAAATAAGAGGTGGCTCGAAAATCTCGTAGATACTCGATAAATTTGTATTTTTTTTTTCGTCATTTGATACGTCGAATCATAATATACCTAATAGATCTTAAAATTCTTATCTTTTCTATACTGGAAACATGTACTTTCGGGGGAGTTCCTTTCGAGGTTTCGATCTCTTAATCTAATAATAACCGTATTTAACAGCAGCCGATCGAGGAGGTCGAAGACTTACTAGAAGTTGTTTCTAAATGACAAATTGTTTTGTCCGCATCAAAACTGATCGGCATCGAGTTACTTCGTTTTATCCATGTTGCGATGTATGGAACGTACCGTAAGGATATAGTATTCGAGCATGCACAAGTTGAACGTGCATCCCACTAACTCAACAAGACAAATGAGATTCATAACTTTTTCTATACGCAATATAAGACTGAAATTAATATTTTCATGAATCGAAAGAACACTAATTCTATGTAAATCACATGGATGAATGTATTCGATCGTCAACGTATGTACTTCATCGTTGAAACATGCTATCGAACGAATGACACGAACGGTACCTTAACGAGCGTAGATGATGTTCGACGATGAAAGCCAATTTGTTCCGAGCGGGCGATTGTTCCGCCTTCGTGTTCACCATATCATCCAATCGGGACATGACGACGTTCAGCTGGCCGCAGGCATGCGCCGCTAACGTGGCGGCCAAACCGCAAGCACCCACCGTCACGAAATTAACGATCAAACCGGATACTAGTTGCATGACAAAGATGATCTCGTTCACCGGACTGTACCTGGTGTCCATTAGTTTCGTATAAAACGGACAAGGCAACAGGTACATCGTGTGACTCTCGTTACCGACGCGAAACACCGTCGTCTTCGCGCTCGTGGCTATATTGTACGAGAGGACACCGATGTTCATACATAACGCGGCTACGCACGCGATGAAACGACCAACTTTCGCGTTTTGCAACATCAGCTCGCGATGCCTCGGCTTTCCGACCGTCTTCCAATCGCTCTCAACGTGTTTCAAGCAGCAATGCACGTCGTTCATCCGTCCCAGCAGACAGCAATAATTCAGTTCGCCCATCAGCCAATGGCTCATCGGGCCGATCGCTTTCATTCTCGCCTCCATGCTCGTATCCTCGAACAGGATAAATAACGCGCAGGGTAGGAACGTGAGGACGACCAACGTGTGACAGACGAGGTTCAACAGTTTCGCGAGGATCCTCTCGGGCCACGTGGACTCGGTTAGTTTGGGCCAGGCCCCTATCGGTTTTAGGAACCAACGATTCACCTGCACGGTGTACTCGTAGTCTTGAACGTGAGCGACGTTGGTCATTGTTCTGCCCGATATGATTGTTTCGCGGTGACCGATTCATGAGTGAACGGGTTAACTCACAACAGAGTTGCTTCGACAAAAGTTGACGCATGCGCGAATTTTTTTCTGCCCTTGGTCTCGACGTCTTGCCTAGTTCGCGTTACACCGATGCGACATGATCGATTAGTGCTCCCGTGAATATTCTTTTCGAAACACGTTCGACGGGCAAAAGAAGTTTCGCTGCTGGTAGGACATTGTACAAGTTGTTCGACGTTTCCAAGAATTCGCTTCGAGGTGAGTGATAACCACTTTCTCCCTATCCTCTGTACGCGTCGAATACATAGTCCGAATGCGGGCGATGATGTTTACGTTGAGATATACATAAATGTTATTCCATCGACACGTTCACCGTCCGCCACGAATCGAACGTATTTTTCGCGAGGACCGCGTCCTTGGTTCACCACTCAATTTATTTATCCTTGGTAAGAATATAACGCATTACATTGCTCAACACAATCGTGGGGTTTTAAATAATTTTATTCCACTGTACCTACTACATCGAATATTTTTAAAATGACTACTATCGTGTATCTTAAAGAAAAATATAATCATTGATGTTTGGTGCGACCACCGAAATAATCTAGGGCAGAGGTAGAGAATCATGTGATATTGTCAGTTCACTTAATACTTCGTGTACAGTTAATTTTGTCAAAATTATGCACTCACTCAGATATAAATTGTGTCTCTTCAGCGACCCATCAACGAGAGTAGTTTTTTTTTTTTTTTTAAGCTGTAATTCAGTGGTTTTCACTTACATTTCCGCGAATCACGATTGTTTTACGGTCTAAAGATTCTGTCTGTATACTTCAAGTCAACGTCCGCAGCATGTTTAAGAAAGCAACCGACGTTTTAATAACCTATTGATTCGAAAAGTGATTTTTACTGTTCGTATACCTACACCATTTATGATTTTGTTTTGAATACTCACGACACTGAAACTGTTAAGAGACAATTTGATAAGATTTCCTGCGGTAAGCTTCATCGTCGCGTTGGACATCATATTTATCAAGACTAAGCCGAGTCTTTTATTTTCTGGTAACCGGTACCAATCGATCATGTAGGACATTTCGCCAACTTTTCTACACTATCATAAAATATAATACTTGTTTCTTTTATATTCATCGATACCACCGTAGTCTCTAAACAGGTAGAGTTTCTATCGAAGTCTGAGCTTATTTTATTCTCGCAAGAAGAGGTTCTAAAATGTGACGCTTACTTTTTGATTATTGTTTATGAAATATTCGTGATTAATGCTTTCAATATCTTGTATAAACAATAATCCGTCTGCCTCCAAAGCCGGGTACCATTAGCTCTGGTACCTTAACGCACACAGGTATGCAAAAGCTGATCAAAAAGTAAGCGTCACACTCTGAAATTTCTTCTTATCGATGTAAAGTTATATTTTTATATGTTTTGTAATTGTATACTTTTACCTGTTCGGCGACAATTTCGCCTATATAACAAAATATGAAAATATTGAAGGTAAGAGACATAAGTATTATGATGTATGTTATAGCAGCAGTTAGATCTTTCGAATTCCATTCCTATAATATGAAAGAGGCGAACATGTACCTACAATTGTATTTGAATAGAAAAGTACAATTCGGATCGAACGCTATGCGTCGTACCACGATAATATAATATCCAACGAGACACATATCCAACGTACAACCCGAGACCTCGACAAGAGATATTCCCGTCATTGCCTTCTCTATAAGCGTTAAAAATCTGTAATTGTATATATAAAAATCAAAATCTTTACCCTCTCTCCAGGCATACGATCAACAATGTGATTGTGTACAGAATTCTATCGCACAGTTTCAAACACGTTAGCTGCAATGCACAAAGTGTTTCAATTCACGTTTCATAACTTTTATAGGCGGCTTTTACACCTTCTAGTCGGTAGACATCCGACAAAAAGGTTTGAAACTTGCCAAAAGACAATATGCAAAATCCCGCTATAATAGTCGTGACATATAATCTCGAAACACCTTGTACAGACAGTTCTACTACACAATATTGCATTTTACACACTTCAGTATTCGAACGTGTTGACTCACGATGTTCGCGATTCTTCTATCCACGGTTTTAGCCATGTCTGCGCGGCCGGTTATCAAATAATTCAGCCAGCACATCAAAATTTTCATTTGTCCGCAAACGTGCACGGCAAAAACAGCGGCCAAACTGCAACCGGCTGCCGCGATTCCGTGTATCAGTGCGCCCCCTAAAAATTGAATCGAAAAGAGGATCTCGTTGGCGGGACTGTGCCGGGTGTCGGCTATGTATTTCGAGAACGGAAACACCATTGGAACGAAGGTTAGATTTCCATCCTCTGCTGCGATCTTCCCAACGCTAATCGGTACTGCGATATAGTAAAATACGAAACCACTGTACATGAAAAATGTGCAGATTTTCACTACCCGGCTTCCAGAGTTTGCAGTTTCTACCATAATGTCTCGGTCTTCCAAGTGTTTAACGTTTCTCCAGTCCCACTCGATGCGATCGAGGCACTCGCGAATGTTAGTCCCGTAGAAGATCAACGAAAAGTATTTCAAGTATGCCATTATGCAGAAAATCAACGGACCGAATAGTTTCAGTTTGTTGTAGACATCCTCCACTTCCAGCATCACGTACAGGCCACAGGGCACGAAAAGAAAACTAATCAAACCGAAACAAATTACGTTTATCTGTCGGTCAAAGCATTTCTCTATTCGCGAATTATTAGAGGAATGTGGCCAGACACCCATCGGTTTCAGGAGCCACCGGTTCCATCGAATGCTCAGATTTATATATCGTTCGCACTCCTCCGCCGTTGGCAGATATTTCGCAGTGTTTGTCATTGGCTTTTGCATCGTTAATGTTCGAAAGCTCCGCTGATACTGAAAGCTCGTAGTCCGATGACGGTTCGCAGGAAAACGATGTTGCGCTTGCGCTCGATTCACAGAACAAACCTATCTATCTCCAAAGGGTTCCGACCCTTCATCGTAGCCCGCTTCCAGTTTGTCGCTTTATGCATTATAAGTGCGGGCACGAGACCGATAACTCTCCAACATCGATAAATTGATTTGTCTACGAGCAACGGACCTTAAGCTCAACAGATTCGGTTCTATCAATTTATGGATTATACGAGTTTACGCGTATTCATTTCATATAGTGTTGATTACGCTAATACTATAAAATCATAAGCAATTTTGTGAACATTACGAGCGAAAGAAATGTGCGCGAATAAAATTTACACAACTCTGATCGCGTTACACGTATGTCTATGCCAAAACGAATACCACCAGTTCCTCCCCAACACTCTGATAGTAATAAAATCCTAACACTACCATAATGTACTTGACTTCAGAATGTTTTATTTGAATCCAGATGCGCTGAATGGATCACACCGGAAGCTCAACGGACCGAGGAGTTTTACTTTGTTGCAGACACGGTCCACTTCCAGCAATGCGTACAGGCCGCAAGGTATGAAACGAAACATAATTATAACATTTTTAAACAGGCTATATCATGGAGAAGCGTTTAAAGCTCGAGCGTTCGTTTTACATTAAAAGTTTGCATATCAATGACGCAGAAAAACAGCGTTGATTGCTTTAAAACATAATTATCATTCAGTTTCTGATACTACAGTAAAAGTATACGATACATGTGGTATCGTAACATAATTATCATTCAGTTTCTGATACTACAGTAAAAGCATACGATACATGTGTTCCTTAAAATTACGAAATATCGGCATTCGCAATAAGTAGGTACTTTGTTTGCATCGTTTCGAGTATGGCGAGAAACTGTCACGTCACAGCTCGCAACATATTCAAGAAAGCGACGGATGTTTTAACAACCTACATATATATTCATTCGATATGCTCGGTTTTTATTCTCGGATAAACTATGTCAATAATAATGTTTAAATACTTACATCGCCGAAAGTGCTGAGAGACAGAATGACTATGTTTCCAGCGGTAAGATTAATCGATGAATTTGACATAGCTATTATCAAAACGAAGCTGAGCCTTCTACTTCCTACTAATCGGTACCAATCAATCATGTACGACATCTCGCCAACCTGTCTGCTCTATAAAACATATATGTTTCGCTTTAATTTATTTTAACGTTGCGCTGCAAACTATTAAAATCTGAAAGTATTCATTTAGAATCAATTCTAGATGAAATTGGTATATATCACTATACTTACTAGTATACTGAAAGACTTACCAGTTCCATGACGAGTTCGCCTATATAACAAAATATGAAGATATTGAAGAGAAAAGACATGAGTATGATGAAGTACGTCGCGGAAACAGTTAGATCGTTCGAATCCCATTCCTGCAATGCCAAGATGCGAATACGTGTATTAACGCTGACTGTGGCACATCAAAATTATATCAGTTTTACTTGTTAGCGTATATCGCGCGTACCATAAGAATATAATACCCAAGAAGACATAAATTCGTCGTGCATCCCGTAAATTCAATGAACGATATTTGTTGCAGCACTTTCTCTGTAACCGATAAAAACCTGCAAATTGCAAATAGTAAGACCGAAAAATCCGACATCCTCTTCTCTATTTGATTCGTATTGCAGAATTTTAAGAGGAATTCTTTCGCAACAATAATCATTAATGCTTCGAATCGAACAAAGTACGCTCTACGGGCCTTTAGAAGGATTTATTTTACGCACTTCAGTACACGAACATGTTGGCTGACGACATTCGCTATTCTACCATCCACGGTTTTGCACATATCTGCTCGGCCGTCAACCAAATAGCCCATCCAGCACATCAAAATTTTCATTTGTCCGCAAGCATGAATCGTGAAAACAGCGGCCAGGCTGCATCCGGTCGCCGCGATTCCATGAATCAGGGCCCCTCCTAAAAACTGAATCGAAAAGAGGATCTCGTTGGCAGGACTATACCGAGCATCGACAATGTATCTCGAGAAGGGAAATAACATCGGAATGAAAGTCAAATTTTCGGTCTCGTCTGTAATCTTCCCGATTCTAATAGGCACTGCGATATAGTAGAAAATGAAACCGCCGTACACGAAGAGCATACAGATTTTCATTAATTGCCTTCCGAAACTTGCATTGTCCACCATGATGCGTCTATCTTCGAAATGCTCGATATTCCTCCAGTCCCATTTGATGCGTTCAATGCACTCGCGAATGCCATTCCCGTGAGAGATCAGAGAATAATATTTCAAGTACCCCATTAGAAAAAAGCACATTGGACCCAACAGCCTCAGTCTAGTGTAGATATCCTCCACTTCCAGTATACCGTAAACGGCATAAGGTATAAAAAGGCAACTTATTAAACCATAACAAACGATATTTATCTGCAGTTTGATGCATTTTTCCGTTCTTGAAGTGTCGCGCGAATTTGGCCAGACACCCATCGATTTTAAAAGGTATCGATTCCATCGAATGCTTAGATTCACGTACTGTTCGTACTCGCGGTCCGTTGCCTGAGACTTTGGTACAGTCTTTTCTGGTGCTTGCATCGTGAAAGCTCGAACGCTCGCTTGATACTGCAAGCGCGCGGTTTAATGACGGTTCGCGGGCAACCAATGTTGCGCCTGCGCTTGATTTCTGATTCTACTTGGAAGGGAACACACATGTAACAAAGTATACATAGAACAAAACTGATTCGACCCTTCATTGTAACACATTTTCAATTTGCCACTTTATAAGCTTGGACAAGAGGACAAGATGACTCCTGAATATCGATAAATTTATAACAGGTGCAGTTTTATTTATAGATAATTAATGTTATGTGCGTGAGTTTCTTTTAATTTATGCAGACTATTTATTCCTGCAAAGTGATACGAAAACGTGTAGAGGGAAAGAAATAATCTTGCCATGCTCGAAACATCATTCTCATTCAACTTGCGATACAACAGTTAAAGTATTTAATGGTACAAGTAATAATTCTCTGTATTATCATAGATCACTTTTCGTCTCAAATATTTTAATTGCAATGGTTCTAGTATCTCGGAAAACTATTACGTCAATGCTCGCAACATATTCAAGAAAGTGACGGATGTCTTAACAACCTATTCGTTTAAACAAATTTAGATTTTATAATCCAGATGTATAATCGATATTAATAATGGTTGAATACTTACATCGCTGAATGTGTTGAGGGATAGGCTAACCATATTTCCTGCAGTAAGTTTCGTCGACAAATTTGACATTGCAATCATCAAAACCACGCTAAGTTTTCTGTTTCCTTTTAATCGGTACCATTCAACCATGTAAGACATTTCGCCAACCTGTTTACACTGTTGCAAAGTATATTTCGCTTTAAATTTTTGGAACCAATTCCAGATGTTGAAACGTTAAAGAAATACTTTTATATTTATCATTTGTCTTAAAAAGGATATACATATGTAGATTGTATACCTTTTGGCAAACATATATTCGCGCGAACCGGTTTATGGTAACGAAAGAGGGAAAAGTTTTATTTTTTTCGATAACCAACGTAACTACTTATCGAAAAAGAATAATAATGCAATATAAAGTACTTTAAGTAAGAAGTAATTCTGTAATTGCATGGATACCTTACCAGTTCCGCGACAAGCTCGCCTATGTAACAAAATATGAAGATATTGAACAGAAAGGACATTAGTATGATAAAATACGTCGCAGCAGAAGTTAATTCGTCCCAGTCCCATTCCTGTAATGTCGACACATTAATTTATTGTTTCAATTTTGTATGTTTCTCACCTTGCGTACCATGATAATATAATATCCAAGAAGACATAAATTCAATGTACATCCGGCGAATTCCACGAGAGATATTTGTTGCAGCGCTTTCTCTGTAAGCGCTAAAAATCTGTAATTGCAAACAATGAAATTATCGAAGCACTTAATTTTGTCCAAAGATATAGTAAACCAATCTAGGAACGATTCTACAAACAATTGAACAATAAATCGAATTGAGTACAGTTTCCAGGTGATCGAAAGATTTGTTTTACGCACTTCAGTATTCGAACGTGTTGATTTACGATGCTTGCGATTCTGCCATCCATAGTTTTACACATATCAGCTCGGCCGTCTATCAAATGACCCAGCCAGCACATCAAAACTTTCATCTGTCCACAAGCGTGTACCGCAAAAACAGCAACGAGGCTGCATCCTGCGGCCGCTAGTCCGTGAATCACGGCACCCCCTAGAAATTGAATCGAAAAAAAGATTTCGTTGACGGGACTGTACCGGGTGTCGGCTATGCATCTCGAGAAAGGAAACACCATTGGAACAAATGTCAGATTTTCGTCCTCTGCCGTGATCTTTCCGGTGCTGGTAGGCATCGCGATGTAGTAGAACACGAAACCGCTGTACATGAAAAAGGTGCTGATTTGCGCTACTTGTCTTCCGAAATTCGCGTTATCTATCATGATGTTCTTGTCTTCCGTGTGTTTAATGTTCCTCCAGTCCCATTCGATGCGCTGAACGCATTCGCGAATATCGTTCTGATGTACGATCAATGAGTAGTATTTCAAGTATGCCATCACACAGAAGCTCAACGGACCGAACAGTTTGATTCTGTTGTAGACATCGTTTACGTCCAGTGCCACGTAGAAGGCACAAGGTATAAAAAGGAAACTTATCAAACCGTAACAAATCACGTTTATTGGACGCTTAGAGCATTTCTCGATTCCTGAAGTATTATGCAATTGTGGCCAGACACCCATCGGTTTTAGGAGCCACTGATTCCATTTAATGCTGAGGTTCACGTATTTCCTGTGCTCCTGCTCCGCAGTTGGAGATTCTAGCTTGCCGGTTTCTGTCTTTTGCATCGTAAAAGCTCCTACGCTCGCTTGATACATACTGAAAGCTCGCAGCACTGCTTACCGTTCGCGGGAAAACAAGGCTGCGCTTGCGCAGCTTTCCTGAGCCTTCTGGGATGGGAACGCAGGCTTCTACGATACAAATGTGTAGAACGAAAGCAACTGTCCTCAGAGGGTTAAAATCTCTTTCTTTGGCAACATTTTACGTTCGCCGCCTTGTGCATTATAAATGCGAATAGATGGATGGTGGCTCTCGAACATCGATAAATTGATTTTTCAAAAGTTGTTAGACCACAGACACTGAGACCACTCAACAGGTACTGTCTATCGATTTGTGGATAATGCAATTTGTGAGATTTCGTTTTGCTGTATATTGTATTCGCGGTATCTACTTTTTATTCCGATACTAACAAAAATTAACAAAATTAGATATGGCTCGCGAGTGTTGTTCTTGCATCTTGCGTATTGTGTATTTTTTTTGGAGTAAGGTCAGTGATTGAAACCGTTCGTAATCTCCATGTACGCCTACGTTTATTAAATACTTTTACTAGTGAAGTTCGTTAAGATTAAATACACGCGCGAGATATATTACGTTTGAGACGGATTTTTTTATGATTTTCAAAGATACATAAGTAAAAGTATACGGTTATATGAGAACAACACTTCCTAGAACTGATATGGCACATCAGTTCTCACAACAATTACTCGAAATCCATTATTTTAAGTCAATGCTCGTAACATGTTTAAGAACGCCACCGATGTTTTAACAACCTATTTGTTCGAAAAATGTTTTTTCTTATAATTCTTACATCTGCATAGAGTATCGCGATATACTAGGCACTTACGTCACCGAAACTGCTGAGACACAATTTGACCATGCTTCCTCCTGTAAGTTTTATCGTTGCATTGGACATCGCGATTATCAAGACTATGCTAAGTCTTTTGTTTTCTGGTAAACGATACCACTCGATCATGTACGATATTTCGCCAATCCTTTTGCACTGTTATAGAACACTTTTCTGTTCTGTATTCTTTGATACCACATTACACATTACGTTAATGTTAATCAAAACTTAGTCTCCAAATTGAAATATTGAACAAAGTCTCTAAATATGCAACACTTTATGGGGGCGTTGAGCCACGTAACGAGAGATGTTGACAATTAAAGTGCAAAGATTTGTTTGCTTTGTAATTGTAAGATCTTACCAGTTCCGCAACGAGCTCGCCTATATAACAAAATATGAAGATATTGAAGACGTATGATACGAGTAACAAACTATGCGTCGTAAAGGCAGCTAAATCGTTTGAATTCCATTCCTGCAATGTCAAAATATCGAATGCAAACGTATCATATTCGTATAGAAAGAAGTTATAAAAATGTTACGCCATCGCGTAGTTACCACAATAATATAATATCCAAGAAGACATATTCCTAAAGTACATCCTAAAACTTCTACAAGTGACACTTGCGAAGCTGACTTCTCAATAAGAGACAAACATCTGTAATTGTAAATATTGAAATTGTGGGATCGGGAAGATAATGACTCCGCTCTGTTCCGTTCCGCACAATTTTATTGTTGCTGTCGTACAACGACGTGACTCGTGGTGCGGGTTACGCTCGACTCTCTGGTACGATCATCGCCACCGTACCAAGAGGCCTTCAAAAACAAAAGACGGTCAGAGACGACGACAACGGCTTTTCGGCTCACGCGGCTCTGGTCGTCTCGTGTGCAACCATCGTCTCGTGTGCAACCATACATTGTAGCGGCTTCGAACGGCTAAGGCGTATGTGGTGCCTTGGCCGCCACACTACCCCCCTGCCAGTAATTGGCACAATTACGAAAAATTGACCGACTACATTACCACTACCATTTACTCTATTATATAAAATACGTTATCCTAACTAAGATTTACATTACAGTATTTGAACAGAGTTGAAAAAAAAAGGAATTTACATGGAGTTTAATATATAATACGTAATACCTAAAAATACATGAAAGTACATAAAAGTGATGGAAAAAAATAAATGGTATATGATACTTATTATAATAATGCGCAAGCCTTAAGTACTACCGCGTAATTTGAAATCGCTCGGGAAAACGTACGCGTCTACCTGAACGCGTAACACGTTGCTGTATAACCGGCGCATTGTCAGGTACGTTTGTTTGTGTGACCGGCTGATTTTCTATGCTCACGGGATCCGGTCTGTTTTCTGCTAGCATATAAGCAGGCTTTAGCCTTTCAATTGATATATTTATTTCCTTACCTCTAATGTTTATTGTAAATGTTTTTTCGCCTCGGCGCACTACGGCGTATGGACCTTCATAAGCGGGTTGTAAAATAGTTTTGGCTGAATCTGTTCGGATGAAAACATGTGTTGAACTGCTAAGATCTTTGAAAACGAATGTACGATTAACGGAATGGCGTGATGCATTAGAGGGACTCAATTTAGAAAAATGGTTGCGTAGTCTATTAGTAAAATCGGAAGCATTTTCTGTGCCTTCCGCTGAATGCGAAGACAAGAACTCTCCCGGTAATCTTAATGGCTCGCCATAAACTAATTCCGCTGAGGTAGCGCCGAGGTCTTCTTTCCAGGCGGAACGAATACCGAGTAGAACCGTCGGAAGTATTTCTGTCCACCTGTCGGATCCGTGGCACCTTATAGCCGACTTGAGCTGTCGGTGAAAACGCTCTACCATCCCATTGGCCGCTGGGTGATACGCCGTTGTGCGAAGGCGTGTGGATCCAATTAAATTGTTCAGCGCAAAAAATAATTTGGATTCGAACTGCCTACCCTGATCGGTGGTAATCCGTACGGGAGCACCAAACCGCGCTACCCAACCGTCATAAAAGGTTCGAGCTACGGTTTGGGCCTCCTGATCGACCATGGGGAAGGCTTCCGGCCACCGCGTATATCTGTCTACACAGGTCAGACAATACCTGAAACCTTCGGACACCGGTAAAATTACTATGTCTAAATGAATGTGTTCGAATCGCGCAGAAGGTTTAACAAATGTAGCCAATGGTGCAGTCACATGACGGGAAATTTTTGATCTTTGGCACGGTATACAGCAACGTGTCCACGTGCGAACATCTCTTTTAATCGACGGCCAAACATAACGTTGCGTTATGAGCTTGATCGTCGCGTTAATACCTGGATGTGATAATACATGTAACATATTAAAAACTGCACGTCGGAAAGGAGGGGTGACATAAGGTCTTACATTCTTAGTCGAAATATCGCAAAAAATTTCGGAAGACGTGCCAGGCAACGAGACTTTGCGTAATTGCAGGCTAGATTCGCTATTCAACAACCGCTGCAACTCCTCATCCTGGGCTTGCGATTTTGCCAATTCTTCGAAATTAATCGAGTAGTTAACCGTTTCCACTCTGGACAGTGCATCGGCAACGACGTTGTCTTTACCGGAAATATGTTGAATATCTGTAGAGAATTGCGCAATGTAATCTAGGTATCGGAATTGTCGAGGAGAGCATTTATCTAATTTCTGTTTGAAAGCGAAAGTTATGGGTTTATGGTCTGTAAAAATCGTGAAATGTCTGCCTTCGAGCATATGTTTGAAATGTTTTATTGCTAAATAGATAGAAAGTAGTTCTCGGTCGTAAGCTGAATACTTCTTTTCGGCAGATCCTAATTTCTTAGAAAAGAATGCTAATGGTTGTCGTTCGTTGCCGACGCACTGATGTAAAACAGCTCCTACGGTGTAATCAGAAGCATCGCAGGTAACCGACAATGGAGCGTTGACCGCAGGATGAGAAAGCAGGGTTGCGTTTGCTAAACTATTTTTGGTATTTTCGAAAGCCTGACGCGCTTCCGAAGTCCAGGCTATCGAGGTCTTGCCCTTTAAATTGCCGGCTAGAAGGTCGTTCAAGGGTGCTTGAAAGCGAGCGGCATCTGGGATAAAACGGCGGTAAAAATTAAGCATTCCCAAGTACTGCCTCAAATCCTTCGCGTTTTTCGGAAGGGGAAATGACTTTATGGCTTGTACCTTGCCGGGCAAAGGTTGAGTGCCGCTTTCATTTACCCGATAGCCTAGAAATTTAACTTCTTCCTGTCCGAACGTGCATTTATTCGGATTAACAACAATGCCATAATCTTTTAATCGTTTAAATAATAATTCTAAATGGCGCAGGTGATCGGCTTGGGATTCTGAGGCGACCAAAATGTCGTCTATATACGCGTAACAAAAATCGAAACCGCGTAAAATTTCGTCGATAAAGCGCTGAAATGTTTGCGCGGCATTTCGTAACCCGAACGACATGTACGGGAATTCAAAAAGCCCGAACGGCGTTGTAATGGCCGTTTTTCCGACGTCTTCCGACGCAACCGGAATCTGATTATAAGCTCGGACGAGATCTATTGTGGAAAATACCTTTTTGCCACTCAGTTGTTGCGCAAAATCCTCAATGTGACGCACGGGGTATCGGTCGGGAATTGTCCGTGCGTTTAACGCTCTATAGTCACCGCAAGGCCTCCAAGCTTCTTCGCCCTTCTTCGGAACCATATGAAGGGGTGCTGACCACGCGCTCTTCGAAGGACAAGCGATGCCCATCTTCACCATCGCGTCGAACTCCTTCTGGGCAGCCCTGAGCCGGTCCGGTGCAAGCCGCCGCGGCTTGCTGGAAACGGGTGGTCCAGGGGTTGTCTCGATGTAATGCACCGTTTGGTGCGTAGTCCTCATCGGGGTGCCGCTAGGCCGTGTAAGTTCCGGCATCTGCATCAGGAGCTGGTGGTAAACGGTAGTCCCTGCTACTGTCTTCACCGACGGCGTTTCATCCTCGGCTCGTGTTCCGCGGACCGTTAACGACGTGGTCCGATCGACGAGGCGACGATTGCGGATGTCCACCATAAGATCGAAGTGATCGAGAAAGTCTACCCCGATTATGGGTTTTGTAACATCCGCAACCACGAATCGCCACACGAAATCCCGTCGTAGGCCGAGGTGCAGGTTTAACGACACTGTCCCGTAGGTGTTAATTACACTCCCATTCGCCGCCGCCAGCTGGTACTCCGATCTTTCTCGCAATCCGCCTAGCAGGCGGCGCGGAAAAACGCACAAATCGGCCCCGGTATCCACTAAAAATTCCGTCTTCGAGCTGTTGTCTAAGATGAAGAGGCGGCGTGATGCTGGATTTGTGTCGCTGGCCGCCATCAACGACTCCCCAGGTCGTTTCCCTGATCCGTGGCGTTCCAATTGCACGGTGCAACGCACCTCTGCGCGGCCGGACCGAACCGCCAATGGTACCAGCATTTCCCTTGATGGTCCATTTGTCCTCCCGCGGGCCGCTCTCGCGATCGCGATAGAGATCGTCTGCGGTAGCGCGAGTTTGGATGATTTCGGTGGGTCCACCTGCGACGGGAAGATTGCCCCTGGTCCACCAAGGATTCACGGATGGCAGAAATTTCCTGCCTCAAGGAAAGAGCCAATTGTGACATCTTAATGTTTAACATGGCCTCGATGCTCGGGCCCGGCGGGGGTATTTGGCAGGATGTAGATACGCCCGTAATCGCGGCCTCCGTGACGTGTACCCGCTGTGTCATCGTATCCGCAACAGCGTCTGCCAACTCTGCCACCTTATCCAGCGGGGTGTCCCGCTGCGTGGCTAAAATCACCTGCATATTAGCAGGTAGTCGGCCCATCCAAAGCGTCCGCAATACACCGTCCGAAAAAGCCGTACCGGCCAATCCGCGCAGGTGACGAAGAAATTGAGACGGTTTTCTGTCCCCGATTTCCTCGTGTTCCAATAACCGCCGCGTTTTCTGTTCCTGCGACGCACTAAGCCGGCGAATGAACTCATTTTTTAGCGTCGTGTACGGATCCGCGGCCGGGGGATTCATGATAATGTCTCTTACTTCCGCGGCGTGTCGCGCACTTAACGCGCCGAGAATGTACCCGAATTTCGTGGTCTCCGACGTTACATTGGATACCTCAAAACTTCTCTCTACCATTGAAAACCACATCTCCGGGTCTCCCGGACAAAACTCGGGTATCCGTACAGCGACGCGATCAACTGCCAACGGCACACCCGCGGATGTCCCTGCGTTAACGTTAGGGTCAGTCATTTTACCAGTCTTAGTCACAAAAAAAAATAGTTTCACCGCACACACACACCGCGCTTACTATTTGTCAGACCGTGTCCTTTTCTTATGTCCTTAACACTATACACTTATTTCTCTACACTAACTAATATTGTCCGTATACAAAAAATGTCCAAATTTTCTTAAAAAAAACTTTACTTGCGCGGCGAGATCACGTCGGGGTCACCAATGTGGGATCGGGAAGATAATGACTCCGCTCTGTTCCGTTCCGCACAATTTTATTGTTGCTGTCGTACAACGACGTGACTCGTGGTGCGGGTTACGCTCGACTCTCTGGTACGATCATCGCCACCGTACCAAGAGGCCTTCAAAAACAAAAGACGGTCAGAGACGACGACAACGGCTTTTCGGCTCACGCGGCTCTGGTCGTCTCGTGTGCAACCATCGTCTCGTGTGCAACCATACATTGTAGCGGCTTCGAACGGCTAAGGCGTATGTGGTGCCTTGGCCGCCACAAAATTATTAAATGCAAACGTTCTTCTATATTCTTTCCTGGGGCACCTGCCCGCTAGTGCGACAGTTTAGAGAATCCCTTAATTTCGGGTAGAATCAGACGTTTACCAATAATTTCTGATTCTACCGTGTAACAAATAAATTTGACGCACTTTAGTATTCGAGTATGTTGAGTCACGATACTCGCGATTCTGCCATCCACGGTTTTACACATATCTTCTCGGCCGTCTATCAAATGACCCAGCCAGCACATTAAAACTTTCATCTGTCCACAAGCATGGACCGCGAAAGCAGCGATCAAACTACAAGCGGCAGCAGCAATTCCATGAATCAGACCTCCTGCCAACAGTTGAATCGCGAAAAGGATCTCGTTGGCAGGACTGTGCCGCGAATCAACCAATACTCTCGAGATCGGAAACACCATCGGAACGAACGTCAGATTTTCATCCTCCGCCGTGAGTGTTCCGATGCTTACAGGCACCACGATGTAGTAGAAAACAAAACCGCCGTACATGAAAATGGTGCAGCCTTTCACCAATTGCCTTCCGAAATTCGCATTGGCCACCATAATGGATCTATCCTCGAAATGTTCAATGTTTCTCCAATCCCATTCGATGCGCTGAACACAGTCTTGAATATCATTCGCGTGAGCAACTAACGAATAATATTTCAGGTAGGCCATCACACAGAAGCTTAACGGACCGCACATTTTAATTCTATTGTACAGATCTTTCACGTCTACGATCGTATAGAGAGTAGAAGGTATAAAAAGAAAACTTATCAACCCGTAACATATAGCATTAATCAACCAAGTTAGGTATTTCTCTGTTGCTGAATCGAACAACGAGCGTGGCCAGACGCCCATTGGCTTTAGGAGCCATCGATTCCACTGAATGCTCAGATTCACATACTTATCGTACTCGCGGTCCGTTGCCTGAGACTTCGATATTCTCATTCCTGGTGCTTGCATCGTGAAAGCTCGCTTGACACTGCAAACGCGCGGTTTAATGACTGTTCGCGTTCAACCAATGTTGCGCCTGCGCTTGTTTTCTGATTCTACTTTGAAAGGACCTTACTTGATAGTCGTAGAACCGTACCGATCGAAAGTCTAGTTTATCGGCTCAGACGGTTCAGACGAGATTCATTCTTTCTTTGTTACGTTTTTTCAATTGGCTGCTTTATGCATTATGAGTGCGAATAGGTCACCGATGACACTTAAAAATTGATAAATTTATATTCGTCGTAATTATTCGACAGGTTCTATGCATTAATTCGTGAATGATGTAAGTTTTGTTGCTTCCTTACTTTAATTTTACACAAAATTAATAAAACACCGCTGCATAACAAATTAAAAATTTGACTTTGTCTCAACAAGTTAGTGGATAAGATCGTATTTGATCTGTACAATGATATTTATTGAATACAGTAACTTCTCATCTTATACAGAGATACAAACGATATTCCTTAGAATGGTGTGCCATGTTAATTCCCATAACAATTATTCACAAACCATCGTTATTGTACTTCAAGTCAATGTTCGTAACATGTTTAAGAACGCCACCGATGTTTTAACAATCTGTTCGTTAGAGAAATGATTTTTTTTCTCTATCCTTGTACCTATCTAAAATATCGTAATTGGGTACTTACGTCACTGAAACTCTTCAGAGATAGTTTGACCATGTTTCCAGCTGTAAGTTTCGTCGTCGCATTAGACATCGCGATTATTAAAATTAAACCAAGTTTTCTATTTCCTGGTAACCGATGCCACTCGATCATGTACGACATTTCACCAACTCTTGTGCACTATTACGGAACACGTTTCGTTTTCGTATACGCTTATTGGAAGACATTCGCATTAATTTTGTTCGATAATTATAAGGTCTTACCAGTTCTGCGACGAGCTCGCCTATATAGCAAAATATGAAGATATTAAAAACATAAGATACGAGTATCACGCTGAACGTCACAAATGCAGTTAAATCCTTCGAATTCCACTCCTGTAATGTCAAAACACCAAATACGAACGTATCAATCTGTATAGAAATAAGTTAATCCGTATGAAAATGTTAGGGCATCGTATAATCACCATAATAATATAATATCCTAGAAGACATATTCCTAAAGTGCACCCTGCGACTTCCACAAGAGATACTTGTGTTGCTGATTTCTCGATAAGAGCCAAACATCTACAATCGTAAATATATAAATCGTAGAAATCTGTTTGTTACGATGTAAAGATTTTCCTACATTTATTCGTGTCTAAAATATTTGACTGCTGATACGACATTTTAGATTAAAAATGAAGAAGAGAGGCAAATGGATTGATTACACCACAAGCATATATGTATCGTGATCAAATTTTGAAAACAATTTCTACCAATTGTTCACTTCGAAAAGGCTGCATCGAAACACTTGAAACATCAACAGGTAAAATTTTAGGAAATTTTGTTTAAATACCGTTACATGCATGTTAATGTCTGCGCTTTGCAAATCGAATAGATTAAGATTTACTGTTCTACCGCATGGCGCATAAATTTGACGCACTTTAGTATTCGAACATGTTGAGTCACTATATTCGCGATTCTGTCATCCACGGTTTCACGCATATCTGGTCGGCCGTCTACCAGGTGTCTCAACCAGCATATCAGAACTTCCATTTGACCACAAGCGTGTACAGCAAAAACAGCGATCAAGCTGCAAGCACCAGCGGAGATTCCGTGAATCAAAACACCCCCTAAAATCTGAATTGAAAAGAGGATTTCGTTAGCCGGGCTGTAGCGTGTGTCGATTATTTGTCTCGGGAAAGGCATCATAATCGGAATGAAGGTGATGTTTTCGTCTTCCGCCACGATCTTTCCGACCTTAATGGGTATTCCAATGTAGTAAAAAATGGAACCGCTGTACATAAAAAATGTGCAGATTTTCACTAATCTTTTCCCGAAATTCGCGTTCGCAATCATGATAGATCTGTCCTCGAAGTGTTTAATATTCCTCCAATCCCACTCGATACACTCCACACACTGACGAATATCGTTCCCGTGAGAGATCATCGAGTAGTATTTCAAGTACGCCATCATACAGAAGCTCATCGGTCCAAGGAACCTGATTCTACTGTAGACGTCCTTCACTTCTAGAATCACGTACAGGCCGCATGGTACAAATAGGAAACTTATCAAAATGTTACACACGACGTTTAGCAAACAATTTAAGCATTTCTTTATTCCTGAACTATTAGGCGAATATGGCCAGATACCCAACGGTTTCAACAGCCACCGATTCCATTGAACACTGAGATTCACATATTTTTCATGTTCCTGTTCCGTCGTCTGTGATTTCGATAGTATCGTCCCTAGTTCTTGCATGGTTAAAGCTTGAAAGCTCCCTGTATACTAAACGCTCTTAGTGTGTTGACAGATCTGGGGGAAGTAGTGTTGCGCCTGCGCTTCTTTTCTAATTCTACTCTGAAAGAAACTTGGACGTAGAGCCGTGCAGATCGAAAGTGACGTTTTTTCAGATGATTTGTTAAATTAGTCATTTGCCTGTGCCACTTTTTCAGACAATAAGATTTCTGTGAGTTCTTTTCGCGACTTGTTATGTCTGTGATACTTACTCCTTATCGAACTTTAGAATATACCATAGATAGGTGATCAAGTAGAAGATTGTTTGTTGAAATCGTGCGTGATCCGTATGTCTATCTCTTTCTAATATCCACTTAATGTACATGCTCATGTTGTAAATGTTCGTGGCATGTTTATGTATGCGACTGATGTTTTGATAACCTGTATTATTAAAAACACCATGTAACAAACTATATTAATCGAAGAATATGCAATAAGGGACCAATTATCATGGCGTGGAGAATGGTTGAAACGATTAGCAACATACTTACGTCATCGAAACCACTTCAGTTGGACATGGATATCATCAAAGGTACGACTAAACTTTAGTGTACATGTAATGAACGCCGAAAAATACACGCTCGACGGTACCGAAGAATGATCGATTTAATTGGACGTTCAGTTTCATGTCGCTTTTATTGTTCACATCGAACAGTCTCTCCTTCGTAACGATCTTCTTTACGTTCATCGTGGACATTGAACACTAGTGTCTCACTAAAGTTCCCATCGACGACTGTTGTCCTGTTGGATTTTCTATTCCCTTAGACGCTCGCGGCTCTAAATTTCTCTTACGTAAAAAATGAGCGCGATCGAAGAAAATATGGCATTGTTTTAGTTGGACGGATAGATTTTCTAGAATTTTCAAACAAGGAATCGTGAGCGAAACTTTTCTATCGTCGGTGATGTATACTTTCAGCCGGATGACCAAGCCACGAACGAAGGATAATGACGGATTTGTAGTGGATTTTTCAAAAGTATTAGAACGGAGAAAATGTAAAATAAGCACCGGCGAACGTATTATTACCGGCCTCCCATCTACGTCGGCGAAGGGGTTGAAACGCATCGATAGGAATATAAGGAACCCCCGTCGCTCTTCAAAATTCGTTTCATCGATACTGGATTTCTAGGTAGTAAACTCTCCTGTTATATTTGCAACTTTTTAGTGGCATAGAATCGCGAGGAGTGTGCTCAGATGAATTTTTATTGAAATAATTATATAAAATAATAGAATAACTGAGAACGAATGAATGCAGGGTGTGTAAATTCGACATAAAAATAGAGACATGATAGAATAAGAATTTTTTGTTCAAATTTGCATACGAGTAAGACAACTTCAACAATAATAATAGTTTTTATTCTTCGTTAGCGTTTTATAAATACCACCTTTCTCCGATTACGGTCGCCTTTTATGTTTTCATGCAGCCATTGTTCGCACGAAATTCAGGTACGCCGCAGAAGATTTGCAAACCTAAAGAAATTTGTTCATTCTTTCGAATGCTTTTCGCGGATACTTAAGAAATGAACGTATCAAAACTTACGTCACAGAATGCTTGAAGCGAGACGTCAAATATACGAGCAGCGGTCAGATTCGTCGGACGCTTAGTTCTAAGTATGATCATTCGAATATTCATGACTATATCGGTGGGAAGATCGTACCAACGTATGAAGTATATCGTTTCTCCTACTCTCTCACTCTTTACGATAAACAAAATACCATAAAATAGTTATTACGTGCAAATTCAATGTCCACCAGTTGGTTCGTTTTTAGTGAAATTTGTTAAAAAAAGTCACCTCCTCTTTAAGACGATCGCCGATAAACGACATTATAAACACGTTGACGAAGATGGATGTCATCAGAACGAAATACGTTATCATGCTGAATGTTTTATGATCTTCCCATTCCTAGAAAATATTCTCAAAGTAATAGAACCGTCGAATCTAGTTTACCATGGTGTTTTTAACTATTCCCCGATACCACAAGCACTCCGTATTCGAGGAAACATATGATGATGGTGTTGCCGATTATTTCCGAAAAGAACACTATGCTCAAAGCTTTCTCGATCATTTCAGCAAATCTACAATCCATTTTCGTCGTTAGCTTCGTTATACTGTTCAATACGCTATAACATCCTTACTCGATTGCTTGCAGATGATGCTCAACGATGGTTTTCAGGCGTTCTTGTATTTCCTTTTTGTTGCCATCGAAAATAGTTTCGATCTTTCTGTTGACGACTTTGAACAAACCGTAACAATGCATCACGGTGGTGGCGATCAGGCTGCTAATTCCGGTATTAGTGGACAGTATTATGGTACTGATCACCATTTGCAAAACGAACATTATCTCGTAGATCGGCGACTCCTCGATCACGAAGAAAACATAGTTGCTCAGATAAGGCAGAGGTATTTGCGTGGTGTTGTCCCGTTTGACAACCCTATCCGACATGAAAGGCAGGATGATGTGATAGGGCAGAGCACCCCCGTAAGTAAATCCCAGATACACCGTTTGGAAAAATCGACCGATCTTCGCAGATCTCGTCATAATCAGTCGATCCTCCTCGCATTCGATGTTCTTGTATTGCTCTTCTATCTTCGTCAAACAGTATCTTATGTTCTTTTTATTGATGATCATTGTCCAGAATTTGACGATCCCCAAAAGACTGAATACTTGCGCGGCGATTACCTTCATGTACCGCGTCAGATTCTCGCAGTCGTGAAAGGTATAGATCACATGAGGTACAAGTAAGAAACACATCAAACTGAAAATTATTCCGATGTTAACGAACCTTTTTACAGTGCGTAGCAACGAATCGTCTTTATCCAATGGCCAGATGCCACTTGGTATCAGCAACGTTCTAGCAATGATGATCGTATACTTGCTATCCGTCTTGTAATTGACGTTTCGATAGTTTTGTTTACATTCGTTTTCCGTCATATCACCCGAACTACAATCTTTTTCCTCACCGATCTCTTCGAAGTCGCTGCGACGATTTCGAAGAACTAGCGATATAGCGTTGACAGAGAGCGTCCCGACCGGCGCTTGCGTGCAAAGTTTCGCAGAACAATTTTCCGTGTGCTTATTGGTTGTAATTTTAAGACGCTTAAATGTACCGTTACGATTCCGGGAAATTGAACTAGTACGATTATACCGGGGTCTGTGCCGCGGTACAATTTCCGGAAAAGTACAGACTGCGAGCGATTTCGCATTAGTAAATCGCAATTGAAAGTTTGAAAAACGTTCCCTCCTGTAAGATTTTCAGTAATCTGTTCCCTGACGTAGACACTCGACTCGATATTCGTTATCCGTGCTACGACATATCGTTGCAGTACGTACATTATAGAACAAATGTACTGCTCTTGAGTAAAGGACAGTACCGATTTTTTTTACAGATTTTCACGTTCAAGTTAAAATTACGATTAATGCGAATCGGAATTGTTCGCTATGCGATAGATTATCTGCCATCGGTGACATTCAAGTGCCAGCCAGGCATTTTATTAAGTTGCATCATCGAGCATTGATTTGATGATGAATACAGCGTATCGTTACACGTGTCGATAAACCAACTTCTTTATAAATATTATTGCGAAATGCGATTAGTGCCACGAGGTTTAGATCGCAATAGTGTTGTACGGCGGAGTATTGCGAGAATTTCATTTAAATGCATTGGAACAACACCGAATATATTTACCACCGCCTTGCGATGTTTAAATGTATCTCAAGAACCGATATGAGAAATGATTGTTACTAATGAACAGGTAAAACAGGTAAGTTTCAAGAATACTCGTACGTTGTAACATTAAGATCGACATACGACTCGCAGTATTTGGGAGAAAATATTGCAAGGAAACGATGAAATAAATCATAGATTATTACGATGTTATCACGATGTTTATTGGTAATATAAGATGCAACGTTTGTTCAACGACTTTGAAAATTGAGAATATTCTTCACCGTCTGGAAAGTTTGCTAGCGTTGCGAGTGAGTTGCGAGTGCAATAGTACCTATAATCGTGAGCAAGTGATGTACTCGATAGAAAAAAAGTTGTATGTACGAACGCATGGGTTTTTTTTTTAGAGATTGAAACGATTATACGAAAGAGAATGTCGTTTTGGTGATATTCTATATACATACTTGGTCGAATGACGATTACACGAAGTGGAACGTTGAATATCAAATATTAACAGATTGATGCATCGTTGGCGTTTTATAAATATCACATTTCTTCGACTACGGTACCTCTTACAAATCTTCATTCCGTCATTGCTCGCAGGAAATTCAAATACGCCGCAGATGTTTTGCAAATCTACAATACAATATATTCTCTGCCACGCGTACCTTCATTAATATTTGTAAAATAGATGTATCAAAACTTACGTCACAAAACGTCTGAAGCGAGAGATCAAAAATATTAGCAGCGGTAAGATACGTCGGATGTGTAGTTCTAAGCATGACCATTTTTATGTTATTGACTACGTCCCTGGGAAGATCGTACCACGGCAAAAAGTACAATGTTCTTCCTATTCTCTCGCTCTTTATAACAAATAAAATACGATAAAATAGATATCGAATGAAAATTAAATTATCACAGGTTGATTTGTTTTCGATTTATTTGTTAAAAAGAGTCACCTCCTGTTTAAGACGATCGCCGATAGACGATATTATATAGACATTCACGAAACTCGACATCATCAAAGTGAAATATGTCATCGTGCCGAATGTTTGACGATCTTCCCAATTCTAAAAATAACGTTAAAGCGAATCTATACATATAATACGTATTAGATTGATATCTTTTTCAATTTTACCATAATCACACCATATTCGAGAAAACATATTATGAGAGTACAGCAGCCAAGTTCTGCCAAAAATATTATGTTGAAACCTTTCTGGATCATGTCAGCAAATCTATAATTAGCCATCACGATACTTATAATTGAATAACAAAATGTGGTATCGTTTGACAAAAGGGTGTTGAGAATTTGATATTGGAGCAAACTTACTCGATCGCCTTTAGGTGATGTTGAACAATGTTGTTAAGACGATCGTGCAAGTCGTTTATGTCGTCCTCGAAGAAAGTTTCAATTTTCCGGTTGACAACCTCAAACAAGCCGTAAGTGTGCATCACGGTAGTGGCGATCAAAGTATTAACTCCGGTGTTGCTAGACATTACCATGGTGCTGATCACCATTTGCAGAACGAACGTGATCTCGTAGATCGGCGTGTCTTCGATCACGAAGAAAACGTAGTCGCTGATGTACGGTAGAGGGATTTGTGTGGTATTGTCCCTCTTGACAACTTTCTCGGACATGAAGGGCAGAACGATGTGATAGGGTAGGCCACCGCCATAAGAAAGGCTCAGATACACTATAGTGAAAAATCGGCCGATTTTCGCGGCTTTCGTCATTACAATTCGATCTGCCTCGCATTCGGTGTCTCTATACTGTATCGCCACCGCCCTCAGACAACGTCCGATCTGCTTTCTATTCAGAATCATCGACCAGAATTTCGCCACCCCCAAAAGACTGAATATTTGCGTGACGTATACTTTCATGTTTTGCGCCAGAGACTCGGAATTGCCAGCGACGTAAATCATGTTAGGTATCAGTAGGAAACACATCAGACTAAAAACTGCTGCGACGTGAACGGACATTTTAACATTATTCCAGAACGTGTCGCTTCTGTACAATGGCCAAATGCCGATCGGCGTTAGCAACGTTCTAGCGATAGAAATCGTGTACTCGGTATCCGACACGTAACGTACGTTTCGGAAACTTACATTTTCATTATGTTCCGTCATGCCACGCGACGATCTCCTCCCTCACCGATCCGTAAAATGGTTTTCCAACGACTGATAGTGGCTAGAAAAGAACGTTGGTAAACGGCGATTGGCGCCTGCGTGTAAAATTCCGTAGAATAATTTTTCACAAACAGTCGCTACAACTATAAATTCGAGGAAATAGACTTAATTTAACCGTTGCGTCTATATTAGACCGCAAATTACGGAAGTAGAATCGGATATTGCAATTTAAAGTGTTGTTTAGAAGTGAAATTGCCGATAGTGTACGGCCTGGAAGCTACTTCCCATGAATGAAACGCGATTTAAAGTTCGAAAGTTCGAAAGTCTCATTTCCATGATTTTCTGTAATCTATCCTGGATGGTAGAAATTCGATTATTTGTTCCTTGCGTTAGAAAATATCATTGTAAGATGCATCACTCGTATGTGGAACACTGTATGGTTCGTTGTGTAATATTATTTACCTTGGCGGGATTCAAGTACCAGGAGCATGACAAACTTTTTTAAATTCTTTGCCAAGCTGTACGATCGAGCCCCTGATTCGATGAAGAAAGCAACGTATCGTTACACTCATCGATAAGACCCGTTTCTTTTCATATAATATTGCGAAATGCGATATCCGTCGATTAGTATTGTTAAAGTAATTTCAACTGTGATTACTGCGACAGTACCGTTGCAGTAGCTGTTTAGTTTAAGCGAAATACTTACTCGATCATCATGGAGAACGAATCGCAAAGTGAGTTTTCGAGAATCGATCGAGAGACAACCGGTGCATTGAAACCGTACGTTTCGTGGTGTTTTTTTTTCAGAATCGATATGGTCTATGCAAAAGGGCACGACTACCATGTTTCTCGCCGAAGTGATAGGCACCGCGGTACTTTTATTTCTTGGTTGCATGGGCTCCGTCGGTTCTATGCAATCCCCGATACCTACGCAACTCCAGATGTCCGTAGCGTTTGGTATGACTGTCAATGTGCTGATCATGGTAAGAATATTTGATTAACACATAAAGTTTTTGTCAAACGAAATATCAGTGTCCATAATTCTGTAAGTAAAGTTATCCGTGATTGAATAACGCGGCGGATAATCTGTTACGCATCGTACTCGAAAACGTAGTTTCGTACCAAGGGGTTGAGCATCTTGTTCCAGCACATTTTCATAATTTTATTGCGACTATAGTAAAAAAAAATGACCGTTGTCGTAGATGTTGGGTCACATAAGCGGTGCACATTTTAATCCAGCTGTCACGATCGGCTCGGTGATCGTCGGAATTAAAACTATACCAACTGGTATCGTTTACATAGTGGGCCAATTCATTGGCGCTGTACTTGGATTCGGAATGCTAACGGTATGCACGAGTACCTATTTGTTTTATCTGTTTCTCGTCTATACACGTTTCTAATAGAATTTAACTCGGGTAGGTGGTGACTCCACCCGAGTTGCTTCACGCCGGGAATCCGTCGGCGACGTCAAACTTTTGCGTGACTGCCGTCTACGAAGGCGTCAGTAGCGTGCAGGCGATTTTAATCGAGATGGTTTGCACGTCGGTTATACTTTGCACAGCATGCGCTACTTGGGACCCCAGATGCGCGAACGTCGCGGATTCCATGGCGATCAAATTTGGTTTTGCGGTTGTCGGTATTTCAGCCGCAGCGGTAAATGTTATTTTACTATAGAACAGTGCAATTGTTCGATAATCTATGCTACCGTGAACAAGGGTATACTTAAACAATATCGTTCGTTTTAGGCGCCCTATACTGGCTGTAGCATGAATCCTGCGCGTAGTTTCGCCCCTGCTCTTTTCTTAGGAAATTGGAAGGATCAATGGGTGAGTTCGATCAAATTATTGTATACGATTTAATCTGTCTTTGGCGTTCTCGATAACGAACACACGAGCCTCGTTACATTTGATTTTCCCTGCTGATGTTATCGTCTCGACACTGTATTTTTCATAGATTCAAAATGAGTCGAGTGCAAACATCGTTATTGCACAGATTAGATTGTATTAGACGTTTACGATAGTAGGTTTTTAATTGTGCTTTCTTCAGATTTACTGGTTCGGACCGACCGCAGGAGCTTTTCTTGGATCGTACACTTATCAGCTTCTGTTTTTGGAGAAGGAACCGAACATGACTGGCGACGAACATACTTTCATAGAAATGAATTCGAGAAATTCTGCCAGATCGATGTATCCGGAACACGATGACAATATAAATCCACCCAAGGAAAATATTAAAGTGGAAAGTCTCGAAGTCGTACAAGCTTGAGAGGATGATGTTAACACTTAAAGACGAATAGGTACGAAATTTTATACATTTTGTACTTTGTATCTGTTACCATTGGCTGGTAACAGTCTTCCATGATGATTCAAGTAGTTGATAGGAACTGCCGGCGATGGCACTATATCGAACCCAATGCAATCGCGTTCTTTATATTTCATTCGAGAAATAATTTTGATCCCGCTGCCCATGTTATTTGAATTTTATACATGTACGTGAACGTTTAGTTGAATAATTACTTTATTATTTCGTTACGCTGTACAACCGAACAGAATAATTTGTTTAAAAATTCACATTATCTGATATTCCTTGACAATACATATGTATATAAATGTATTATGATAATCGACGAAAGTTTCAAGTATTAAAATGATGCGAATATTTGAACACAAAATTTGAGAAAATCTTATTCTTATAAACGAAATATACATAAGCACAAATATAGTTTACGATACGTAAAGAGAATATTATTTTTTATGGTACCCTTGCCCAAATTCTAGCCGAGGAAAATATTTTACAACATTCAGGCAACGTTTATGGATCTTTCTATTTTTATAGGATCGCATCTGATCTTGAAAATTCATATAATCGTCAAGCATATATATTTTATTATATTATAGTATAGTTTCTAAAAACATTTGTTACGTCTAAGCATGAAAGCGTCTATTTTCGTCGATGGAATACCGTGCATATGTACCTACATATGTTTCCAGAGGCATAGCGTGGCCAGAAACTGAATCAATAATGGAGTGAACCATAGATGGTTCTAGAATTTTAGCTTCGGGGGTTGAATTTGTTACGAAAAAAGTATCAGCGCGCCGTCCAATGGTAATTTTGTTGGTTACGCGTGGCACACGTTGCACGAATCGTGAAAAAAATTTCGATGCCAAGTATAGAGACCGCAGACAGCGTATAACAAAAGTTATGGTGCAAACTTTTCTTTCTCTCGAGTTGCACATTGTTGCACAACGCATGAATTTACTCGAGCCAACATGGGGTACAAACCTATAATTATCAGTTCTTTTAAACGGGTTAGATTTCGTTTAGAAGTTTTAGATGGATTGCAAATATTATACCTTTTACGAACTCGACGCTGCTTAATTGCTTTCATCGATGCATTTAAAACGAACTTTATCGTATTTGGAAACACGAGAAACCGTATCATCGGGGAATGTAAAATATTTAGAAAATTGTAGAAACACTGGTAGTAAAGAGTGAACCTGTTTTTTTTTTGCAAATAAGCAAGTGATATAATTCTTTGTTTACATTCTGATAAAGAATTTCGAGACGAGCACAATGACCTGTAATTCGAGGTCATTAATACCGAGCACCTTTTATCAGACACTTTTTTTCTATCGTGAGAAGCAAGCAAATTATTTGGATGACCTGTTTTAAATGCCCCACCCTGTATACGTATAAAACTCGAGAGCTGCAACTATTGATTACCTGCTGCATCCACCCATAGAACATTCCAGTCTCCGACAGACTCCATTACTCGAAATACGAGATTTTCAATTTTAAAGGAAAATAATTCGCGACTGCTACAGTAGATGGTCCTGTTGTAAAATACAGAATCATTTAGTGAGCATTCCAAAATTCATTTTACTATACTACTACCTCCTGATAGAACTTGATTATTCTTCGTTTGTACTAGAAAAGATTGATGGATCTAAAGTTTCATCTGTTTGTAGATGCACGAAAATGTATTCAGAATTGTCTACACATGTAGTCTGCATCTGTCCGATCGTGTCAACCAGCATGCCCGCTCTACTTTTGCTTTCTTTATGTCCGTCGAAGCATCTGCGCATCATTGTGTTCGCTTCCGCAAAACGGTACGTTGCTCCTTACCCTTGTCCCAAAGTTAATCCTGCTCCGTTAGACGTTATATTATGCGTCTCGAACGCTGCACAAAGAGTTTGAATCGTAGGGACGCCAAGCATTTTGGGCACGACCCTCGGTTCCCATGAATGAAAAATGGAATTAATTGCATGTTTTCAAGACACGGCGCGTACACATACACAACGATCGAAAGATGCGTAAAGAAAATCGATCAAGCTGCAGCTGCGACGTGAGAGCGTGTACCTAGATATTGCGCAACAGTACGTAACCTTCGCGAAGGGACGATGGCAGTTTGAAACGTCGCCACGGCGATAACACGATGCGTATAATATTACCGCACGTTTGCGTCCTTCGATCGCAAGTTTCATGGCGGTCTTACGCTATATCGACACATTAACACAAAGTGTCATTTACCATTTAGTTTACGATAGCACGCCCTCGCTCCTCCTCCCATCCTAACGAGAATGTCGAGCTCTTATCTTGACAGAGCGTATATGTATGTATGTATAGAATAAGAATAAGAAAGAGCATCGTTCGCGCTACAGAAGACATGTATCGAGAAACAGTATCTACGATCTTGTAAATTAACAATAAATACGCTAGAAGCAACTTTAGATGCGAAAACGTTTGAGAAATGTTGCGTAGTAGGCATCGTAATAAAGTACAACCTCGGGCTGCCCTTGATTCCAGAAACTACGCACCAGGAAACAGCCCTACCCTACGACCCAACCATCAAAACAAATAACTCGTGCGTAGTTACGTTGCTCGTTTACAAGCACGCATACGATCCCAACCGTTTTAAAAGAGAGAACGAAGAAATACAGGCAGTACAGGCTTGTGTAGGGTCGGTTATGGTGGGGCTTAAGCAGTGGAACGTGCTAGAAATCTCGTCATGCGTCTACCGATCAATACTCGGTATTTTCATATTTTTTCCGCCGAACGTACGAAAATTGTCACAAACGTGGCATGAAACGAAAGTTTACGAGACGGGGAACACGATTGTATCGGTGGTCGGGGAATATGTAATCGGGAAAGAGCCGAAATTCTCGAAGAAAGGAATGTGCGCAGTAATATGCTGGGTGCCGGTGCGAGTCTCGAACGTTCTACGCTGCGTCGTCGCGCGCCTATATAAGAGGGCCGGCCGGTCTGCCTCGGTGCATTCGTAAATTAACTTTCGTTCAGTTCGGACGTGACGAACACCCGAAGACCCATCAACCAGTGGCCACACATCTTCGATTCTTTTACGTGGTTTCATCAAGCTGCCGACAACAGGACGTTAAAATGTAGACAAGAGGCATATCCGGTACGGAGTGCGACAGTTTACCGTGGGTATTTCTTTACAAATATTACACTTCATTTCTTTTAGTAGTTCTTTTTGTCTGTATGTGTATTACTTTTCGTTTATCTATTTAACCCAACCAACCACTCGTTTCGCTCGCGATTACTAATTACTGCTTGAGGAAATTTTTAAATACTTTTTTAATATTCTGTGTACGATTCTATAGTATTGTATTGTTACAAAATTGTTACTAAATACATTGTGCTATACAAAGAATTTAATACAAATTTAAATATAAAAATAAACGCAACGTAGAACCTTCTTTTAAGATAATACCATTTAATTTTGTTCCGTGGTAGTTTCTATTTTGATAGGTTTGCTCGCGGGTTCCCCAGTCTTCACAATTTCGACCACTCGTTCGGTTCCGCTAGGCGTCGCGACCTAAAATTTAAAAAAACAGCATATGTTCAGTAAGCTATAGGTGAGACTTTGATATATTTGTGTTTTTGTAGTGCACCCTATGAGGTCGGTGCTCGAACTATCCGTGCGCAACGATATATTGGTACGGCTAATTCGAAATTTCTCCGCATTTCGAATTGTTTGAGAAGAGCAGTTCGAGATCACATGCATTAGGTAAGCGGTCGTTGCACCGAGGTATTTCAATTATGTTGTTACGTTCTCTAATCGTTGACGTAGTCTCTTGAAAATGGACGCGCATATTAGATAAGAACTATGGCTCGCGGTATCGCTACTCGGTATTTTCTTACGTCTATTGGTAGTCAAAAGTTAATTACAAGTTCAAATTTGTGAGAAATAACATGTTATAGGTAAACATGATCATGAAATGTAGCGGCACTCTGATCTGTAGATCTGAGATATATCTATAGAATGATTGTAGTAACTGAGTCAGGTTTTGTGGTTCCATTTTAAACGGGGGTAGCAAAATATCACTGTCTCCGTTCTATCGATTATTTCTAGTACATTTGTACAGTACAATAGTTTGCTCACGATGATCTTCTCTCCTTTCATAAAAAAAAGGAGCTAAGAAAATCGATCGTTGCGATCAAGATTAGATACCTTACAAAAAGGTGCAATTAAATTTTCCTCTGATTTTCTTTTATCTTCGCTTACAAGTGACGGCACATATAATCTGACGTAGTTACTAGAATCACCTTGTGTATATGTATATACAGGGTGTTTGACCACCCCTGGGAAAAATTTTAATGGGAGATTCTAGAGGGCAAAATAAGACGAAAATTAAGAATATCAATTTCTTGATCGAGGCTTCGTTCTACTGAATATTCGGTACCTACAGAAAAGTATTAGACTAACCTTTCTATAGGGCGACAAACAAAATTACTAAAAATAAAAAATGAATTTAAGAATAATCGACAGGCAAAAATATACTCTGTGGTCGGAAATGTTTCTATAACTTTCTAAGGAAGCCTCGATCAACAATCAGTATCCTTGATTTTCGTCTTATTTTGGCCTCCAGAAACTCCCATTAAAATCTTTGCCAGGATTGGCCGAACACCCTGTATACACACGGAATATGTAGTCTCGCTGTTAGTCCCTATGTTATAATAGGTTGTGTACAGTAGGTATATTTTCATGATACCTGCTTCAATATTCAGAGTGTGAAAGTACCGACTTATACTTCTAACGAGGAACACTTTGCAAGTCGTACTTTATCGATTTTAACCGATCTAAAACTCGAGTCGGGTGCGGCTCTTAAAAATTTTTTTAGTTAAAGTCGATAAACGCGTATTTTACGAATGTTGCCTCAGTTCGCTTGAAACTCTTTAATACGAGATTGTTCTTTTTATAGTTTAGAGCAGACTCGTAATTTGATCGAGATAAATCGTCGGGACCGTCTTCTTTAAACCGAATATCTACCACGAGGGCACACGGAACGTTGGAATCGAGAAAAGACAAAACCGAACCGAAACAAAAAAAACCGCGTGCGAGGCTTTTACGCGGCACTAGGTTGCGAATCATCGCGATTCGCCCCCGGCTCTCACCCTCCCTCTTCGTCTTGTACCTTTTTGGGTGCCGTGATAGTTAGGACACCATCCGAAGAAAGGCTCGAGGTAATGTTGATCACGTCGTAAGATGGAGGCAGGATGTATCTGCGTACAAAGCGTCTGCTGACAAATCCGTGTTCGTCTTGCCTCTCTTCGTGTTTGGCTTCGACGATAACGTTATTATCGACAGTCTTCACCGTGATTTCTTCCGGTGAGAATTGCTGAACGTCCAATATTACCTGCAAAAAAAATCACAACCGAAATAAATACAAATTAAAATTAAACTCGTGAAAACGTAAACCGATATATCTCTTCTCTGCCATACATAGAATTTCGTATCTGAATCGTTTTCTATGATCTTACCGTTGATCACTCGAGAAGTATTTATTTTTATATAGAGATTATTATTAATATACATAGAGGAAAGGGATAGATCCGAAAATTTTAAGAACCGTTTTAGCCCCGGAAGCAACCACCCCCCGTTTCATGGGGCGTTCTGGTGTTTCGGGCCTTCTGGTATTCCGGGCCTTCTGGTGTTCCAGTTTTCTAATTCGTTTTGTTAAACTGAGTTAGACGTCGTGCTCCTTCATAAAGTAGTTCCCATTTAAGTTTTTTTTTTTACTATGTCTCTACGTTTTCTCTTCGGTACGGTAGTTGCATATAAATATATATTGTATAGTATTAGTTACAGTAACCGTAGTTTGTCTTACTTCTATTACTTTCAGTGAACGTTTTTAAGATTCGTAAAAATCTGAGCAAAATAATTCGAGGAGAAGGTTCACTTTAAATTCTCTCAGCCGTTTATCAACCGTTGATCTGTAAACTTGATGATATATTTCCGCTCCTCGTACCGGAAACTCAGAAGCGAAGATTCACATTGTTCATGGGCCAGGAAAACGAATTACCAGTTCTTTATTATGAATAACTCGCGACCGATATAATATGTTAATCGACAAGTCGAATTCATTACCGAGTTACTAAGTTACAATTTAAACGGACGCGTATTGTCTTAATTACAGACTTAATTACAGGGGTTGTGTGCGTGTGGTTGTACGTGTAACATTTTTACGCTCACGAGAAATATATTCCGGGCGTTTTATCCAGTTCTAATTGTAACATCGACACGTAGTCATGGAGACAAAATATCCGATTTATTCGACATTTTTTTGCTTCGTTTCGAAGAAAAGCAGGGAAAGAGATGTTCCGCCTTTTCTTTAACTTAATTTTGGAAGCTTGCTTCTTTCACGATAATTCTTCGAACCCATTTGGAGAACACTTTGGTTTTAACAAAAACATTTTCGTTCCTTTCGTTCGATATATTTTTTAAATATATTATTTCAAATTGATATTCAGTATTTACGGTAAAAATTTTAATTCGTATATTCAGAACCAAGTTCATCGCTCTCTCTACAGATATGTCCTGTAAGAATAACGACGACTATCTCATAACTTTCTGTTCTCAGGGAGTTGTGTGATAGTCGTTAACCTTGTGGTGCTATGTACAATGTCGATACTAAATTAAGTTATCGTTAACGTAAATTCCAAACATATGTATGTACGATGCTCGATGTCGTATTATCAAAATTTCATGTAAGTTTTCATAAGCGTTTCTCGGATGATTGAAATCGCGTTAGAAGCTTTCTCCAGATTTAAACAAGCACCGCCATAAGTAACCTGTAGGTACTCTTGGACGAATATTTTGAACTCGAGGCGTCGGCAAATTCTGACGATGAAAATTTAATCTTTAAAGATGAACGATCGTTTTTTCGTTGGATTTATTTTTAGGCTTTTCTTCCGTTGATGCACGATTTAATAATACATTTCTAATCCTTATTTCTGGATCTCCCTGTGCGCAAGTGCGAGCTTGCAAAGCACGGGAGATCCGTTCGTTATAACGGAACCTTTCTTTGAAACATTGCTTGCGATAAGTTTGAAGCATCTTAATTACGAAATTGTTCTATTCAGTGGAAAGCTTTCATCGATTCGAGGTCGCTAGATACAAATTTTGACAGTAATCTCACGTAAGCTACACGAGGTAGACACCTACGAGTAAAGAGATCAGAATACACGCTATATGTCCTTTCCCGATCGAAATAATTTTGTGTAATATCCGCTACTCGCCACCCTTCGAAGACAATCGATTACCACATTAAACGATAACGTTGAAAATAATATCCGACACTTTCGATATGGCTGGTACACATCGCTTGCTTGGTCCTCGTATTAAAAACTAACTAAACACCACCCGAGTGTACATTTTCAACCCTTGAAAACAGTACATCGGCAAAAGCAGCACCAGTACACGTACTTGAAATTACTGAGAACCGCGTGTCATTCAAATTGCTCGAAATTCGTATTCATCCAGAATTACCAAATTCCAAAGACAATTTTAACAAAAGACAAGATATCGAATGCTTTTAGAATATTTTTTATATCGTCAAACTGTCCAACGTCTTATTAGCGGCTCCGTAGTTTTTTCAATCGATATATTTCGATCCGTATCCATAGTTACCACTCGACCCAAAAGGTAATCGCAACCATACCTGTTGTCCTCGGCAATAGGTGTGGTGCGTACCGTCGAGTGATAACTATGGATATGGCTCGCGCTTCTCTACGCAATAGTTTATCACGATGACTTCAAAACAAACAATAAAACGTTATCATTGATCGTTGTCTGCTATATCTATCCGCGAAAGTAGCGAAAGATTTCGACATTTCCTTTTGGATAGCTGTAAACGCACCAGCTTCGCAAGTTTCGAGTTCGATTTGAAGTCGAGTGACGAGCAGCGACGAAGATCATTCTTTCGCTCCCGAATCATGCGTGTTGCCCGTAAAAAAAAGATAAAAAAAACCGATCAAATCACCAACCTGGAAGTTGTCTTTGCTGTCGATCTGCACCGTGCTAGATCCGGTCGAGCGTTGTCGCGGAATGTTCATCCACGGACGGTAGTATCTGTTGCCAATCATCGAGCGCATGGGTCTGTCGAGACTTAGATCAGAGAATCTAGATACCAGATCATCTCGGTCCAGTCCTCTGCCAAAATGCTGGTCCATCAATCTGGACACTGGTCGATCGAAATCGTCCCACCAGTCGCGAAATATTAGAGGTACCACCGACATCTGCGGAACCGGTGAACAAACAAAACAAATTCTGGTTTATTTCTTGCTTTTCGCTTTCGAGAATGTGATATGTGAGAAAAAGGGGTACAATGAGTGTTCGAGATAATAAAAAAAAACACGTGTACGACGAATAATCGTAATCGATCGACGATCAAGAATTAGGCTAAGCTTAAAACGTGCTAGATCCAAAATTTATTCGACTGAAAACGCGCGAGTTTGCTGATCACGTCGTTACGGTGATACTGCAAATCTATTTCGAGTAACGAGCATCATATCTTAATAACAAACTAAAAATACGCGACGATTAAAATTTTCTCTTTCGGTTCTAGCGCGTCGAGAAGACCACCGAGGTTTCGTAATTCACGAAAATACAAAGTAATCGCGTAATGTTGTAGGAATTATCGATATCGAAGGCATTAGTTTTCTTTAAACGTTTGACAAACTGTGAACATAGATACCCTTAGATTGTGTTTTGCGATCATCGTTTAAACTCTACACGATGATCAGCAAATATAACATCCGATTAACCATGAAACAAAATTTCGAAGATACAACGGGAACAACCTTGGAACGTATTGCGTAATATATATATATATATATTTTCTTTTTTTTTTTTTTTTTTGTAGAAATTGACATCGAAAGCGACGAAGTTCCTCGTGTTCTGTAAATGTTCACGAACGAGAACGTCAATTTAGAATTAAAATCGTGTCGAACAATAAAAGAGATAGGAAGTCGTAAACGGTACGCGTTGTTTCGAGGCACGTCAGCCATTGTCCACGCGTTAAGGTAAACAAAGCGGTGCATCTTCATAGAACCCGCGGAATTAAATTGAGTTAGCTTTTAGGGTTAGAGATCTGGGTTACTAATTTAGGCGCTAGATGAGAAACAACACGGTATTAATCGTTAGTGAGACTACTAAAGCGCGCGCAGGTTGCTAAAAAGGGTATGTTAATTCTGTCCGCGTGTAAAGCGATCTCGACTAGACTAATACCAGAAGTACACGAAGAAATACATTTCTTGACAGCGTGTATTATCTTCGCGATACTAATTAACAGACTTGAGACAAATTTTTAAACGCACACAGATTTGAGAAGGAACGGACGAAGAAAGGAAGTGGTTGAACGCGTCGTATGGTATCGTAACGGTTATTTAGATGTTAAAAATAAGTTAGTCTGCTAAGTTACTCGATATTTACTAACTGGTAGTTTATAACTACGGATAAATAAAACGTATCCTAGATATAATAGAAAGTCTCTTTGGGGATCGCGTTACGCGTTGAAAATAACCATCGATTCGCGCTGAAACGGATCGAATCCGAAGGGACGACGCGAGAAAGACACAGGCCAATCTTGTAGGTTTTAAAAAAACTCCTTCCGAGTTGGTTGGCACGCACGAACACTTCTAATGCATGTAAATTATCGTAGATGTGTATTAGTATTTAAGTACCGGTTAGAATTCTCACTATCCTTAGGTTAACTATTTCGCGGAAAGCGTTTTAGTCCGGCGAAAGCAAGAACACAGACCGATCGTAAGCACAAAAACTAGCAACAGAGTTACTACCGTGTCGTGTTTTCGGGAACGTTGATTCGGCAAATCGGGAGACAACTCCGAATTTTTCTCCGTCGAAACGGATTGTAGCTGTTGACGAAAGAATTCGACTATCTGACTCGATCGTGGAAACGCGAGATGTTTAAATAGTCTGCCCGTATGAACGACCAACCAATGAGATTTCAGATACTCCCACACAACGTTCGCGTGACGTATACATTGAGTTTCTGACTAAAAATACACCGAATGGATGTTAAAGGCGCGAGGAGGGGCAGGATTCTCGCGCTAGTATCCAACATGATTCAATATTCTGATAATTTTGGCATTCTGATACATGCATCTGTTATTCTTCTAAATTCGTGAAGGGGCGTCATAGTGTTGCTAAGGAATAGTAACAGAGAACTGAAGAGTAATGAATAAAATAGCTGATTCCAACAACATCTTGGCCCCACGAACGTTCCAACGTCAACCTTTCGTGCATCCATATGCGGTCATTGCTTTGATCAATTTGCATATATGTATGTATATCTTTCGCTATCGTACGTAGGAGAGTGTCCTGTGGATATATCTGCTGTGAAGTAGTTTTTCACTAACGCGAGTGTACGTATTGACTAAAATACCCACCCGGAGACCACCAGTTTATCGTTTCATTTCTTTTACCAAAATGAAGTCGAGAGAGAAAACACATCGCGTGTTTCAGCTTTGTGCTATGATGAAAGTTGTTCCCTATGTCTGCTTTGTATCGTGTACATTAACTACTCGGTAAAATGGCTCCTTGGAGTCATCTTCCATGCCCCTTTTCACCACTTGTTTTGTACAATCTTACCGAAACAAAGGTGTGATATGTACATACATATGGATGTGTATATCAGCCAATGTATTCTTGCACGTAACGTAATTCCATGTTACAGTCGAGGTGATACATACACCCCTGCCTCGAACGAAGGGAGTTTCTAACATTTGAACGCATATATGTATTATATTACAATACGAGATACGACTAAAACGATAGTAGTATATTTTACGAGGGGTAATCGCAAATTCGAAGATTCAGGAAATGTAGAATCGTGCAGAGTCGGCGTTCGTTCGTGAAGCAAAACTATTTTTCGTTCGTGCGAGATCTCGATTTCAGTATGTCGAAATAAAAATAACGCGACTTACTAGCATAACGGAGAAAATCACGTTCGGTATAATAAACATCGAAAGTGTAGATCAGTAATAACATACGACTGTTGAACCGTAGTTCTTAGTAACGAATTGAAATTAACGGTTTCAAAGAGAGTCGTAAAAAATCCGATATCGATGTAGAATTGCGCAAACCATGCGTTAAGTGCATATTAAGATCAAAGCTATTCTAGTCAGACTGATATTAATGTTGGATCGTATGAAAGGCAGTAGTTGAACTCGCCTCTAAGCGTCGCAGATACTCTTACATATGTATACAAGCATTAATTCAGGCTCAACTATGACCAGTGACGACCGATAAAGTGAATAAATACTTGGTAATTGCATGTTCTGGTAGTTAAACAGCTATATAAAAACAAATGGCCGATTCCCATTCGCTGTTAGGGTCTGAGATTCCTCAAGTCTGTTTACAGAGTTCTGAACTATATGTATTTCTCGCTTTCTCTCGAGTCGCGGCACCGCGTTTTCGGCGACCTCTGAATTCGAGGATCAAAGTTCTTCTTCCGCCTGCTCCATTAAAAGGCTCATGATCACTAACATATTACGAAAGGAGCGTGTTATAATTTTAGGAAGCGTAAAAGGTTTTAACTACGTCGTTGTTGTCTTTAACTGTATATATTACTTTCTGAAGGACGGCACACGGCACATGGTGGTTTATATACATCCCGGCATAGAACATTCTGGAAGTTATGCCAGGTACAAATTAATAATCACAGATGTCGTTACAATAATCACGCATTCAGCTGCTGCAATATACTCGAAGAAATTTAGCTTAAAGGTTTGATTCCTTTTTCCGCTAAATACCGGAATCGATGAAAGTTGCGTGTAGTTTGATGTTAAAAAACCCGTCTGGTTTGCAGCACTGAGTTTTGAGTAGTATCTTTGCTTGATTGGGTTGAATGTTACAGACTTTCCACAGGTATTGGCCTGCCTCGCGTACATCCCCCAAAATCCTCTCGCGTGGACCAATTCTGGAAGTCAGTTATTTGGGATAATATGCTAAGATCTTCCTTATATGTCCCGAAAGTACAATGGTATGTTATCTGTGCAGCTTGCCCCTCCGACGTTAACCCATCCATTGTCCACTTTGTACGTTGAAATTCCTTATAAAAGAGAAATGCCCCTGGGCCTGAGAAAGTAAAGTTTTCCCTTATCACTTGGCTGGATGATAAGATTTTATAGAACGCGTTAGGGGGGTGGGAACATTCTCGTTGCCTGTCTTGTGCTTGTTAATAGGGCCAAATACCCCATTGCTTGAATAGTCGAGAACACTTCGTCAGGCTTTGGCCCTTTTATAGCTTGGAGTATGCTATCATCTATATTGGGAAAGTGTGCGAAAGCTCTTTTTGCCGCCGTCTCCCACTTTTTTACATACATTCCTTCCGCTTTAATGTAATTAAGCAGCACTGTCATAGGCCCAAGCGAATTGAGCCATTGCGCTTCTCTTTTCTGGTGGGAATGTGACACCTTCAAGAAGTATATGATGCGCGCCATTGAGGCCATATTGTGCAATTTTGACCGCAATGGTTTCAGCCCTATCTTTACGGATGTTCATTGTGTGATGCCCGAGTCTGAGCTCACTAAAGCGCAAGTCAAAGCCAGTTAAAAAATTCATTAGTGGACTGGCAACACCATACCAGCTCTGTTGCCCTGGTCTAACTGGAACAAATGGTATGTCGCTGTCCTTAGCTGCCGTCTCTACAATATTGTAGGCCATCTGCCTCTCTACGGTGTGCTTTAACCCTCTATGAGTGATGAAAGTTGTCCCAGATATCCCATCTCCCAGCCTTCCACCCGTTTCGTTTGCCCTCTGACGTAAGACAGTGTAGCAATTAAATATTATATTTTGGACCTGATGCTCTCCATTGCAACATCTTCTGTTAAGTTGGCCAATCTGTGAATCTCAGCAAAGGATCTAAGCATAAAATTGATCACTTTCAATTTGACATCCTGATTCAATTCAATCCTTGGCTTCTTAGGATCAATTATTTCTTTGGTGTGATCGGCTGCGTCCACTATTCTTTTTCTTGTTGGACCCTTCTGAGAAGCCTGATCCCTCGGGTGTGTTCCGCTCGTCAAGGAGTCCTCTATTTCCATGTGCGATGATGAAGGCTGAGCCATGATATTTTGTGGAATTGGTTTTAGGATCTGTTTTTACTTTTTTTTTACAATTTGCTTTCACTTTTAGTTTTAATTTTACTGAGCACCTGGGCCCATAACCTGTTCTAATTTTAGGAAGCGTAAAAGGTTTTAACTACGTCGTTGTTGTCTTTAACTGTATATATTACTTTCTGAAGGACGGTACACGGCACATGGTGGTTTATACATATACATCCCGGCATAGAACATTCTGGAAGTTATGCCAGGTACAAATTAATAATCACAGATGTCGTTACAATAATTACGCATACGCTATCGACACCTTTGGGTATATACATACAACAGAGCGGATCTAGGAAGATCTTTATCATATTTATAGCGACGTAAAAATCTTCTTTCGGATGCATATTGTGAAAATATGACCCCCAAGATTGGTTCTCGACAATACCACATCAGATATGGCGGCATAAATGTTGGTCTATCGTTCCTTGAAAGTTTCGTTAATAGCTCTATATATGGTTGAAGACAACGGGGAATTTTGTTGTATTAGTTAACTGGGCCAGCACACTTGATCGTTCCATTCTTTAATGCGTGGTGCGGTTGTTTCGCGTAGCTCGTTTATTGTGCCTTCGCATTCCCTTCCCCCTCGATGCTAAAATTGGGGTTTCCAAATTGCTAATAATTCTTCGGCTCTTCGTGTCCTAATCAGGGTTCAATATTTAAATATATCGAAAGATATTTCCCGATTTTCCAACACTTGGCGACTATTATTCCTACAACCAAGCTCTGGCTTTTCCATCTTTGCCATCTTTATCGCCAATAATAAATGCTGCAGATTCGAAATTCTTTTCTGCGAGCGCGATAAAACTCGTGCATTGAATAAGTAAAAAAGTACAAGTCGATAGAATCAAGCACATAATCTATGCTCAAATAATAATGCTACGGGTTGGTACCGATTTCGTCTCAAATTATAATTCCGCACGAACAATAAACATTAGTTTATGCCGAGAACGAACTGCTCTGCTTGCACGTAATTTTCAGCTTCTTGAATTTTTTAGTCCTCGACGATCCCTCGTTAGTTTTTGTAAGGAAACGACTTGAAGAAAAAAGGAAAATAGACGAGTTTCGTGTTAACGCGATTCTTGTCGTTAAAAAAAAAATTTTCGATTAGAATTTGTTTTAATTTCGATTATTCACTATTTACGATACTTGTATTATATCGTAGCGTTGTATGTTATCGACTAGGATACGTGTTATTTGGCCAATTTATTCCTACTTACTGTTAGCGAAAAGTGCGAGTATACGCACAAAAAAAAAAAAAAAATATTACTGGCTTGCGATTTCCTATAAATTTAAGTGACGTGTGATTGGTAGGTGTTGTGACTGGCAAGTGAAGACTCTGACGAGTAAAGACTGATGACGAGATGTCTAATAAAAAAAAAATCGAAAGTCGAATCCTCCCTTCCAGTGCGCCTTTAGTGCGATGCCTTGGGAAGGGGGTACGCGATTTGTGGGGGCGACTCGGTCGCCGAAAGACGTTCAATGGACGTTCTTTGCATTTTTACCTGTGTGCAGTTTTCTGGTTGGTAATTCCGAGGTTTATATTAAGGACAATGGCACGCAGACGACCAGAATAACGAAATCACATTTCGTAGACACGAGTTTCTTTTCAACTCTGTCTCGAACCTCTCCTTAACAGTGAATCACAGCGACACGCTGTATCGCAACTTTCAACAGATATAAAAAATTTTTATATAGGTACCACGTTATCGTTAACTTACGCACTGCGACACGAATCAAACGCAAATATTAGTCCCCCAAACAATATAGTCGGAAACAACTCTTCTAACGGGACAAAAATAACGCAAAACCATTACAAAGAAAACTTACGTGAGAGAGCACTTGTTAGCGGGTAAAACTAGAATATATTCAGGGTGTACGTATATAATTTATTTTTAAGTTTACCCAACACCTCAGGATAAGTCATTGTGCGGCATTATATAGTGATAATAATAGAATTAATATGATTAATAAAGATTAGGTGATGCGTAATCGACCACAAATACGCTAATCAATAAATCCAATTACATTTATTCTACGTATCTTCCATGTTTTAAATGTTGTCGGATGAATCTTACGATCGTTTTTTAAAATACTATTACGAAAATGTACGTGGAAAAACTGTCTCTATCGCCCGTTAGGGTGGTGAAAACTACGTGTCTCTTTGATGCTGGATAAAACGACTTTGATTATTCGAATGCCCAAATAACGAAAGAATACTGTTAAGAGTTTATCTCTGCGTGTGTTGTATACATATAGAAAAGTATATACTGCGAATTAGTGTTTGTAATTCCCTGTACTTTGTGACTTAGTAACAAGTTTTGTATCGATTCTTGTAACATTTACAAATGGCTTTCACCGATTGCGCTACGCGTTGCTTAGGTTACAATAACGAAAACTGTTAGATCCTAAAGAGAATCAGGACGCGTATGCATAATTTATTTTACATTCTACTTTACGGCAGCACTTGAAATGCGTTAAGTTTTCCTCATATACAGGCATCGTATACATAAAAAAAAAAGAACAGACTATGTAACTGCAAACGCGTGTCGTTCCCTTAGAAATTTATAAAAAAATTATACGTGTTAAATTTTTGACGATCCGAAATAACGATATATCACATTTCATACTGTAATGTTTTGCAACATTTAGTAATTAGTATATTCGAACATCTTCTATTGGCTGAGAAACAATAAAGTGAATATTTGACATACACGAAGTCTTTTCCATTCGAAAGCAAAACCAGATAAAACCAGATCCTTCCTTGGAGAGAAAAGGTACTGTGATTATTAAATATTGAATTTTTTTGCAAGCCTTTGAAATTTTATATACAATTTACGGTAAAGGTTAAAATTCAGCGGAATTAGGTCGATGTGTAATCGAGCAAAATTAAAAATAGTCCAAAAATGCATGCGATATTCTTCTGTTTGATGTTTAGGGAAAGAAACCTGGCTAACGATAGATCCATACGACTAGAGTTACACTCCGTTCCGCAGTGTCACGAGTTTAAAATTAAACTCGAGGGGAGAACGAAACGGAAGAAGCTGGTGGAATACGAATACCCGAAACGTAAATGAAAATTAGATGTATTTTCTAAAAAAAGAACTTACAAGCGTACGACGTGCCATATTATTCTATTCTTAAATATTATAAATATTTTACAAATCGTTACACAACACACAGCGTAAACATGTTGGGGGATGGACGAAGAGACTGCAGGGTCGACTTTTTCGATGTGTCACGTGAATCGAGATATGTGCATTTCGGGGAGTAGTTGCAGTTTTTCAATGTCGTGTAGAGTCGTTATACCTTTCTCCTGTTTAAACAAGGGCAAAAACAGTATGCGTTAAACGATCAATTACTGTATATACAAACGAAATTTAAGAATTTGAGATTATTACATTGTATTCTTTCCATTTTTCGTAATTTTGTCTCATGTACCCCACAATCTCCGGCATGTCGATGAACGCTGAAAAAAAACAAAACAAAGTTACGCAATTCTTCGTAAAATCTTGAACACGTTTAACCCTCTGGCTGATATAAACGTTTATAAATATTTAAGAAAAACGCGTAACTGAAATTTCCACGGAAATCATAGTACCGAAAAGGTTCTGGTAGTTTATAATTGTTACTAACCATCCCACGCTTCGATCATATCGTTTATGATGAAATCGACGAAACCAATTTGCGATTTTGGTATCGAGCACGTTGGCCTATCGAACATCGGCATTAGGACAGGCAACTGTAGTTTTTTCTCTTCCTCGGTCTGCGAAGAAAGAATTAAAATGGCCTCACAGTGGTTTCGATTTTAATGCAACGAGTGTGGACGAACTTATGAGAATAAAACAAATTCAAAGATCAACTTTGATAATCGTCGCTTTGTCGAAACACGTAAGTAAATTTTACCTGACAAAAGTACTCCTCCGCGATTCGTCTGGTCCATTCGATACACCATTTCATTGGCCGGGTCGGATTTGACACGTCGGCGCATTTCACCATCATTCTTTTGACTAATACTACGTTTTCTGGCTGTAGCACGACAGACATGTCCATGGAATTTGCGTAGCCCTGCGTTAAAATTTTCGAAACGTTTACGACACTAGGAACGATCACAGGAACTGCTATTCTTAACATTATAGTAACAAGGTGTTGAAAAATTAGGGATACTAGGGAAATGTATCGTTGTTGAAGTAAGATTCGTACCTCCATCGATTGGTCACCGATCTTTACGCTGCAGAAATTCATGAACTTAGCCAGATACTCGAAGTGTTTTGTCATCTCGGTAGCCAGAATCATGTCTATCACGTTCTGACGGACTAGCTTGTACGTGTCCCGTGTCAAATTCTACAAAGAGCAAACGATCCGTAATTCGCGAAGATGATCGATTTAGCGCAAAACTCACTTTGAAAATATTAACACTGTCCTCCGATAACGATAGCTTGAACGTCAGGGCGGCGTGGTGCGATTCAAGCACGGATATATCGTTGTAAAGAATCGCTAGCTTGTTGTTGGCGTTGCAGAGAAACTGGCTGAAACGAGTTTAAATTAACACTAAAAATACCATTTCATGTATACCCATTCCTACCATGACCGGTCAAACGACCAGTCATTCTTTTTCTCATTTATAATCAATAGAAATTGCTAAAACTTCGTTTGACCCATAGTGTCAAAGTAAATGTTAAAGTAAACATAGAAGACAGCATAATTAGAAACAGTTGTTACAGTCATCGGATAGAGGATTAAATGCCCTTTAAAATGAGCGCTTGTACGAGTCGATAGCTTTATTAGTTCCGGAGATATAGCGATTTTAATTTCGCGTCGATGCGGTGGCTAGTTCCGGAGATATAAGGGTCCGAAGAGTTTGTTTACTACGGCCTTGTCAAGGTCGTTGACCGGCACGTGACGCGTGGGAACTAGGTCACTCGGCCACTCGGTCACGAGTCACGTGCGAGAAAGAGAGCTCCGGCGCGACGCGTCAGACGAAGACAGCGATAGTCGAATTAAGAAAAATTACCCCTTCACATAAATTACGATATCTCGAAAACGGAATGCCCGATCGACAAAAACCAAAAGCCATTTTGAAGGGGAAGGTTTACCGCTTCCAACGATCGCTTAATTATGGATAAATCGCCAGCAGTTTCGGAACAGCACGCGTCCAAAGTTTTAGTATTTTTAATACGCATTAATGGACGTTTCTAATTTCTAGTTCGGATTTACCTCGATCTACCCGGATGATCAACGTCGTGGGCAGCGGCCGCGATTAAAGCGGCAACCTCGTCCAAAGGTTCCAAAATCCGTTTCAGTCTCTCCGATTGCATGAACTTAGCCGTAGCTTGCAAAACGTCCGCGGCATGGGTCGAATTGTGATACGTGTTCGTAGCCCGATAATTTGCTTCGATCAAGGCCAACCAGTTCTGGACGGTTTTTTCGTCGCACTCTAATCTGGCCGGGACGCGGAACAAATTCATGATGGTCGTTCCCAAGTAGACCAGCGGTCTGTAACGAATTCGACGAAGTAAGAAGAGATACAACGACGGAGAGTAAATTTCGTACCTTCCTTCTGTCAGAACTTCCAGCTTGAATATATCGAAATTCCAGTCCAAACATCTGTCTAGAATTTCCGCGATCCCCTGCGGCCCTCTGAAACCCTTGATCTGCACACGCGAAATGTTCGGAACAGTCGTCGTGATTCGCGTGGATTCTGCCGACGATCTTCTCGATTCCCATGCCCTTTGCGGTGACTGCATCCATTGACGATATTTGTACGTCGAAATTATTCGCTAGACATTTTTAATGATATTCATATGCAATGCTTACGGCGATTAAAGCTCCGACGAGATCAGTCGCTACCGGATCAGCGTAGGTTCCGTCCTCCCTGAGGTTCGGTGTGTACAATTCGGTCGTTTTGAGTATCTCTATTGCCTGAAAGATCAAATCGTTTTCTCCAAGTACTATCGATCAATTATTTAACGAACGGCGAACCAAATAAACTACCTTGTCGATTTGTGCTGCTGACTCGGGAGTCGTGGACTCCGTGATCGCGTTAGAAAGGAGAGTGATCACTTTCGTGATGGGGGCTTCTAATTGCAAAGAGTGCAGCCTCTGCAAACTGGATCGTCTGCGACCTGCGAACCGGAAGAAATTCAATTACGAAATCTCTGATCGATCGGTATTGGAACGACCAGGACGTATTTACAATCGCGATAGACGATTATCGATATCGAGCGTACGATTATCGTTTTAAAATTCAAGATAGCGGATCGTTGGCTCGATTGTTTCGAAAATTGCAAAAATAGAAGCGATACGTTACCCTCGGTGGTAATAGATCTAACGTCGGACGATCTCCTCTGTGACAAAGGTGCGCCCACTTTAGGAAAAGTTGGCTGCGACGGTGTAGGAGGCGGACTAAGCGGGCCAATGTTTTCCGACAAATACGTCGTGTCGTATACGTATATGTAGTGAGTCGGTTTTCTGAGAACATTTTATTTAGAAAGAAACGAGCAACAAGAGAAATCCTATTTACGTAGACGACTTACTTGGACGTGGTGCTGAAAGGTATCACTCTGCAATTAATAGTGATCATTCGGTTGTTCTGCCGCCTACATTTCATGTTTCCCTCGAACTCTCGACCTTTGCTTATTTGTTGCTCCATGAGAACAAAATTCTCGTAATACACTATCTCCGCGATGTTCTTCCCCAACATTTCGCTCGTCTTATACCCTAGCAGCTTTTCGCTGATTTTATTAACATACTGCAACAGGAGTATTTAGTCGAAATAATCGGAGAATCGTCTATTTGAACGCGCGAGGCAGGTGTTCTCTGATTCAACTCGATACAAATGAAATAAATAATAATAGAATTTTTGGCAGCGTCAGGTACAACGGGTACGTAATATTTATGAAGCAATAACGATAGGTTTCGACTGGTAATAGCCAGGTTTTCTGGGAATATAGTTTCTAAAGAGTATTGCAAACGTCGTGGATCCAGGAAGATTATTCTTTGATAACGCAATCAAGAAGTTGTCTATTACTCACGTTACCTGTACAATGTGTTTGTCGTCCGTGACGTGCACCATGTCACGGCATCTGTCGAGGGCCACATAGAGCGCGTTGGCGGCCGCGAGTTGAGTTCTTGGCAATAGCGCGCTGGTATAAATCCCCACTAACTCGTTTATTAGTATTCCCTCGTGGGAACACTCCATTAAAGCCTGAAAACCGCAAAAGAGAACGAAAACGAACGTTTTCTCCGTTTCGGAGCATAGTTCCAATAACTTACTCTGGTAAATCCCGTTTCCAGCAAGTCCAGTGCCACGATTTTATTTTTGTCGCTGTACATGAAGTATCTGTAAAAGTTGACGGGGGGGGAAAAAAAGAACATTGTAAACGATAATGCGAGATATTGAAACGTTCAACGTACAAAGTAACTTACGATTTTTTCACGAGTGCTATGATAACGGAATTGTGGTAAACGGGACTAGCCCTGATCGCCCTGAAACCAACCAGTCAAATCTATTAACGAATTTCTTAATTAATCAGAGCGTTTGGTAAAATTTTCAGTAACGTTTGCGAGCAATACCCGAGCTGTCTCGTCGATGTTTCGTATCGTACCTACAAATTATGTCGGCCTCCGCGGCTCGTTGACCCCTGTGATCGATGATTATTAGCTCGTGGCATCGACTTTGAAAAAACTCAACTGCCTTTTCCGCGTCTTTTGCTACCGACACGCTCCACCCCAATCTCCTCGAAGTGGTAGCGAGAATATCCATTTGCTGATCATCTTTGGAGAAGACCAACAATATCTGACGTTCGAGGAGTACGATTCGAAATAAACAATAAATCGATAAAGCCAGAGCTATCAATAGAATTATTTTTCGGCATTCGTGTTGGTCGATTAAAATGGAAACGTACAAACGCTACTTACTTTTATCAAACTAGGAACACTGTTCGTTAACGGATGATCATCGATATCCTGTGGCCCTTTCTGTAACATGCAATAAAGATAGTAAATTTTAATGTTCGGGATAGATCGATCGTTTACTCTTCGAGAATGAAATTGAAAGACTTGGATCGGCGATATTGAGAATGATAAAAGGAAATGTACCACTACCGAACCCTCGTCACTGGCATATTCTACTGCGAGTTCACTGTAAACCTTTGCTCGTCGCCGCGCGCGCGGTGATTCCTTCACGTTTTTAATCTTTTCATACTGAGATGACTTTTTCATTCGTATTGACTACGGTGTTCGATTTTAAAAGCTGCGTACATGTGGTATAACCTATGCATATTAAGGACACCGTCACAGAGACAAACGAATCGAAAAACCAAGTGCCCGTGGCTCGATGAAGTTGGTCGTTCTGCGAACGAGGACGGGACCAACGATAATTTCGATTTATCGACAATTTTACGATTCCTTCAGTTCATAAGAGACCGTTGCAAATGTTTTCTAAACGCTGTGAAACAGATGGAGTATCTCTCGGTGTCGAATTTTTATTCTGAGCGCATGGAACGTTTCAAGTACGAGATACACTCGTCCCCAGCAGCGTCGAAACGATTTTCAATCATCGCCTGCTTACGAATGTACCTCGAACATGGAATACGCGTGCGCAATGATGAACAACCAAATGACTTTTTAGAGAAGTACTCTCGTCACAAACGGAAACTGATAACGAAACTGAATTGAAATTGTTACGATTAACGAAATTATTACATCGTTCTACGAAGAGCAATCGTCTTTCTGTTCGCTGTAAAATTTAGTGCGAAGAATACGACCGGTTGTAGAAAACAAAAGCCTCGATCCACTTTCGCAAATAGTATTCTCCAGGTAGGGTTGCAGCATATGTACCTGTGTTGGCAACACTAGCGATGGAAGCGCTTCGTGCACTCCTATTGTACGTTTGCTCGCGTACCATTTTTTCTGATCTCTGCCGCACAATACGTCGAAAATCCAGCTGTACCAAGGTCTCGTTGGCTCTTCGCGAATTACATCCGCGCAGTCTGTGGTATGACAAACGTAGATCTGTGTTTGCGTCGATCGTCTTTTGTCGTTCATTCTTAATCACTTGCTGATCGTTTAGTTAAAAATCGTACGTTCCCGTTTCTTCGCATCGTTAATCGAAACTAGAGTGGATCGATGACGTTCTTCGAAGTGTATCGACAACACTGCATATCGATCGATGATGTACAAGACGTCCGTGGACGTCCATCGCGACACTGATCGAGCACCGACGCTCGTTCAGATTATCCTTCCGTTCTATCAGGAGCAGAAGCCCTCGTCTATCTTCGATAACGAACCTTCTCCGTAGAACTAGAGTGTTTTTGTACAATTATTGATAGCGTATCGTATAAACAGTCGATAAAACATGCGCGTCACGAGAAGTTGATTATAAATAAATGATATCGTAACTTTTATTGTTCGTCACGAAGTTATCCGACATTATTCGCCGTGTACGAAGAGGATTTTTTTAAACAAGATCAAGATAAAACTATAATCCGCGACGAGATCCAAATATTGGTTCAGTCCAATCCGTTATTCCGGTCGAGATAATATAGAACAAATCGAGCGAAACGTCTTTAAATTGAAAACGAGCACGATCTCGCGACAGACAGAAGTACAGATTTCGACGAAAGAACTGGACGATCGTGGTCGATAAACTCTAACGGAAAAGGAGTGCTCCCCAAGGCGTAATAAATGTTCCCAAGAAATTAACACTTTCCATGTTAATTTCGTTCGGGTTGTACACGTTCCACTCTGGACTTTTTAGCGTTCGCGCCGTTTTAGATTTTCGTCGTCGACTGTAACCTTTTCGTAAAATATTTTATTAAATCATGACTGGTGTCGTATCATATTTAAATAACTGATTTTCGTCGAGGAATTACGCAAGATGCCCCAGTACCATCATCCGGCTTTTCTGGCTACGAGCCAGCTATGTCTACAGACTGTCTATAGACACCAGAGTTTATACCCTGTCTGTAGACGATCTCTGTCACGCAACAGCGAAAAAAAAACTCGGGCATCGCGATTACGGAGAAACTAGGGAAACGAAAGGGTGCACCGAGACCCGTTAATAATTCCGTGGACAGTCTTTACTCTTCGCGTAGACCGGCAATCAAAGCTCGGCAGAGTTGTTGAATGTTTGAGCGGTCGGCTTAGTTTGTGTATTGTCGCTGGAAACTTGGGTGAAAACATTCGATGCAATTTTCAACGAGACCGCGCGACACATTGGGAACGACGCAGCTGTTTGGAAACGAAACAGTTCGTGATTATGTTATTACCGAAGGGGGTAATTGCTGGTTGCGGGATTAAGTTGCGTGGGAAAACGAAAGACTGACGCTTGGTATTTTTTCGGTCGATCGTTTCTTTTCCCTTTCCCTTTCAGATTATCCCCTTCCCCTGTTCGATGATCAGGAAGGAACTATTTAATCAATCGCTGTTAGTACTTGGACTATGATATTGCTTGATTAGTAGTAACAATAGGCACGTGTATTCGATTGTGTCTTGTTTGCTTTCAAAATGCGAAATGGGACATTAATTATTTCTCGTTATCTTAGATTGCAGTTGCAAGAATCGAGACATCGATGCAGGCATTATCTTTTCACGTCATTTATCGTTAAAGCGTAGTATGGATTACATGCGTGTACAGCACACTGTTTAGTAAATCGAAATGTTATCGTTCACGGTAAAAATGCAGGGAAGTAAACAGAAAACACTTTACTCACCGTTAGCGAAAAATCTACGTCCTCGTCCGCGGCCGAGATGTCTTCGAACAAAGGCTTTTCTCCCAAATTATCATACTCCGGTTTCCCTTGAAAGAGAAACAATCGTTTAATTTCCACGAAGACAGGGTGTCCGTAAAAAATTAATTGGTACAATTAATGTTTCGATCGAAGGCTCGGTGAATCGATTCATTAGCGGAGCAATTAATCGATATCTCACCGACGATAACGAGGTTGGTTAAGAACCGATGAGAAAATCCCCTATCGATGGATCAACGATTAAGATTAATTTACGAAATTAATCGATCGTTGCTTACGTACTATTTCTAAATGAAAATTAAGTCGATCGATGCGAGCAAGCACAGAAAATGTTTCAAAGTTCTAAAAATGCTATTTACAATAATATAAACGATCTTACGAATATTATTGCGCATTGAAAGTCCGTGCAACAATGTCGAGCATGGGAAACTTGCATATCTTCACCTTTTACGGCACGATCATTTAGCAATTCGAATGGATCGGAGTTTAAAGATAATTGATCGAAAGTAGGGCACCTTAATTGCACAGTACGAGCGCAGTATAGGGACAAGCACCCGATGTTTTCAACCGAAATGCTAAGTACGTTTCAAAACGGAAACGAAAAGTAAGAGTTTTCAGGAGAGTTTTTTTATTCACCTACCATCGTCAAGCAACACGTCCTCCAAAGTTTTTTCATCCTGGTTCGGAAAGAAATACTTGTTCGGAGGGGATGCCATATGAATTTTTAAAATGTCAACTTCACAGTAGCATAGATACGCATTGGTGTTTTATTAACTCTGTCCTCATGTTATTGACAGTTCGGTTATTGACGTCCAGTAAAAATAGTATCTTTCGATCGAAAGATTTTATCGACTAGAAGAGTTACTCCTATAAAAATAACAAGTATACCATTGAAACATGGAATTATTAACAACACGAGATTTAAATAATTGGCTCGTTACTTTAGAACAGAAAGAAAAGTAACAGAAGAATCCACTCGGAGTTTATTTAAATATTACACTGTGAGTTACACCGTTTGCATCATTTGTTTCCACGTTACGCGTTAACTCTAAAGGAAGGAGAGTACGCAAGACGTAGTGTGCGTCACGTAACGCGTGAAATATTGAAATCACGTAGTCGAAAGTAGAGAAAAAGATCAGCCCGCACTCCGAACGATGCGTTGTAAGCGGCTCGAAGACAACGACTGTCCGGGAGAACCAAATTCTGCGGGTTAAAATTCTGCTGGTGAGTGAGTGGGCTCAGGATCGAGATAGGGTCATCGGAGAAACTCTCCGGTACAATGCCTGCACGCGTTAAATACCAACATTTACAAAGAATAACGCGGAAAGAATAAAGTTTCGCAGTACGAGGTACACACGCTCGCTAAAGAAAGTTATCCTCGCATGCAGATTGAAAATGTTTACGCGAATGCGATGGACAAAGTGGAAAGTCGGACGGACGATAGTTTCGATCCTTGGCTCGATTAAGTTGCGTCGGTTCGCGTATTATGCATACAATTTTCTTCACACGCACAAAAAGATGAAAGTTTAACGTTCTGCTTCGTCCATGCTGCTCCTCTGTACCTATGCTACTTATTATTAGTTGAAATTATTATAATGTTCACTGTCTTGTTCGGAACTTTAGTGGGTTATAAAATATCCCTCCTTTTTGCTATCCTAGTGTGCATGGTATATACTTGGACTCACCGTTAAAAATGGAAATAATTACAAATGCATAGGTTTATGTCACGTCGCATTCACTTTGTTTAGTTAGACGATAAATGTTAGATCGGTCGAGGGAGAAAACTATTGTTTTACGCTTCCCGGTACAAGTAGTTTATCCAGAGTAGTGTATTTTTCATCGTCGCATAATTTGTTCTTGATATCTTTCTATGCAACTTGGGCATTTGTTCACTTAATAAAACCTATGCTTTGAATTGTTAACGCGCTGCTGACTGCCACTATGAATATTTATAACAAACGAACACTAATACTTGTAGGTGTTACTAATTCGCTTACGCATTTCTGAAAATTCAAATGGAATTACCATTTCACGTCGATCCAAATATACGCAGCCTTATCAAAGAATAAATACAGTGTTTTGGTATTTCTGTATCGTTGCGTCTCTAATTCTAAATTGCTTAATTTCAAATGGCAAATTAAACAGACATTTAAATGCCATTCAAACGACGATCGAATAAAAGATAGCGTCGAAAACCGTGTTGCATATTTATTCAAGTGTACATACGTAATAACGATAAAGGAAGATGCGATAGGAATCGAGTATAATGGTACTGACAGAAAGTTGAATCGAAATCTCGGATGCTGTCCTCGCTTGGACCGCAATATTTAATTAGAAAAATGTACTATTCTTTGGCTTTGGCCGATTCCTTTTGGTATTCGGAACATTGTATTCGTCCGATGGAGACTCGGTAGAACCGAGCGTTGTTTTTCGAGCCGCAGATTCGATTAATTCACGTTGCGAACCGACGGCTCCAGTCAAGAGTACAGCGTGGACAGAGGTGTAGACTAGGTCAAGGAGAATCACTATTCTCCCGAAGTACTCTCCGACTACCTTCGCGAAACGTAGTACGCACAAGTGACGCAGCAATGCCTCGGGCACGTTGCAATGTATTTTTATTGATCGATTATGCCCGCCGGGAGTCAAAGAATTCGCTTTCCCTGTTACGTATCGAGACACGGACGTCGAAAATGGACCCGATGATACGATACACGGTCCCCGCCATCGATATTTCTATAACGATACCTTGTCAGCGTACCGAGGAACACCTTGTAACGAGAGAGAACAAGATACTCGATGATAAATGCGATGTCGTCGCGCGAAACGCGTAAATTAATCATTTTTTTTTTTTAATTCATCAACGAACCTGCACCAACGAAGCTGAGTAGAGAATTCCACTAAAAGTAACAAATGTTTGAAATAACTTTTGGTTAGTAGTGGTTGAGAGTACCCGAGGAGAGAGACCGGAAACTTACTTTCAGCGACTCGGCGTTCTTCCTCCACCGTTTCTAGTGCTTTGCTTTTCTCCGTATCCGCTTTGTCTTCCAAACATTGCAGCATGCTGTGCTTGGATCCCATTCTCGAAGCACGTTCTCACTTCGTGCTGTATCCATTAATCCACTTCCACATCGTCGGCAGCCGTTCGAGCAGATTCTAAAAATGTTTCGTCGCTGTCAGCCGCCGCGATCGAGATCGTCGAGTTATCGGTTTCGATAATGCCAACGGATATACATTATGGAGGCGCGTGAATAAATTGGCTCGCGCGATCGTACCGAAAATAGATTTTCAACGGGAAATCCTGCACGGTTTGCGTAATTAATACGAAACAAGATTTCGGTATATTTCCGAGGCGCGAACAAGTTGAACGTCCCTCTTCAATGTCGTCGAACGAGTTCGAGACTCGCGGCGGCAAAGGAAACGCCGAGCGAGGAAGAGACCGCGACCAAGTGACAACCATAATATACGGATATAAATATTCATGAACGTTACTGTACTGTTGATCGTTGGCAAACGACGAGGCGTTATTTGTAAATCGATCGAACCGCGGATATTTACGGATGCGGTAAAAATGATCTCGAACCTCTTGGCAATCTTTACGATATCTGGTCACATAATTTTTTTAGCAAAATTACTTTGTACGTTTGAAATTAAGTGCTCGAAGGTAAAGTACTCCGGCGTTTGCTTTATCCTGTCGTTATTGAACAAGCCTTACGTCGTATCCGAAGCATTCTCCAAAGAAGTCACCAACTCCAATTCGGGTTCGCAATATTACACCAGCATGTCCCTCGTTCGCGCGGGATTCTCCCCGCTTACTTTGAACGACGTATCCAAGATTACACAAAACACTGATCGATGCATACGTGTATCATGGAAATTTCAATCTCGTCTCGTAGAGGTAGAAAGAACAACGCACAGGCACGATCATCCTAAATGTTTCGAAGGTTGTCAATGAACGATCGATCTCTTTGGAAGCGGACCAAGTTGAGAAATCATCGAGCCGCGTCGGTCGAACGTCGATTACGATCGAGATCGCGTTTCAACATCGGACGGATGATTCCCACAGACACTTTGACCACAAGGTCCGACGAAACGGACACTCGTTTATCGCTATAGATGTTCACTCGCGAGGAAACTCGAAATCAGATGCATACGTATTATACGATCACAGGAAGAAATAAATCCAGACTCCGTTCGAAAAAGGAATTTTAGTTCGTTCGTCGGTTTTGTAAGAGCACCGCACCGATCAGACAGCTCGATGTCTCGCGATCGACCAACGAGAACGAGACGAGTCGACGATATTTTCACCGATGGACTGTGAACAGCCGCGCGACACTCGATCCATTGTTAGGCGATACGATGCCTCGAGATGTGCGCGATGTTTTAATAAAGCTAAACCTAGTTGCAGATGGCACGATGGCCTCCAAACCGCCAACTAAACTTTCCGATTTCGCGAGGTCGACGCGCGAAAAGAAGAGACTACGAATTGGATGCCTCTCTGCCCCCCCTCTTCTTTAGACTGCCTAGCCAAATATTTTATTTGCACCGGGAGTGCGTCGTCGATCGTTTTTTTAAGGGTACGATTACGTTTGCGTTGTTGTCGAAACGTGTCCGGATGCAGTCGCGAAAATTTATTTGCCCCCGAATCGAGTCGCGACGATGCACAGCAGGCCACTAATTAATTAATTAGGTAATTGAGAAGTAGTTGGAAATAAAAATTGCACGGATACTTGTTCGCGGCCTTGATATACTTATTTAACTTTTTATCTCTTTTTTCTTTTTCTTTTTTTTCATGAAATTTTTCTGACATACGTTCAAAGGTAAATGTAAATGCAAAACAAAACATGTAATTCATTATTTTCAAGGCAATCATCTGTACTTATAATAACACATGTTTCAAAACAAGAAAAGCAATAACTAAATATTAATATTTAACACTGAACGCGTAACCGCGTAAAATTAATTACAACATCTGAAGATTTTTACGTTTAACGGTAGGACACTCTTTGTTACAATGATAAATAATTACAGGAAAAAGTGTTTAGAAGGTTTTTATACAGATTCAAGATACCCAGACGAAGAACAAGAAATCTCGAATCAAGTTTAATTTGACCTAGCAAGAATTAAATTTGCAATCGACTGTACTTGAGAAAAAGTATTATATTTAAAAAGAATTTTCTTAGATTACAAGATACAATCGATCGTAACAGCTAATTAGCAATAATTACAAGCCTCGTAGCAAAGTCGACAGACATCTGAGACCGATTAAGTTTGCAGCTCGAAACAAGAGGTGTCGTGAGAATGATCAGGCAAACATAATTACAATCGATTAAATTAACCAGTCTTTCAAGACCTGAATATACAATAACGAGAATAGTTTTTTTTATATTTATACTGATATTTGTAGGCAGAAGAAGTTGCAAATTACGTTATAACGAATAAAACATAACCGAAACGGTACACGCAATGACGCGTGATAGTTTTGCATATCTATACTGTACATCACGTTATGAAACATTCAGGAGAATCTCCTTGAGAGTATTATTCGATTTGAAAGGCTAATAACGACGTACATTCTTTGAATCGTGAACAGCCAGTTGTACATTGCGATCCGGTTATTTTTGCGGAAGGTACAAAAATCAAAAATATCGAGTACGTCCATGAAGCGTTCGAACGCCAGTGAAAAGAAGGATTTATTCCCGTTCATAGTGAATTGTTATAAAAAAAATTGCCCGCTCGTTGAAGATGAAATTGTTTGATCGGAAGCACAAACCACCAAGAAACATTCAAGCCGTTGCAAGTCTGCAAAAATGATTGCAAAATAACACCGTAAAACCCCGCACCAGAAGTTTCACACGCACGCTATCACCATCTAGTTAGAAAAGTAATATATGTTTTTATCTTTGTATAAATAAAATGTATTGGACTGACTGAATGTTCTGAATGTGGTATTAGTCTATAAAATAGTAAATGACGTGATAAATCATTGCAAATTCATTAACATTTATCAACAAATGGATAAATTTGAATCTAAAAGAAAACTTAGCCATTGGATAAACGAGTCGATGAGTAGGAAAAATATTCTTAGAGAACGGAACTTTGTACCTTGTTTCTTTTCGTGCAAATGAAATCCGTACCTTGCAAAGCATTTCCTTGAACGACGAAAAAGTGGTCCGGGAAAGCGAGGAGATATAGCAAAGCTCGACGATAGTCAATGAAAATAGAAGATAATCTAGAATTTGCACATGGCAAATACCAGGAAGATCCAACAATTGTTATTAGCAGTAGTTTACAGACCGCGGTGGTACAAAGCGAAGTACATGTCTAGGGGCGCTTTAGTTTCCTCGACGTAAATTATCTTTGTCTGTTGGCTCATCGTGTGCTCGTAACTATTTTACTCTTTACGCCTTACACGGGACTTGACAGCTTGCATATGGCACTTGAACAGCTATAGGTAATGTGTGCGCCACCAGTTGCATGCATGCGAGTGCGAGCATCGACGAAACGGATCTTGCACGTTGCTTTCTTAATAGTATATTTATATCCTCTGGCTCGTGGTATCGATCTTGTACTCGTGTAATTACCGTCATCTACTTGCATTTATTCCAGGAGATTTTGTACTTATCATTAAAGGAAAAATACATCCAGTCTAAAATAAAATTTATCCTTTTCATTGTATTTTACTGTTAACTATTTTTAGTCTTAAGTGCTTATCGCTGTCCTACATTTTTAGCGACTACTTGTCCCAATGTGTTTAATTAAGATGAACTAACATAGTTGAATATTTGTAACCTCGTATTGTAACCTAAAGTTTATGGCATTAGTATGGAAGTATTTGGGATCGATTTACAATGCTCGAATTGTGTACTTCTGCTCTTGCTAGAATTCAGGAGGAAATTTCATCTTTCGATGAGAAAAAGACTGACGAAAGGTCGGTCGTACTAATGTTAAGATAAAGTCTATGCAAATGTTTATTATCAGTGGTTGGTAATAATTGCTGTTTGCTCCTCGATTTCTAACTGTAAGTTGCGTTCGTGTATTAGTCTTATTTAAGCTTCTTGTAACTTGTACATACATATATGCATGCATATAGAATTATACAGGGTGTTCGACCACCAAAAATTTCTCTTATTAAAATTTTGCCCAGGGGGTGGCCGAACATCCTGTATATAATTACATTTTGACTTCGCAGAGTACTTTAACGATTAAAATTTAATCATAGTCGCGTAACAATGTTCAAATACAACGTCGAACGTTCAAGTTTCACGCAGGTAAAATATTAGAAACGAATTGCAGCATACTTTTGTACCCGGTATAAATGATTGTGATTAAAATCAGACTGTGATTAAAGTTTAGAGAGCACAGACGGAAGGTGAGAAATATTCGAGATGAACAGTTTTTTGCACGGTAATGCAATAAAATTTTTGTATCATTGGAAACACTATTGCCGCTTGTCTTCGTCGCTTTTTGCTTTTGTCACGAACATTCTAATCCTGTAAAATAGTAAGTTTATGCTTATCTATTTCTCGCGTAGAATTTACAAACATTGTTAATTAGAAGGCGGTTTTATAAGAATGAACGTTTACCAGTATCTTTCCTTGAGAATTTTCTATGTTTCAGAAACAAGTATCCCGTTGGGACTTTGAATAATCGCATAGCGCGCATCGAGACAAATTTTTTCACGCGCATGAAGTATCGAATGAATGAGATTGTAGTCAAATGTTCGAGGATCTGGAACTGTCATTTTCCGATTAATTTTAATGAAAAATGGCATTTTGGATTTTTCCTTTTCGTTTTTGAGTATTTAAAACACTTTCAAACATTTTATTGTCAAAATGGTGAGCGATGAAACGAGAGATCCATGACAAACAAAGGTTCGCTGTAACAAAAATTATGCAGAATAGCAAAGAGGCGAAGAAAGCGGCTCGTAGGCAGTTTGGTTGGTTATACAAGGTTTGTTAATAGTTAAACACGAAGAATCTTTTAACGCAGTGTTTCTCAAACTTCACTACCCCCTAAAGTATAACCAATTTTCTTATTTTTGAAACATTTTTTTTGAATTAACGAATAAAACATGCCCTCCAAGTATGCATCGATAAGTACGCAAATTACGATTGTATTTCATAGTACTCTAAGTTAGAAATAACTCTACTTCCAATAACTCATGTTCACCTATAAACACGGTCGCAATCCATAGTTCGAGAAACGCTGTTTAAACGAATATGTACTTTGTTAAGCTATACGCACTACCCTCTACATAGTTTTCAATTGTTTGTAAGTCGCATCACTGTCGATATTACCGTGGTAAGTAATTCATAAATTCAGTTCTGTTCGTCCGTAGATATCAAAGGGGAATATGTATGCAAAATTGCTGGTTAACTTAAGGCTAATTACTAAGTAGTGTTTAGCAAAATTAGCTTCAATGTTGAAGAATGCTAATGATTTTAGTTCCAAAGGTATAGCCTTTTAGAAAATGCCTTGCTGTATAACATGAATGACACTTTTTAACAAGGTTCTGTGTCAACAAAAGTCTGTAAAACCACTAGCTGCTGTGCAAGCGTACTTGAAAGACAACTGTTTGCGATTCTGCGTGGATCGCGTAGCTCTGAAACATTGGTCGCCAATATTAAATAGTATCGCGGAGAATCGAAGCCTGTCGAAAATTTATCTGTATAGTCGAAGTCTGTGCAGAAGGACACGGGAAACGATTAACACGGAAGAGAAGCTTGAAAAGTTATGGTAATTAATGCATTTCGAAGATCCGCAAACGAAGAAATCATACTGCTCGATATTAATAAAAGATCTTTAAACGAGATTGTTTGTTTCGTTGCTTCTTCAAGCTTAAACTTCGTTTGAAATTGATCGATCGGTTTTATAAAAATGATATTTACCGACACCAACACATTCATTATACGGACATATTCCTCGGTTTGATATCGAATTAAAAAACGAAAATGAAATTCTAAAGAATCAACTACAATCTCTGTTTATTCATAATCGAATGCCCCTATGTAATTTATGTTCACTTTGTTTCTACGATGTTAAATGTAATATGAAATTTCGCTCGATATTAGATTCTAGAACCTTTTGTCACATACTTCTCTATGAAATATCAGTTGATTTCACTCGATTCTACAATTTTCTCATAAAATGTTCTTGTCTCGCTTTTCGTATACTACTGTCAGAAAGTTTAAGCTTGCAGGTCGCATCGCCTGGGCCGACAGTTGGTGGGGAAAAAGGGGTAAAGCAAAGGATGATAAAGGATAAGCGAACGAAGGGAAAAGAGAATCGAAACGATAGAGCTTATGTTGAATAAAAAAGAGCGTGGCATTTTGACATCACGTCCAGGCGATGCTGGAAGGATCGAACCTGGCCAATCCTGTACACCAATTTCTTGTTGCGCTGTCTGCTCGATGCTGTGGCTGTTTATTCGAGAGATTCCGCCAGGCTGATCTCGATTACGATCGATGGGATCCCATTGACGCAAAGGTATCTGAACATCCTTTGTTCTGGCCTGAGAAACAACGAAATACTGATGCATCTATCCCTTACGAGATGTCGCATCGGTGATATCGGTTGGTATTTCTATCTGATATTAAAATGCACTTTTTTAAAAATACATGCTACTCGTTCACGACTCTATGAATTTTAATTATAATTTTTGTATTGCTCAGGTTGCGATTTATTGTTAGGCTGCTTGGCAAACAATCCCAACCTTCGTGTTCTGAACCTATCTGCTTGTCGTCTGACCAACAGAAGTGCCACGAGTTTGTCCTTGTTCCTGAATAGGAGAAGGGCGGACTTGTTGCAGAACGTTTGGGTGGAGTCTTCGTTGCAATCCTGCGAGGAAAATTCCACGAAACAAGTGAGCCTGACATTCGATGCGTACTTAAGAAAAATCTGATTTATTTCGTTCTCGTTTGACGCGTTGGATCTCTTTCTTCCAGACACAAGGATTGCACGCATTGATCTTGAACCAGAATCCAAAGTTTGGGGACAATGGTGTCCGACAATTAATAGCTGCGTTAAATATCGACTACTGGCTGAAATCGTTGAGCATAAGGCACTGTGGGATCACTAAACACGGTGCAGAGGCCATCGTGAAACTTTTACAATCGAACAGTACGCTCGTAAAGATGGATCTCGCGCAAAATCATATACATATCAATACACTTCAAGTCGTTTTGAAGCTTTTAAGAAGGAGGCGAGAGCCGATGGAAAGCAAATCGCTGAAGAAACGATTTATTAGGAACTGGAAGAACGTTTCTTTAAAAAACACACTTAGGAGGAACAAGATTGGCGAACTAGTATCTAAAAGTGACAAACGCTTGTGCGAATCGGTAAGTTTCCGTCCTATTCAACGAAATTTCTACCTTTTTACGTATATTCGACCGCGTAAATATTTCGATTTAGGAGAGACGGAACAGAAGATCGTTGAAAACTTGTTCGCCGAAGAGATTGTTGAGGTTTCAAAGAAACCCGAGCCAACCAAAGGAAATAAGGATTGCGAGGAAGGAACATAACTCCGGCAGGAAAAATATATCCGAGCTGCAATCGCAGTTGTTAGATATAATCGATTCTAATAGTAAATTAAGAGAAGAATTGTCGAGTAACAACGCATTGTTGGACACAGAAGTGCAGGAAAGGTCGAGAACCGAGGACGAGCTGCAGAATTTATCGTTACGGTTGAACGAAGTTAAAAGCAGAGTAATCTTAGTCAATTGTCTTCGTTCAAAAATTTCCGATGAAAGTGAATTACTGCAAAAAGGTTTCCGTCACATTTTCGAAAAGATAGAATCATTTTCGAACACGAAACAGTTCGAAGTTGATAGAGTCGCATTAATCGACACGCAACTACCATCGTTGTCGATGCTTCGGCAGAAAGAAAGTAATCTGTTAAGTTGCATAGGAGACCTTACTGTTTCTTCAAAGTCATGAATGTCTATATGATGTAATACATATGGTAGTTTATGTTCAAACAGCGGTGACTACTGCCCCTGCGATTATATAAGAAATTTTACACATGTATTGTAATATTATTAAAATTGTCCATAAATATTTGATATTTTGATGTGTCTAGATTATGTTCATCCTGAAAGTTTTTAATAATGATTTTAGTTTGAACGGTTCGTTGAAACTAAAAGAAATTTCAATGTTTTTCCGTATTACCCCAAAAGAGAAATACACGTTAAGACCCCCCCTGATCATGTTTTAACTATTGAAGAAAAAGAAATTTTATTTTATTATAACCACAGACGACTCGTATACCTCGTCTCTGACAATACTCTAGAATCTGCGATGAATCAATAAAATCAAAACTTACCTAGCGAAGAAGCTCTATATTTCTGATGACCTATGCAAAGCGGATCCTAGCCAATTTGCTAATATTATTTAGTTTTTAATTAATAATTGCATTATCCAGCCAAGACTGATACGATTATTAATTAAACGCTAAATAATCTCACCACGTGGAGGTTGCTGCGAATGGAGACCCGCCCTAACCGATTCCCAACCACCCTCCATTAATAAAAATCTTCTCTGACCCACGATCGTTGGTCGAAGAAGAAACAATCGAAAGTGCAACCAATGAAAGATGCATAACCAACAGAGAGAGTTAAAAGAATTTGTCTTCAAATAAAAATAATGGTTAACCAAACACCTGCCTAACTATAAATCTAAATTCATTTATTATATCAAGAAACAATTCTAAATTCGCAGCCATTAGCTCGGTGTCACCCATGAAGAATAACTTTTCTATCGTGGGTGACACCGATTACCAGGTCTCACCACGTGGAGGTTGCTGCGAGTGGAGACCCGAAGGGAGATAGATGGAATCAAAGTTCCATCGATCTCCCTTTTAGCTAAGCTTAGCTGGATTACTAAACTAGAGAGATAGAAGTAAGCAATGTTCCTTCGATCTTCCAGTTTAGTTGTACCAAGTAATTATTTCGTTTGAAAAGGGGCGAAGCTATATTGTGGGATACGCGGCGCGACGCGATGCTGAACCGTGCGGCAGATCTTCGGATCGAATCAACACTGCCCTTGGTAGATTGATTCCTATTTCTAGCAATCGATCTATCATGGGTAGGCGACTAGATCTTTCGGACAAACTGGACGGCCGATCACATGTTTCGATCGATGAAACAGCGGTGATCGAAGCTAGGAACCAGAGAACGAGTCGAGAGAAGCTACTTGTTAAATAATTACTTGGCAATATTGGGAGACGCATACAATAGGGACTTAAAATTAACGTCGAAGCTCGAGTCTGGTCAAGTTAAAACTAAAATTCGGACGATAGAAGGAAACAAAGTTCCTTGGATGTACCAAGCAATTATTTGGTTAAAAAGAGGGACGAAGTTAATTTGAGGGGCACGCGAAGCGACGCGACGCGACGCTGAACCGTGCAGCGGATCCGAGGATCGAACCTACTGCCCTTGCTAACTAGATCTCTACAGGATAACGGACGGCTGCGACTCCGAATCTAAGGTCTCCATTGCTCCAACGCAACCCGCCGGGAGCCCGAAGGACCCGACTCAAGTTGTCTGACAAAGAGAGAGTACCTCTGTTTCAGTGTCGACTTTCGCTGGAAGGTATGCGTTTCCGCAGGATACGGAAACTCCACACCTTCCAGCAAAGTACCATTTTCCCTGGATCGAGCTACCAATGGGAAGGCGATTAGATCTTTCGGATCAGCTACACGGCCGATCACATGTTTCAATCGATGAAACAGCGGTGACCGAAGCTAGGAACGAGGGAACGAGCGAGAGACAAGCTAATTATTGAATAATTGCTTGGTAGGACGCGGAGATACGTATAATAAAGAAGGCTTCGACGTTAATTTTAACATTCGCGACGAAGCTTAAGACTAATCAACTTGCAATTAAAGGTCCCTCGGCGGGCGCGGCGTTCTCCCTCGGTGTCCTTGCGATTAATCCTTTAAACTGAAATCAAAACTCATATGTATATTAGTGAGATATGGTAGGAAATTTAATAAACACTTTAAAATGATCTATCACCTAGCTAAAGGGAATTGAACAAAGTATATTAGCAAAATATTACAAGAATTTAAGCTGAGAAGTAAAAATAAAAATCCTATATTAATCAGTGTCGAACAACGAACACGAACGAAAGAACGAGTCAGAGACATCGAAACAATGTTATTCGTATCAAAACGAACACTCCTAATGATGAAAGAAACTTGGATCGAGACACCAAGTTGAATCAACACCAAACGATCAAACGAAATGGAAGAATCGAACAAAGTACCTCCGTAGAATATTACGAGAATTCGAGCAAGAACGTAAAAATATGAATTCACGAATTTGTATAGAAACAAATATAGTGTATGATTGAAAACAATATTATATTATTATATCCTGCAATATTATACATAACGAAGCAGTCACGTAAATTCGCAAAACAATGTAAAAGTAGAAACAGAGAAAAGGAACATTTATAATAACCAAATAAAATCAGATAGATAAATGAAGTTGAATTCACATCAAACAAACAAATAAAAATAATAAAATATAAATAAGTGGAGTGGACTTACTACTTGTTGTCAGTACATAGGGTAGTTACCATAGGGGCCAGCTGTAAAGTAAGAAAATATTCATATTATAGCAACATCGGTTAGATAAACAAGGCAAAATCAGTTCATTGAAGCAAAATTCGCATCAAATGATAGAATAGAAGAGGGGAGAGAATTTTTAAACAGTTCTTACCGTTGGTCATCACCGTCCGGCACTGGTCAGTAGTGGTCAGTAGTGGCAGGAACGCGAATCAGCACTGGTCAGTAGTGGTCAGTAGTGGTCAGTATTGGTCAGTATTGGTCAGTATTGGTCAGCCATGGTCACCTGTGGTCAGCGCTGGCCAGCAGGGGTCAGCAGCGGTCCCCGGTTCTCCTCTGGCTACTCGACACTCCCGAATTCGCGACGCGACTGAAGAAATCTTCGCAGTGCCCTTGCTTATCTGTCTAAGGTGATGAAAGGGTGGGGAGACCAGTCAGAGCCAAAGTTGAAGATAACAGGTAAGACTGCCTCGTCTACAAAGAAACTATTTCGATTGGTCTCACCTCTTGATCATTTCTGGATCTTCACTGGACCGCTGACCTTGATGTCCACCTCACTGTTGACCACCAGTGACCATAAGCTAGTCATTGTTGATCATCGACCCATTAAAACCATTACGAAGATTAAAGCCTTCTTACGAGGATTCCCTTACAATTTGATGCATGATCTATTTAACATTTTGTTCCACTTTGGAAGAGTGTATCTCGTTAATTTTTGTCTTTTTGTACGTCAGTTCGAACAATTGCCATACCGAGCGAAAAATTCGGAGGTGATTTAAGCGTTCTCTTCTCATGGATGGCGGTCAGTTGAGAAATTATTCACTGAATTAGTATTGATAGGCAAACAGCTGTAGTTTTGCGTAAATCCATGTGAGTTGACTATGAAAGGGATTAAAATTCATTTCTGAATCTGTTGGTAACGTTGCGAGTGATACGAAAATGGTAATGGGGCTTCAGAGCCCCATAAAAATGGGTCGAAAAAATACATTGGTTGAAAGGTCTGCTCGTATACCTCGTCTGTGATTACACTTTCAATTGCATTGTTGTTTATTAAGTTTCTATTTTTGTTACAGAACGTTTTATCAGTCGATCGGCGCTGCATTCCCACCTTTCCAATCGAAGGTACATAGATTCTCAACGCGAGGTAAGTTCAACGGTGTTCAGAACTACGTGTTTTCGTGAACTTCATAAAAGATGGAACGTGTCAAATTTTCCGATCGTCAAACATTTGTTCCGATAATGCAGAGCTGCAAATATTTTTCCCAAAAATCGCATGTTTCATCACTCGATTTTCGTCGATTATTTCCAGGTAATTTTTGAAACGTATTCGTATAAATTCTTCACAAGGACTGTCTTAAATTTCAACGTTTTACTCGTTTGGATCCCTTCTTTTCGTAATGTTTCAAACTAGTTGGAAGTCGCAGTTTCCCTTTCGGGTATTCGTACGATCGCCAGGGAACCCAAATTCGCTGACTGTCTTTTATGCTAAAGACAAGAATTCTAATCGGGGATTATAATTGTTAATTCGTTAAATGATGCGAAGCATCGTCGTCCGCCAGGGAGAGGGTAGAAGAAGTAGAACTTCTTCCTTAAGATATATATTTTCTCCGACCATCCTCGTCCGAATTTACCCGGTAAGAATAGCAAGTTATAACGTGAAATTACCGTCGTCCATGGAATATTGTCGAACGGCTGCCGATTATCGCGGAAGCTTGTGGCAATCTGTCGAACTTTACGGACGAAACTTTAATTCCGATAAAATCGCCAATTTGAAGGGAGTCAAGCTCGTTATTTTAACGAAGTCTGTTCAAAGCCGTGCGATACGACTTGCCCCTCCTCCACCGACGCGGAATAAAAAAATTGAATTTGAAATTATCAGGTCGATCGGCGGCTAAAGCGATTAACTATCGTAGGTAGCGGAACAGATGGGTGTATTAGTCGTTTATTCGTCGTTCTGATAGGTGGTCGGATGTATAAACACAGAGAAAGAGACAGTTACCGCGCGGAATCTCGTCGCATCGTTGGCGAGTTCGGTACGCTGGTGGATCTTTTCGCGGTTAAATTCCATCTGTCGTACGTCCGTCCAGCGTACGTGCCGGTGGTCGTTGCACGGTCAGCTGCAATTAATCCGTTTTATAGATGTTGCCGATGTAAATGAAGTTTTCGGTCGAGTGTCCGGCAGCTGGCCGATCTGCGCGCGATACGACCAACGGGGGAAAAAGAACCAGAGGGACGAACGCGTCCCGTTCGCCGCTCGTAAAAAGACCCGAGGCTTTAACCGTTCCGGTTGTAAAACCCTCTTTCGAGCAATTAATAATAACCGCCTTTCGCAGCTTTTACAACGATAAAACCAACTTTTACCTCGTGCCCAGCCGCGATTCCACGCCGTTGCGCGGCCCCTTCTCCTAAGATCTTCCCCGGAAATCGTTGCTTGTCCCTCGCCCTCCGCTAATACCATTAGCAATTTATCAAGCCAACAGCCAGGGAATTGTGGC